TCAACTGCCACCATCAAATGTGGTACGGAGTAAATTCACATGAATACAGAAACAACATTCGAGCAGACCGCGTCAATGGTGCACGGCTGAAACGTTGGATAACTCGACAGAAACTGACCCTCCTAAACGAAACAGGCGTCTTTACGCATTTCCCCAGAGACAGAGGGAAAAGACCCACCACCATCGACCTTACATTTGTAAAAGGCCCAACACTTGACCACAACTTACGATGGAGCACTGAACCCTATGGAGCGGGCTCGGACCACGGGAGAACCTCCGTTCATTTACACTTGGAAAAACCACCTTTTGTACCAAGACGAATGTGGCGACAAACAGACTGGAAGCTTTTGGAGAACCACATGTCAAACATTTCCATCCCTGCAGAGGCATGGGAAACCAAGGAACACACAGAACAAACTGTCGATTTCTTCCTAGAACTGGTCAGGTCAACAGTCAACATAGTAACACCACTCTCGAAGGAGGGGGTAAGAGCCAACTCTTGGTGGTCAGATGAAATGAAACAGATGAAGGCAAAGATAAACTCGGCAGAGAGGAAGGCGAGAAATACGAGGAAACCCAACCATGTGGAGGAGCACCGGAAGGCATGCAGAGAGTGGACAGTCATGATCCGGAAGGCAAAAGCGGACCAGCGGGAAAAGACGATGAATGAAGCGAAAGGTAGTGAGGTCTGGAGGATCCTAAACGCAGGAAGGAGAAGAGATACAATCATACCAACTATACAAGGTGAAGAAACGTTTGCGGGGAAATGTCAAGCTCTAAGAGCCCATCTCTTCCCCTCAAAACGGACGTCCCCCGACCACCCTCCCCTAGATATTAGACCCCCCTCTTTTGATCTTCGCGACACTTTTGACATAATCACCCCCGAAGAACTCAAAAAAGCAATTGACTCCTGCCCAGTGCACTCGGCGACCGGCCCGGATGGCATCCCCTATACATTCATTAAAGCAATAATCAAGGCAAACACAACCCTAATCCAAGACATGTTCTCCGCCATGCTCCGGCACGGAGTACACCCTGCGGAATGGAAAATAGCGAAATGCATCCCGATCCCGAAACCCGGCAAGGCAAACTATCACGAAGCAAAAGCCTACCGGCCCATATCCCTTCTACAATGCTTCAGCAAGATCCTGGAGAAAATAGTGGCGCAAAGACTCTGTACCTCTGGGGAAATCCTAGGCACACTCACTGCGAATCAATTGGGGGGGAGACCAACTATCTCAGCAATTGACGCCCTCTTAAGAACCCTAACACCAATACAACAAAACCTACTTCTGAAAAACAGCACCGGAGTCGCCCGGCGGGACAGACCAGCGATCCTGACCAACGACATCCAGGGAGCATTTAACTGTGTAGACCACCTACTCCTCGCAGAAATCATGCACCAGCAAAAATTCCCCACCTATCTAACAGAATGGTGCAAGGAATTTAATACCGGCAGAAAACTACAGTTCCAATTCAACCATGAACTAGAAGAACCACAGCCATATGAATCTGGAGTCCCGCAAGGTAGCCCCATGTCCCCGGTACTATTTATGATTTACGCCGGAGTAATCCTGGACCCAACAAGCAGTCCGAAAGAGATGGACACAACATACATCGATGATGATGCGCTGGTGCAAATATCCAAAACACCAGGGTTCATAATCAAGAGAATGGAGGAACGAATGAGAGAGAGACTAATAAAAGCCGACCCACTCCAAATCAAATACGACCCGGATAAATCGGACCTGATCTTCTTCCGGCCCACAACATCATCCATACAACAACCACGACTTCCAGTCAAAATCAACAACACCGCCATATACCCCAAAGAGAGGCTGAAATACGTAGGAGTCTGGGTAGATCCGACCCTCTCCTTCCGGCCCCATATCGAAGCAGCGATCGCAAAAGGCCTGAAAGCCCTACACCAAATCCGAAACACTGCCCGCCTGCCAGGAATAACAGTTAAGACAGTCCATCACCTAGTAACGCAAGGCTTCCTTCCAAGCCTGCTCTACGGGTCCGAGGCTTGGTGGACTGGCGCAGACCATATCATAAGATCCCTTGAACCACTATACAACGAAGCTGCCCGGGTCATCACATGCCTAGCACGATGGACCAAGAGAGCTAAACTCCTCCGAGAAGCAGGCCTACCCCCCCTAGAACACCTTCTGACATATCGTTCAAGAAAGTACGGAACCAGAATACTCTGTACCGAGGCAACCCACCCCAACAATGAATCCCTAATCGAGCTCCTCCCATATGGAGAAACGAATATCAAAGGAACAGGACTGCACCGGATCGCCTCCCTCTTACTCCCATACCAAACTCCTGGAAATATGAGAGATAAGTGGAACCAAAACAAACTACTACGCGACCACCTGTTAGAGGAATGGAACACAAACCCAATACCTAACTACCACCACCGGGGGGATTTCCGCCCCCCTCCCAAAATTGCGAAGCTTACCCTTACAGAAGCAAAAAAGGTATTTCGAATTCGTTGCGAAACTACCCGAATCGATAAACATGCAGTATATACAGACCCCGAACCATGCCGATGTGGTATGGAAAACTCAGCGAAACATACACTTATGGAATGCCCAGCGTGGGCTCGAATCCGCGCCCCTCTGATAGACAAAATCCCCGGAGCGATGACCTGGGAAAATTGGATGTTCACAAACTTGAGAACGGATCTCATCCTACAATTTGCAAAGAAATCTCAACTCTCGAAATGGTACGAGTCGGTGGAGGCGGAGGCGGACCTGGAAGAGGGGATGGAAAGAATTGACTAGAGGCGGGATCAGGAAGGGGGTTCCCTTTTCCCTTTTATTTTGCTTATTTTTCGTTGTTTTTGATGGATCCAGCGCTTGAGTTCGCTGAGATATGTTAGTTCTTCTTGTTCTTGGGTTTTTCAGGTTGTGTATTGCGCTTGGATTTCCTTGCCTTTCTTCGTTTTTGTCTTTGTTTTTGTGTTGTTTTGTCTTGTTTTGTTTGTTGTTGTTTCTTTTGTTTTGTTCGGTTTGGTTTTTGTTTTAGGCGGTCGGTTCGGCGTGCGATAAGTCTTGTACTTCAAAGCAATATAAGTTTCTTCTTCTTCTTCTGTATTCTACCGGCTCGCTAAGGCTCGCAAAACTTCCTGACAATAAACCTCGCTTCAAAAACATTTTATTTTTATTCCTCTCGGTTTACCCTGGTATACCATACCAGGCTGAGCCACTTCGTCCCCGATCGTACGGTCGCGTTTTGTTGTTCCAAGCGAAAGAAACCTACGAAAACTGGCTTCTAGCGAAGAATTCTCCAGCCTTGACCTCCCGAAAGGAAGGAAAAGAAACTTATCCGAAACATCACTCTACGCCGCCAGAAGAACTGGACATTCAGTCATGTCGCAGCAAGCTTCGCTCCAGTCCTTTTTCACCCAGTCTTCCCAGCAAGGGACAGCCCCCCCTCAGAACAAGAACACTCAGGATCCCGACCCAACCCCATCCGGAGCTCAGGAACAGGAATTTTCCTCGACCTTTGCAATAGAATCCGACTACAACGACCCCTACCAGCCGAGAATTGACTACCTCTATCCGAGCACCGTCCCCCATACTACTCACACCCAGACGGACCTGAACTACATCACCTGGGCCATTAGACACGCAACCAGCCGGATCTGCCCACCCTCCGACAGGATTGAGATCCTCGAAGAGCAATCGATTACACTCCGGAGAACAGTGGAATCACTGAAGCACCAAATCGAGGCACAGATAATGATGATCACCAATATGCACTCGGCGATCCATTCCCTCCTCAATAAGCCCCAACAGCAGCAACAACAACAACAGCAACAACAGCAAAAACCACAACAACCGCAGAGACAGAGAATGCCCCCTCCAGCGGTCCCCCAAACAGTTCCCCAAGCAGCGCCACAGGCAGCTCCTCAGGCCCCCCCACCCGCACCCCCCCAACAAGCCCCTCCCCGTGGATGGAAAGCAGGCACCTGGGCTGCCGTGGCCTCGGCAGCCGGTCCTGCTCAAGGAAAATTCCAGGTTGTTGAAAGAAAGAAGCCTGCAAAACCAAAAGTGGACCCCCTCTTCAAACCAGAGTACACCAAAATCAACAGAGAAATCATTGTGGAAACCACTGCCCCATCCGAAGTCAACCCCTCCGAGATCAGAATCCTGGTCAATGCAAGAATTCAGGATGAATCCTGCCACTTCATCTCAGCAAGAAGAACAGCCAAGGACAACTTTATCCTGGAAACAAAATTCGTTACCCCAGCAACGAAGGCAATGGAATACGCCAAAGAAATTGAGGAGGCCCTCCTCACCCTACAAGTACCGGTCGCTAACATCCGGGCAAACTCCAAATGGTCAAAGTTCCTTCTCCACGGAATCCCCACAACGATCGGGGAGGGCATCGAGGCAGGACAATTGGTGGCATCCGAAATCAGAAGTAACTATGGAGAGAACTTCCAACTTGCACAGGTTCCCCGCTGGATCTCCAGACCGGAGACTCGAATGGGGAAAACCCACTCATCAATGGTCATTGCGCTCCCAGGACAAATCACAACGGAAACACTAGGAGTCAAATTCCTGTCCCTTTTTAACCGAAGCTGTCATATCGAGGCTTTCCTCCCAACCTTCCCAGATACCCAGTGTGCGAAGTGCCTTGAGTACGGCCACCGCCAGGAGAAATGTAAGAATAATGGAAAATGCGGCCATTGCGCCGGTGATCATCTTACCAGCTTCCACCCATGCAATGAATGCCAGGGAGGATATAAGTGCACCCACACCCCAATCAGATGTCTAAACTGCAAAGGAATCCATAAGGCCTCCGACCCAGCATGCCCCGAAAGGTCAAACGCCGATTCCTCAACAAAGGAAAGGAAAACGCCCCCCCTGCCCAAGACCCACCAGCCGCACCCGCCCAAGAGCTACTTCCAATAGTCCAAGTACCAGCTACCACCCCGGTCGGAGCCACACCCGTTCCCGAAGACGACCAACACATGACGAATAATGCTTAGGCCCCGAACCACCGCGCTCGCACACCAACTCAACTGTGCACGGAGCGAACTAACCACCAAGGCGGCGGTGGAGGAAGCGGAAACAGACTCTAACATATATTTTCTATTACTACAAGAACCATGGACCTCAACAGAGGGATATCCACCGGAATCAGATCTCTTTTACCTTTTTACAGCCAGCAATATCAATACAAAATGCGCAACATATGTCCGCAAACACACCAACCTCAAACCAAAACACCACTATACACATGATAATTTCATAGTATCGATCACGGTAGAAATTCAGAACACAAAAACCCAAATCCTAAATATATACTCCCCAGGCCGAAGTGGCCCCTTCGCCCAAATAGCAAAAACAATCTAAACCCTCGACAATTGCCTAGTAATGGGAGACTTCAACTGCCACCATCAAATGTGGTACGGAGTAACCTCACATGAATATAGAAACAACATTCGAGCAGACCGCGTCAATGGTGCACGGCTAAAACAATGGATAACCCGACAGAAACTGACCCTCCTGAATGAACCAGGAGTCTACACGCATTTCCCTAGAGACAGAGGGAAAAGGCCCACAATCATCGACCTTACATTTGTAAAAGGCCCAATACTTGACCACAATCTACGATGGAGTACTGAACCCTACGGAGCGGGCTCAGACCACGGGAGAACCTCCGTCCATCCACACCTGGAAAAACCACCCTTTGTACCAAGACGAATGTGGCGACAAACAGACTGGAAGCTATTGGAAAACCACATATCAAACCTTTCCCTCCCTGCAGAAGCATGGGAAACCAAGGAACACACGGAACAAACTGTCGAATTCTTCCTGGAACTGGTCAAGTCAACAATCAACATAGTCACGCCACTCTCGAAGGAGGGTGTAAGAGCTAACTCCTGGTGGTCAGACGAAATGAAACAAATGAAGGCAAGGGTAAACTCGGCAGAGAGGAAGGCGAGAAATACAAGGAAACCCAACCATGTGGAGGAGCACCGGAAGGCATGCAGGGAATGGACAGTCATGATCCGGAAAGCAAAAGCAGACCAGCGGGAAAAGACGATGAACGAAGCGAAAGGTAGTGAGGTCTGGAGAGTCCTAAATGTAGGAAGGAGAAGAGACACAATCATACCAACCATACAAGGTGAAGAAACGTTTGCAGGGAAGTGTCAAGCCTTAAGAGCCCAACTCTTCCCCTCAAAACGGACGTCCCCCGACCATCCCCCCCTAAACATCAGACCCCCCTCTTTTGACCTTAGTAACACTTTCGACACAGTCACCCCCGAAGAACTCAGGAAAGCAATCGACTCCTGCCCAATGCACTCGGCGACCGGCCCGGATGGCATCCCCTATATCTTTATCAAAGCAATAGTTAAAGCGAACATAACTCTAATCCAAGACATGTTCTCCGCTATGCTTCGGCACGGAGTACATCCAGCGGAATGGAAAATAGCAAAATGCACCCCGATCCCGAAACCCGGCAAGGCAAACTATCATGAAGCAAAAGCCTATCGGCCCATCTCCCTCCTACAATGCTTCAGCAAAATCCTGGAGAAAATAGTGGCTCAAAGACTCTGCACCGCTGGAGAAATCCTAGGCACACTCTCAGCGAATCAATTCGGAGGAAGACCAACCATCTCAGCAATCGACGCCCTTTTAAGAACCCTAACACCGGTACAACAAAACCTACTTTTGAAGAACAGCACCGGAGTCGCCCGGCGGGACAGACCAGCGATCCTAACCAACGACATCCAGGGAGCATTTAACTGTGTAGACCACCTACTCCTCGCAGAAATCATGCACCAGCAAAAATTCCCCACCTACCTAACAGAATGGTGCAAGGAATTCAACACCGGCAGAAAACTACAGTTCCAATTTAACCATGAACTAGAGGAACCACAGCCCTATGAATCTGGAGTCCCGCAAGGTAGCCCCATGTCCCCGGTACTATTTATGATCTATGCCGGAGTAATCCTGGACCCAACAAGCAGCCCGAAAGAGATGGACACAACATACACCGATGATGATGCGCTGGTGCAAGTATCCAAAACACCAGGGTTCATAATCAAAAGAATGGAGGAACGAATGAGAGAAAGACTAATAAAAGCCGACCCACTCCAAATCAAATACGACCCGGATAAATCCGACCTGATCTTCTTCCGCCCCACTACATCATCCATACAACAACCACGACTTCCAGTCAAAATCAACAACACCACTATATACCCCAAAGAGAGGCTGAAATAAGTAGGAGTCTGGATAGATCCGACTCTCTCTTTCCGGCCCCATATCGAAGCAGCGATCGCAAAAGGCCTTAAAGCCCTCCACCAAATCAGAAACACGGCCCGCCTGCCAGGCATAACAGTTAAGACAATCCATCACCTAATAACACAAGGCTTCCTTCCAAGTCTGCTCTACGGATCCGAGGCTTGGTGGACTGGCGCAGACCACATTATAAGATCCCTCGAACCACTATATAATGAAGCGGCCCGAGTCATCACTGGCCTACCACGTTGGACCAAGAGAGCTAAACTCCTCCGAGAAGCAGGCCTACCCCCCCTAGAACATCTCCTGACATACCGCTCAAGAAAGTACGGAACCAGAATACTCTGCACCGATGCAACCCACCCCAACAATGAATCCCTGATCGAGCTCCTCCCATACAGAGAAGCAAACATCAAAGGAACAGGCCTGCACCGAATCGCCTCCCTCTTACTCCCATACCAAACCCCCGGAAATACGAGAGACAAGTGGAACCAAAACAAACTATTACGCGACCATCTGTTAGAAGAATGGAATACACAACCAATACCTAACTACCACCATCGGGGGGAATTCCGCCCCCCTCCTAAGATTGCGAAACTTACCCTTACAGAAGCGAAAAAGGTTTTTCGAATCCGATGTCAAACCACCCGAATCGACAAACATGCAGCACATACAGACCCCGAACCATGCCAGTGTGGTATGGAGAACTCAGCGAAACATGTACTTATGGAATGCCCAGCGTGGGCTCGAATCCGCGCCCCTCTGATAGAGAAAATCCCCGGAGCGATGACCTGGGAAAACTGGATGTTCACAAACCTGAAAACGGACCTCATCCTACAATTTGCAAAGAAATCTCAACTCTCGAAATGGTACGAGTCGGTGGAGGCGGAGGCGGACCTGGAAGAGGGGATGGAAGAAAATGATTAGAGGCGGGACTAGGAAGGGTAGTTTCCTTTTACCTATTATTTTGTTTATTTCTCGTTGTCTTTGATGGATCCAGCGCTCGAGTCCGCTGAGATATGTTAGTTTTCCTCGTTGCTGGGTTTTTCTGGTTGCGTATTGCTCTTGGATCTCCTTGTCTTTGTTCGTGTTCGTTTTGTTCTTGTTTTGTTTTTGTTTTTGTTCTTGTTCGTTGTTCTATTGTCCGTTGTTTTCTCTTTTTTTTTTTTTTTTTTTTTTTTCGGTTCGGTTTTGTGTTAGGCGGTTGGTTCGGCGTGCGATAAGTCTTGTACTTCAAAGCAATATAAGATTCTTCTTCTTCTTCTTCTGTATTTATTCCACGAATACTACTTTTGTTCTACGCTACGTCATAGGGCTCGTCTTGGATCTAGGATCAGGATTGAACCACCTCATAGTCCAAAGTTACGAATATCTTCTACTACGTTCTTGCCTCGGTTGTATTCCTTGGCACTATAGTCCATCGTCCATAGACCCACGTTATAACTTGGTTGCTGTTTGCGCAATTGTGCTGTATGATGCGGAGGAATGATGGGTCTTTTGTTGTGTCCGTCATTTTCTATGACTGGGGTGTGCGAGGGGCGGGTGTGGCGGGTGTGGAGACTGTATTTGCATTGGGGTTACTGGGGGTGGCAGCGTCTTCTGGCGTGATGTCCATAGCCGTAGAGGGTTCCGCAGGGGGGGGAGGCGGCGTAGTCTTGTTGAGGTCTTTATCGGACCTATTCCTATTGATGATGGCTATGTATGTGGGGCATGACTTAGAGTCGGCGGTGTGGTTACCACCGCAGTTTGCGCATTTTGCTGGCGAGACTGCACAGCATGAGGGAGTCGGTTTTTGAAATCCAGGGCAGGTATAGATTACACACCGATGGCCTCGCCGGTCATGGTCTTTGGTGCAGATTGGGCATGTCACGAAGAGTTCTCGACATCCTTTAAGGGAGTGGCCGAATTTCCAGCATCTCGTGCATTGCGTTGTGGGCGAGGCTGACCACATGGGTACACAGCGGCGAGGTCTGGAGTATAGGCGGATTGAGTCACCAATTGAGGCGGCGTCAGTGGAGGAGACTGTGACTACAATGGTGGATGTGGCTTTCGCATTTCGGGAGGCGTCGTCCTTGTTCAGAAAGCGTGTGGCGATGGGGGTGATTCCGGAAGCTAGACTGAAGACTTCTGGGAAGGTACTGTCCAGAGTTTCTTTGTCTGGGATTGCGAAGAGTGGTATGCTATGTATGGCGATATCGACATCTGTCGGATGCACCGACCACCTCACCTAACGGTATAATATCAGGGATGACAACAGCATAACAGCTAGCAGCGGATCAACTGCGCCTGTTGCCCGCTTGATTAAGCGCCCAATCGAAATCCCGCTGCAGCCCGTCCGCGGCAACTGGTCCGGGGGTGTCTATATATGCGTGGTCATGGCCGAGAAGGAGAAGGAGGATTGATTGGTTCATGACATGTACAAGCAAGGCAAGGTAGGATTTCCCAGCTCAGCCTATGTATCGGAGAGATTTAGCACTAGCTGACCCTTTTTTTTCTTTGCTGAAGGAGGCCGGCGGTGCTGGGAGCTTATAATGCCATTCTTTAACTAGTACATATACTACATGAGGCGACTCAGCTAAAGTTGTCTTCTTTTAATACCAGTTTGTGGGGATATAAACTAGAACGACAGCTTCAACGACAAGCTTAGATATTCACTAATAACGCAGCAAAGATGGTTCTCCTCTGGGTGGGAGTAGCTCTAGCTACACTACTCTTTCTAAAGACTCTACTTAAGAAACAACAGGCAAGCTACGATACATATAGTCTTACAACAATTATCGAAACTAACAAACCCACAACAGCCCATTCCAATCTCCTTTAACGGCCGTCCCTGCGAGCCCCGTTAAGCTCCGAAAAGACCCCTACATCCTCGGAATTCACGGCATAATACGTGCCATCAAGTCCAACGTCGCGGGCCGTCTCCCTCTCTCATTCATAGACCTCTTCAATGACCTCGGCCACACCTTCGGCGTGAAGCGTTTTGGCGTCCGCTCTATTATGACCCGCGACCACCGCAACATCCAAGCAATGCTAGCCACACAATTCGACGGTACGTAACTAACCTCCGCGCAAGCATCCCAGACATCCAAGCTCACAAACCGAAAGATTTCGGCCTCGCCCACGAGCGCCGCGCGCACCAGGCCATTCTCGGCACCCGTGGAATCTTCACGCAAGACGGCCCCGAGTGGAAAGAGTCCCGCGCGCTCCTCCGGCCCTCCTTCGACCGGGCGAGTGTCGCAGACCTCAGCGCCCTCGAAACCTTCGTCACCCGGATGATTGCAAAGATCAAGGCCTCGCCCGGCAGTGATGGCTACCATGAGGTTGATCTTCAGGCCCTGCTTCTCGAACTGACAATGGACGCTTCTACCGACTTCCTTTTCGGCTCCCCCATCGGCGCGCAGGAAGGCACGGTCTCCACCGAGGGCGAAATGTCCTTCTCGGAAGCCTTCGACGTATCCCAAGACGTCGTTTCGATCCGCTTCACACTGAATGACCTCTACTGGCTCGTGAACCCCAAACGCTTCCGCATCGCCATCACCGTCGTCCACAAGCTCGTCGGACACTACGTCGCCCGCGCCCTCCAAAAGCACAGCTCCAACAGCAGCGCAGAAAAGCCATACACCAAAGACACCTCCACCTCCGGCAAATACATCTTCCTCGAAGCCCTCTCCCAAAAGACGCAAAACCCCCAAGTCCTCCAAGACCAGATCCTCAGCGTCATGATGGCCGGCCGAGACACCACCGCCTCAACTCTCACATGGGCCTTCCACGTCCTCTCCCGGCACCCGGAAGTGCTACAGAAGCTGCGCAAAGAGATACTAGACACCATCGGCCTACAACCTCCCACACAGCCTGATCTCCGCGACATGGTCTACCTGCGCCACTTCCTGCACGAGGTGCTCCGCATGTATCCCCCCGTCGGAATCAACTCCCGCAGCGCGCTACGCACCACCACCCTCCCATACGGCGGCGGTGCCGACGGGAACGCGCCCATTGTGGTGCAGAAGGGCGAGAGGGTCATGTACTCTGTCTTTACGGTGCACCGGCGGGAAGACGTATATGGCCCCGATGCTGGGACGTTCCGGCCCGAGAGATGGGGGGAGGAGGCGATGAGGAAGGTCGGGTGGGCATGGCTTCCGTTTAACGGGGGGCCGAGGGTGTGTCTGGGGCAGCAGATGGCGCTGACGATGGCGGGGTATGTGGTTGTGAGATTGCTGCAGGCGTTTGGGGAGGTGGGGGATAATGGGGTGCCTGGGGGGGAGGTCAGGTATGCGGTTAAGATTATTATGGTGCCCGGGCAGGGGTTGAAGGTGAAGATGAGGTAGTGGTGGTTTGGGGGGGGGGGGGGGGGGGTTAGTGTAGTTGGCTATTTGTATGGAGTTCTAATAAACGGAATCTTTTCTTTTCTTGTAAGTGAAATAAATGAATTACGAACGCTACATGTATTTTGGTGTTTGATTTCTTTAGAGGAGGATCGAAGGAGATGGCTTTTAATGCCCGATTGTCTTTGTACTCTCAGCATGAGCTGGTCGAGTAGAAAGTAGCGAACCGTGTCATCTTATGTACTTAATGTGTTATTTCAGAGCACGTATTCCGAAAACTGTGTTATTTTAGACCCATAGTCGTGGGGTTGCAAATCGCAAATCGAACAGCTCCGAGTCATACTTCATGACCGAAACTAAAAACTGCCGCATCTTTGCCCCACGTGACAACCTGTACGCTATCATTGACCACCAATTGCAACTAAACAAGCCATATGTAGAGGTATTGACAGCGCCAATTAAAACCATCACGCTGGTCACGGCGAGAGAACCCGTCACGTCCTGTCAACCAGCTAGTACTAAGCTCTCGACAGCGCACCACCGGCCAGAACCGCGTCTGTATTCTTCCGATCCGGCTATAGCGCTAGCCACCCTACACGATCGAATGCCTTGCTAACTGCCGGCATAACGCTTTAATTAGCCCGCGACACCTATGTGTTCACTCACTGTGCCGCACGCGCGCGCGGGAGAACCACAAGCGCAGGGACTTCTTTGTTCTTTCCTGCTTCGTGTATAATCTCCGGGCTGCCAGCATGGGTCGCCGCGGGGGTGCGCTTGATGGCCTATTAGGACGGCTGGAGAGATGGATGAGGTGTTGAATCGATTGTGCTTTTTGGATAGACGTGGTGCGGCGTGGACGTGGGCGGGGATGAACTGGGGGAAGGGGGCGGCGGAGGCGCGGTGGGAGGATGGTAGAGAGGTTGAAGAGCCTGGCGGACGAAGAGGGAGTAATTTTGTGGCGAACTACTTTAGAACTGTATACTCCTAGACGCTATTCGCTGGCTCCTACACCACTGACAAGGAGCTCAATGTTGGTATGTAATATGCCAGCCCTAACATCCACCCCCATAAAAGAACTCCCACTGACATCCCCTCTCTAGGTTTCGGCCAACCTACCTCCGGCCACCGCGACACCGTCATCGGCTCGCGCCTAATCCCCCGCCCCGTAATGGAGGACGATTCAGCAGCCTACATGGCCACCCTCATGCACGCGCTCAACGGCAGCACCGCACTTCTCGGGCATCTCGTCGGCGGCGGCAAGGTTGCGGCGAACAGGGGGCTCGACACGGCGCTGAATCCGGCGTCATGGAGAGACGCGCTGGCGCTATGGTTATTACCACGAGGTGTCTGACATGAGTGGGGAGGAGGCGAGGAGGCAGGCGAGGGTTGATACGACGGAGAAGGTGGCGAGGCTCAGGGAGTTGACGCCGGAGTTGGGGGCGTATATGATCCGTGAAATCTGATGTGGTGTAGTAACTGTGTGGGGTTTTGAAATAGTACGCTCGGCACATACTCATAGTATTGGAGGATTTCATTTGTCATTATGAGTCACGGGTTCTGACTCATTTCTTCTTTATTTCCTATTAGTCATTTTATTGCTTTCGTATTTATGACTCTCATTATATTTTTGTACTACCTTTCTTTAAGTATAAATATGGGGCAATTCCCCCTTAGTTAGAGTTAATCAACACGCTCAATTACTTCACTTCTCTACATACATTTCTCTATGGGGTACACGGACTAGGAGGGGGTTGATGGAAGGCTGTGTCGTACATAGTCCGTTTAATTTATACTGGTTATTCGTTTTTCTGGCTGTGGAAATGCGTATTTATACGTAATGTGGACTGCTAGAGGTTAGATGTTTAGTTTCTCTCGAGCCAGGACTTGATAGATTTTGGTAGTTGGCGGTAAAAGAGATATAAGTAATACCGTATCTCCACAGCCAGACCCACCCCGTTAATCAACCCGGCCCAGTATCCCTTTAACCTTTGCTTTTTTTGGTCAGAATGCAGAATGATCCGGCCCGCAGCCAGCCAGCGCTAGCTACCCATAATCAACGCCCAAAGCACCATTACCCCACCGACACCTTCAGCAACGCCCCCAAAAGCCAAGACCCACAAGATGAGCGCCATCCTGCTCCCAAAAAACTTCTCCCGACACTCAAGGCACAGCTCGAATGAACCGTTCCACAGCACCAACTGATTGGCGGCCATGTGTGAAGCGACCTATAGTTGTCTAGGCCGGGCGTTACCCAGACTAGGAGCCGGCGAAGGAGGAAGGAAAGGTGGCCGAAGCAGTGACAGTGGGGTTCAGAGGTGGGTGGGGTAAGCTGTTCACGTTGACGTCTTTGGTGTGTTGCGGGGAGGTGACTCGGTTACTAGGTAAGCTTTTTCAGGCGAGACGATCATTGGCCGCCCGATTAGGTTTAGTGTGGCGTGGTGGGCGACATCTGCAGGAAGTAATAGTATTTGCTTCGAATTCATAAGTTGATGTTATTACTCATCTAGGCCAGACGAATTGATAGATTCTTTTTTTGGCTAGAACCTGGGCTTAGGTATATAAAACCTCTCACCTGAGCTCCTATCGATCCACTCAACCTGAGAACCATATATTCCGTGGCTAACATTATATCCTCAATGTCAGTGTGGTCCCCACGAGGCGTATCGAGGCGAGGAAGATGGGGTGTATTGACTTGCCTCTGGCTCTGAGAAGGTCTGCTTTGGGTTGCCTTAAGCTAGAAAAACCTATGCCTCGAGCTGTCTCGATGCTCCAGGCAGGTCTTATCAGTGGGTTCTCAATAGTTCTTGTCTGGTTCGGTCACCCGGGATGTATATTTACATGAGCTCGATTATCTTCGCTCTGGCAGCCTGAAGGGTATATATTGAGTTGACTCGAGTCAACTTCCAGGAATGTACCATATATCGAGGTACGTACATCGGCCTTGTTAGGGTATACCTCGTGCTACCTCGAGGCATTTGCTTCTAGGCGAGGCGCGGAGTGCTTCCCCCTCGTGGACCACACTGATCCTCATGTTCGACCAACAACAATTTATCACATAGCACATCGAACGAGGGCGCATATGTGACCGTATACACTAAAAACAGCATCAGAACTAATGTTTCAAACGTTTGATGTGATAAGTTAAAGCCAGGTTCTTATTTACTATATACTATCCCTATCCGAAATTATTTGTTTTATGTACATACATTAAGGAATTATATCATTCAATTTACATAGCCTTCTCGATATCGTTGTATCACCATTTCCACCATCTCATACCGCTCATCTGTCTTGTGCCTCCCCCTTGGTCACTAAAGCGTGCCTCAAGAGCTTTTTACAGTCAACATCCAAAGTGTGGTCTAGTGGGCTGTCTCCTTCTGAGTCTACCGCGCACACATCCGCACCATTTTCTAGCAAAATCCTCACAATGGCTACATGGCCCTCCAAACAAGCCCGATGTAGTGCTGTACATCTGACATTATCTACCGCGCGCACATCCGCGCCCTTTTCTAGAAGAAGCCGCACAATGTCTTTGTGGCCCCGGAAAGCAGCCCGATGTAGTGGGGTATCCCCTCCTGAGCCTGCCGCGTTCAAATCTGCACCCTTTTCTAGCAGAAGCTGCACAATATCTTCATGGCCTAACCAAGCAGCCCGATGTAGTGGAGTGTATCCAGCTGAGTCTGCCGCGCTCAAATCCGCGCCATTTTCTAGCAGAAGCCGCACAATGCCTTCATAGCCTGCCTGAGCAGCGCTATATAGTGGGGTTTTTCCTTTTTGATCTACAGTGCTCAAATCCGCGCCCTTTTCTGGAAGAAGCCGCACAACGTCTCCGTGGCTCCGGGAAGCGGCCAGATGTAGTGGAGTCCGTCTTTGTAAGTCTGCAGCGCTCAAATCCGCGCCCCTTTCCAGCAGAAGCTGCACAATATTAATGGCTTCACGGCCTGACAAAACAGCCAGATGTAGTGGTGTCTGTCCACAATCATTTTCCTCGTCCATGTCCGCGCCCCTTTCTAGTAAAACCTTCACAACATCATGATGCCTATTCATGGCAGCGAGATGTAGGGCGGTGTTCCCATTGTCATCGACCCATCGGACGTCGGCTCCGGCTGCCAAGAAGGTGTAAACAAGATCCAGACGCCCGTACTTTGCTGATTCAATCAAAAACCAGCTGTCATGGTCTCGGAGACCGATATTTCGATCATTCCTCGGTGAATCAAGGGTGTATAAGACTTGTAAAAACCACGGGTCCATGAGAGCGGCTGCAGCAGAAATTCTAGACTTAGGATCAACGACTAGGAGTCGATTTACAAACATAATCTCACTCTCGGCCACGCCAAGCTTTCGAAAAGAGTCAGTAATAACATGATTTCCGCCGTCACAGTAGTTGTAGAGGAGCCCATAATCAAGTTCTCTTTGGCAATATCCATGAAAATCACCTAGGCCTATCGAGATGGTTGATTGTTCCTCGATAGACGTAGAAGCAAGGAATGGGGCCTCTAGCGTAAGCATATTATAAACGAGACATCCTAAAGCCCATATATCGACTGCTTTGGTGTAAGAGTTTGATCCCTTTGAACGAAACCTTTGGGGCAAAATCCCGAGGAGTTCAGGGGCTAGAAAACCTGGCGTCCCTAGCATGGTTCTTAACTCTGTGCCTCCAAAACACTTAGATATTCCAAAATCGGCAAGTTTGATGTGGATGGGCTGTAACGAGGTAATAAGGATATTCTACGGATGTGTCAGCCCACCATTCTAGGCTCATTGCTACCCGGAACCATGGAGTACAGACCTGCGGCTTTAAATCCCGGTGGCATATATCTTTACCGTGAAGAACCACGAGCCCTTTGAGAATCTGGTAGATGATTTCTTTGATCTGCTCTAGCGCCGGTTTTGGTGTCGAATTCATGAGATGTTGGTTCAAATCTCCATGTTCGGCATATTCCATCGCGATAAAATAGAAAGACTTGTCTTCGTACCAGCCGAAACATTTCACAATGTGTTCGCACTAATCTTGGGATTAGTATCTGGACATAATGAGATACAATCGCTGGGGAACTGTTATGTTTACTTGCATCTCTAACTACGATCATGGATCGAAGCTCACGTAAAAAAATTGCGCTCTTCGTTCGGCCCCGGTCAAGCCTCTTAACAGCTCTAGCTCTCCTGTTAAATTCCAGATGGCGCTTCTTTTTGCAATTGCAACCAAACGCTGCCAAATCCTCCGCTGCCGATGGAGGGTTCAATATTTATCCACAGTTCAGTACTCCGATCCTCGGCCTCCTCCCCATCCGACATTCCCATGACTACACCCTCCCCACCATAGGTATGCTCCACGTGCGCGCCGTTTTCCCTAAATGTTGTATCGAATTTGTAAGGTTTCAAAAAATCAAGTAAGGAGGCTTCGTCTGCTTTCATTTTGCTGCTGAGGTTTCTATTATATCAACGGCGCTGGAATTGAAGGGCTGGTAGTACACTTGAAGGCTGTTAATTGATGGCATGGAGCCTAGTGCACGTAATTAAGGGGTTATGCAGTATGGTAAGGTGCCATGTTGTACGTGGAGAAAGCTTGGCTCCAAAGTTTCCTGAGCCAATTGGGGGAGCTACGTACTTGCATGTGTGTAGGTACCTACTCGGGGCAGGCAATAAGAACCTGAAAATGCAAGCTGCAAGCAGGGGCTCAATTTGGTGTAGCTTTTCGCCAGCCGCGAATCAGAGGTCGTTACCATAAAAAGTCATTTTCAGGTTCTTCATGCCTGCCCCGAGTACATACAGTGACAGTACCACTGCTGTAACACTACCGTATACTTCGTTAAAATACGGAGATATAGCGGCACATTATCACAATACCGTACTGGTGCGGTATCATACTTACCCCCATTTCTGATACTGTAAGTACAATACATACATACATGTAGTACATGTGGTGGTGGGTACCGGCGGGTGTCTGGGTGCGAAGTGATGCATTAATCTTGCTTACTAATACATCAAATCATGTGCCAAGAGCCGCCTAGGATCAATTTAAGAGTCCGAGCCAGATCTAGGATGGTCATAATACTCTAGAGCAGTGAAACTGGCTCAATTAATATCCCTTCCTCTATTTTCAAGATACGACTGTTTCTATATACAGGTTGCTTAGTACTCAATCATGGCGATAGCTAGAGAGAATGAGCAAGAAATTCGTTTCCTTCTGTGAATTGCAGCAACTACTCACGACGTGCTGGATTTTGGACCGACACACCGCTATACGTATACGCACATCAATGGTATCTGCTACATGAATAGTGCGTAGTAATTAATGTAAGAAGTTTAAGATGATTTGATTTAGTTCTATGCTACAGATTATTTATGATGTCCCGTCGGTCATAGGTGGCGGGAACGCGCCTTACCAGCCAGATGGCTTTAGGCGCTCCCGGCGGAGTACAATTGTATTAGTAATCGCGTTTACTACAATGCTCCTGAGGATGCCATCTTCGTACTGCGTGTGCCCTGGAGTTTACTTCAGGTTAAGCGGGCACAAGACTCCAGGCATTGCTTAGTAACTACTTTAGTCATCATCGTGCTCGCTCGTGACTTAGATTATTCAAGGGTAGCTGCGTCTAGGCCAAAGGTGAGCTCGAGAGGTGTGTGCCTGGCCGGGTTGACATCCTACCCGCACAGAGCTTCTTCCACCCTCCGTTTATCAGTCATTGGCCTTAATTTAGCTCATATCCACCAATTTTCTATGAGTTTTATCGAGATGTAATTATTTAATATCGATTACTTCATACTCGAATTTATGTAATAGAGTAATTGATACTTCGAAATTGACGGTTGCAAGAGGAAACCAGAGCGGCGGAGCCGAAAAGCTGCAAGTGCAGAGTACGGGCCATCAGTCGAATTCTTTATATTTTACTAGAGTCGACTGTATGCTTAAGCTTCAGGGCGTTGCTAAGCGTAGCGCAGCTCCAGTAGCAGTACATATCTCTTGGAACATCGCATACTGTGATTACTAAGGTAACCGCATACCCGCCGGGCATAGGTGTAAATACTCCGCCAGGCGCACCTTAAGCCAGTTAGTTAGTAAGGCGCGCTAGTCCCGCAACCTATGCCCGACGCGCCATTATTTACTCTCTATCATACCGCAAAAATTGGAAATGCTTGCCTGGGCTTGATGATTGGGGTGGTAGCTTAGTAAGGGGGCAGGATATTCGAAGTTTAGGATAACGATCGTTTGAAGTAACGATTTTACACGTGCACTCGGGTGAATAATGATTTGGGGGGGGGGGGGGGCAGCATATTCGGAGGGGCAGGATAATCTGGGGGGCAGCTATTTCCAAATTTTGCGGTAGTAAGTAGAAACGTAGCCGAATTCACGAAAGGCGGGCAGGAAACAGGTGTCCAGAAAAAGCAGCCTTTAACGTAGATTCTTAATCTTCTCACTCCTATAAGTCTCACTCATTTTCATCACAATACATTGGGATCATCGCTTAGAATAATCACGGTTTCATCAGTACGTTCGTCGAGAAGGATTGAGACGTGAGTACAATAAGCAGCCAACAACGCCATCCACTGTTGGAAAATACTGAAATCAAGATTTTATGAGCTCTCTCTGCAGCTTTCGAATTTCAGTTTCAATTAAAGTTGGTATAGGGGCAACGACTACGGTGGAGACCCCTTGCAGTCATATATCAGTTACCTGAAGCACGTTTCTACGTCGTCTTTTATACTCGATCTCGGCCTGTAGAAGGTGCAAAAGACAGAAGTTACATGTGCGCCATTTCATGCAGCAACTTCATTCAGCGTTATTCACCTTCACTCCAATACAGAGCTTTCAAAGGCATACTATTCACTAATAGTTGGTATAATATTACCTTCGTGTTTTTACGTACGTATAGTTATTGAAATGACTCACAAACCCAATTCAAGAAGACATTTGGTCTAGTCTTGTGAGAGAAGGTACGGCCTGATATAAAATTATTAATTCAAATTCTTTTCTACCTAAATACTGAGGCAAAGATTTATGAATCGTGCAGAGCGGGGAAATCCATTCTGATGTTGGGGGAATATTGGTTTAACGCCGTATCCAGATGGTATGTTTCTTCAACTCAAGGTTCGATCAGAATTGATTCTAGCTTATAATATTCACTCACAGAGCTTCCCCGCCTTTCTAAAACTATTCCTAGATATATCCCACGTAAAATGTGGTTATATCCTTCAATTGATCAAATGAGCTTATTATAAGATTAATTCTGGTTAAAAGAAAACTCTGTGTCCTGGATGTACGCCGGCTACAGTCGATACATATGAGGTAGATCCATCGACGTGACAATCAACCAGACTTTACTCTCTCTCCGTATGCACCGCAGTAAATTCCTGTCCGTTCAAATTGATCTCTTCCTCATGTGTGTTGGATATATTTCGCGGTTAAGCATCCTGACAACAAAGTTCGTGGATTGCAAATCTCATCGGAGTCATTAGTCGCCGACATTGCTGAAGTTTCCAGCTTGTGATATCTCGGCATTAGTTAAGGCGAGTACTTACATGTACTTAGTACATGTTCCCTCAATCTTACCGGGGCCGGCCGGCGCGGCTGCAGGATCGTCTTCCTCTTGATGCCAAGAGTTCTTCTAGTAAACCCCGGTCCCAGGGACGGGTTCCGACTACCCTTGCTTCCAGAGGCACATTTAACAATATAAATATTTTGAAAGCGGCAAGTACCGACCTGGAATTCCCATGATAACTTCTCATATATAGAGGAAAATACAAAACTCAATATATTAATCAGGACACATCAGCTGCGGAATCGTGGCCGTATGATCGAAAAGCACGCACATATCACCAACCATGATGTGAAGACGGTTCCAAATTGTAAATACAGGAAAGATGGGGGTTGCCATTATATCAGGGGTTGAATTGATACGTGTAAAATTTATTATTCCTCGAACCAGTCAAAAACCGATTTCCCATGCAGATTGGAGAATATTGATTTCCTAGTCTGACGGTTTCCTACGAATACAGCTTCCATCTTTGCAAGGAAGGTTTCAACGAAGCCAAGATGATCAAACTAAGCATGAATGCATGCACCAAGCTTGTCGATGCGACTATAGCTAGAACCAGCTGATTTCGTAGTCTAAAATCATTCTTCACGTCAAGGGGCCATTCAGGACCGTCTAACCTTTTAGTGTTAATCCGGTTTTGGAGCCGGCAGATGGACATTTCCGATCACAGTTTCATGTGCGTCTTGCAGCAGCAATCAGTACTATCACAATCTACTACAACTTATATTGATGTCGAATTGTATACTATATGAGCAGATTTGCTTTTCGAGCAGGAATACTTCCTTAACGGAAAAGCCACCGCGACCAGAGCTGATGAAGGCTGTCTTTCGATACACATTGAAACAATTGAGAGATATGAAACGAGTTCTAGGATACAGATAAAGTATTTGAATCTCAAGTTTCTGGGAGAGGGGGATAATATTCACCGTACCTTTGTTTCAAACTTGATATCTGAATCCATTGTGGATATCTAATCGGAGGGAAACAATTCAACCCTAAACGCAGGAGGTCTCGAAGCAGATTACTCTAGTTGACTCATGAAAGCCAGTATATTCATCATGCAAGAAGTATCTTTATCCAGCTGTTCAGGCCGCTCAGACAAGGTATCAAGTGTCAACAGTGGTATCTAACAACTATCCAATCACAGAGATCGAATTAGAGATTCATCGGCTAATAATCACTCAGGAAATTAAAGAGTCAAGGCAAGTTGGAATTCTAGTTGAATAATTCCTAGGGTCTAGATTATTGTCCACCAATCATGCAGATTGACATGGGAATAAACTCCACATATTCGCCAAGCTTAAATTTATCCTTGCACCCTACATACTCACAACCTCTAATAAATGAAAGTGCGTATGTGGCACCGGGATATGCCGATAGACTCAGCGTTTCTACTGTTTATGATGGGGTCAATGCATGCTGCTGTTACAACTAACGACCAACCCCACCATGAATTCCGGATGCCCAGAGGCCTTTCCGGACGACTTTCAGCTCAAAGGACAGGAAGTGCACAGCCGCTAGAGAGCCCCTTGGTTTGATCTATAATGTAACCGGTTCTTATTTTTTGCGAGAACCAGCAAGAGCCCAGCCACACTATCAGAGTTTCGGTTTGGCCATCCGAACTATACGCCTAAAGCTTGTTCCGGCCGGTCTAATGCTAAGAATCTCGGCAAATCTTGTCGATCTTGTAGTTTATACTGGTTTTATAACAGAAAACCTGAGGCGAAAACCACCGCTTTGATCTTTATGAGAAGGGCGATATTTTCTGTGGCGGTTTACTTCGAATCACTGGTGATCACTCGGTGCATCCGTTAGCACGCATCGCAACCACAATATAGTCGTTGTCCCCCTAACAGATCTAGATCTTGAGACTGAAAATTTTCTCAATGGCGGTTATTTCGACAAGACAACACGAGCGGTTTTACGGGCGCGCAAAAATACTTTACCGAATTTCGAGTGAAATGGGGCACATTATTTCGGTGGCCTCGCCGAAAGCACCGGCGGTCAGTAACCTACGATGTCTAGGGTCATATCAAACACATTTGCCAAGACCTTTTTAATTCTGGTTGGATAGAGGCACTCCCACTGACGACTAGGGTGATGATCGACACTCTGCGCGCGATAGTTAAACCCATATTACTTTGGTTCCAGGCTGGCTTTATTAAAAAGTCAGGAATTGGGGGCGGGGAGGTTTCAACAAGAAAGTAAGCAGGTACCCTTATAGTTTATCCGAACAAACAAACTTGCTTTCTCCACGAATCGGTATGCAATATATTATAAGGGTAGAGCTGACTGGCATTTAAAGCTGCAGACTCTATCAAGGTGAATAAAGCTGGCTATATTGATATGCCAGCTCCTGCCAACTAGATTGCAATCAAACAAGCTTACGACGTCTTGCCCCCTTTTATCCGCCAACGTACCCCAACGGCTCTATAGCCACCTTGGGTCTACCCCGCGTTTTTCGCGAGTGTCAAGGGTATTGCATGCAGTTCTCCCATGGTAAAGTGCTATGTGCAGAGCATGCGAATTGCCTCCTACGGCCCCCTGCAACTGCAACTACCATGGAGTGTACCTGAGTGTGGACCCCTGCCACTGCGTCCCGAATCTCGATTGGAAACTTTTGACAGCACTTTCGGATCTAACCGACGCGTGTCCTTGGGACATGGATTTAAGCTCTTTTCCTTGGCATCGCTGGAGCTCGGCGTACCTTCATTCGCTGCATGCCTGCAGCTGGTGCTGTACTGTACTAATCCTACCAGATAGTCATAGTACATTATATTGCAACAAAAATCAACTCCATGTACTGGATAGTACCCTGAGCACAACCGGTCCAGCAACTCCATGTCTCATTGCAAATCCGGCAGTAGCCTGCAATCTATGTACAGAGCGCAGATCTAGTAATAGCATTAAGGTATTAAGCTTAATCTAGTATTGACCACACAACAGTACGAGGAAGACCTGCCTGCAGAGTAGTCTGGCAGTACAGGATCACTACTCCGAGAGGGCCGACATTCACAAACATGCCAAGATGATTGCAATGTAGCTTTCACAAACAACAACATACAACAAATGGAAACCTCGAGCTTCTCATATATTGGAAGAAAAAATATTTAAAAAGGCCTCCATTTCCTCCATTCTCTCTCCTCACCAGCCAGCCAGCCAGCAGCATCTCGAGCAACTCAGATCACATCTTCTTCAAGAACAAGGAAAAACAGAAACACATCCGCAAACATGCTCTTCCTCAAGCCCACTTTCCTCCTCCTCGGCTCTCTCTTCTTCAGCGCCACCCTCGGCCACGACGAGACCTTCGAGCAGCTCGTCGCCCGCGAGAAGCATGTCGAGGCTGCCCGCCGCGATCTCGAGAGCTGTGCCCACAAGCTCCGTGCCCGCGACGACATGAACTACCGCAAGATGCAGAAGCGTGAGGCCTGGATCAACGAGTTTGTCGAGAAGCGTGGCATCACCCGCCGCAGCGTCCCATTCACAAAGAGGCAGACCACCTCTGCAGAAGTTTCTTGTAAGTCCCGGCTCAGATTCACAAATCAATTGAATAGCCATTATCAAGATATTTGGCCGCAAAGGATATAGACTAACCACAGGAACCACTAGGCATTCTTGCACCGGAGGTCACCATTGGTCCTTACTACCTCGATGGCATGCCCATCCGTGTTGACAACCGCGAGGGCGAGCCCGGTGTCGAGATGCTCCTCGAGCTCCAGTTCGTCAACGTATGTATCCCGGCATAAATACCCTCCTTTTTTTTCCTTTTTTCCCTTTTTATGTCCAGTACATGTATATACTGATCACAATTGGACATGCACAGACAAAAACCTGCGAGATCATTCCCAACCTCTACATTGACGCATGGCACGCAAACGCCACCGGTGTCTACTCCGGTTTCCAGGTCGAAGGAACCCTCGTAAGCCCCCCTCCCTCCATCCATCCCTCTCCCCCAATCTACACAAACGCAAACTAAAACTAACTTTCACCAGGGCGAAACCCAACTCCGTGGCCTCCAGCCCACCGACTCCGACGGGTAACTCCCCCCCCCCCAAAAAAAAAAGCCCATACCGGGTGATAACCCATGACGCCAATTATCCAGTACTAACACGCATATTCCAACAGCATTGCCCACATCACCACGATCTTCCCCGGCTGGTACCAAGGACGTGCGGTGCACACGCACATCCTTGCGCATTATGGCGGCACCGTCAGCGGCACTAAGTATGTTGGTGGCTCGCGCCCACACATTGGACAGGTCTTCTACGACCAGAGTCTCATCACCAGCGTTGGAAAAGTTTCGCCGTATACCACGAACACGAACCAGTTGACCACCAATACTGCAGACGGTATCTTCAACCAGCAGAATACTGGATATGATGGTTTGTCTTTCCTTCCGCTGTGCATGGGGGAATGCGGATGAATGGTGCTAATAAATATATGATAATAGCTATTGCCGACACCGAGCTTATCGGAAGCACTATTGCCGATGGTGTCATTGCTACCATCTCTGTTGGTATCTCTATCTAAACGGAGATAATCCGGCCGTTTGTCAATTCTGCACGGCCATAGATATGTATACTGTACTGTAGCTAGCTGGACTATTTCTGAGAACTTAAAAAATTGAATTCGTTTATGAAAATTGCCTAAAATACACATGGAAGAAAAATGACCACGAAGAAAAAAAGTGAAAAGAATAGTGAAAAATGAAGAAGAGAAAGAAAAGACTACGTATACAGAAAAGAAAACAAGCCACTTATTTCTGCGCAGCCTTAATCAAATCCGCCGCCTAAAAGCCACACCACACCATTAGCAAAAGCCCACACAAAACCAGAGAGAGAGAGAAAAAATAAAAGGCCCAATCGCAACATACCTTCTCCGCAATCGCATAAACCGTCGACACAATATGTGTCGCCGGAATCAACGGAATAATACTCGCATCCACCACCCTGAGATTCTTCACGCCATACACCCTCAGACTCGAATCCACCACACCCCCCAACTCCCTCGGCATCATCGCCGACGTACCCGACGGATGAAACATGGTCGACGCACTACTCTTCGCATACGCCAAGATACTCTCATCACTCGTCACATTCGCACCCGGCAGCAACTCCGTCGGCACCAGCTCCTGAATCGCATCGGTGGCCACAACCCTGCGCGCATAGCGGAACGCCTCGACCAGGAGCGTCAGGTCGACGGGGTTGGATCCAGTGCGGAGATCGACGATGGGGCGGAGGAGAGGGTTCGTGCTGTTTATTTCGACGTGGCCGCGCGAGAAGGGGTGCTGCACGGAGACGGCGAAGGGCATCTGGTAGCGGCGGGCGGAGCCGCTCTGCCAGATGAACTCCATTGCGGCGGTGTTGGGCGTTGCGAGGTGTGAGAGGAGGATGGAGCGCTGGGCGGTGAAGCCGGCGATGACGGCGGGGGGCGTGTCGTTGCGTAGGTGGGCGGCGGCGGCGGCGTTGGCGTAGGATGTGAGGAGCGGGGTGGTTTGGTTGGTGTAGGAGGAGAGGGGGAGGAAGGCGACGGAGTTGGGGCCGCCGGTGGTCCAGGCGCCTGGGTGGTGTTAGTATTGTGCGGTCTTGTTGGTCATTGGTAGGAAGTATTTACCTTCGCGGTCGGCATAGAAAAGTGCCTTTTGCTCAGCATCATAAGTGGCATTGCGGTCAAGATCCCACAGTGAGTGCTCGACATTGTCAACTAAAGTTTTCCTATATTAGTCGCGACCCCTTATTAACGATGGAACAGTTCAGCATACGCTTGAGTGACAAAGTGGCAACTATTCACACACAAAAATCAGGACCAGTCTTCTGATCATTTCCAGGGTTAGGGTTATGACTTACATGGATGATCTTGGAAGTTCTGACCACTAAACATTCGGTTTACTACCGTCAGTGACACGTCTTATATTATTTGTAGGTCGACAGTTTAGACTTACACTCCAGGCAGATCAACTACCACTGGGATCCCGAGGCGCTCTAGCAGGCTCTTCTGTCCGATTCCTGTACAATACAACATGTTAGAATCCGGGCATGCATGACGGACGTAGCTAGGTGCATGTGGGACTCGGGTAATAATTACCAGAAAGCTGCAGGAGCTGCGGCGTGTGGATTGTGCCAGCTGAAACAATGTACTCTCTCCTCGCTGCAACCGTGTATGTGGTATTCTTGCCAACCTCGATGTACTACATACCGGCCAACGGAATCAGTACAAACCCGTCTCAACGCCGGTAATCGCCCCGACTTACCTCAACACCAGTAACCCGATCCTTGTCAAGGAGCAGCTTTGTCACATGCCGTGAGGTGATGACGTGGAGATTTGTCCTGTTTGTGAAGTTGTCGTAGTATGCGCTGCGCGAGTACGACCGCGTCATGTTCTTCGGGTCAATAGTGTTTGGTGACCAGAAGGCACCGATGGCGCTGCCGGCCTGGTCTTTGGACTGGACAATCCCAAGACTCATGAGGGCGTCCTGGAAGTTCTCTGAATCGCAATTTGAATAAGCGGGGGCCAATTGTAGAGACGCGGAGAGGCCTAGGAGGGGAACATACTCGTTTGTGGGAATATGAAGTTCGGATATCCGGACTGGATGTACCCGCTATCACCATGCACCTCCGGATCATACGTGATGCCAAACTCCTGCACATGGTCCGCATTCGGGGGCGTGAACGTCTCGCTCTACAACACCGTACCCCTCTGTTAGCTGCGCTACATCTCAACTCAAATCGCCAGCCAAACGAACCTTCTTGAAATACGGCAGCATGCCCTTCCACCCCCATCCCGGATTGCCCAGCTGCTCCCACATATCATAATCGCTCGGCGAGCCCCTATCAAACATCATCCCGTTGAGCATGGAGCTCCCGCCCAATGCGCGGCCAATGGTCAAGTTCTGGGGACGTCCGGAAAGAAACGTCTGCGGCTCGGTCGTCACGTTCCAGTCGTACTTTGAGCGCATTGTGTCGCCCAGGCATCGCTGCAGGATGGCTGCACACTCCTTCTGGTCTGGAATACCGGCCTCGAGCACGAGTACGCTGACTATGTACGCGCTTGCTTGTCAGTGATTCTGTACATCTGGGAGAGACGACGAATTGGATCGTTTGGGGTAGGGGGATAGATAGTATTACTTTTGGGGTCTTCAGTGAGACGGTTTGCGACGGCCAGGCCCTAGAGGTTTAACTGAGTTAGCTATCACTCATTGGGAAGAAATGTTGACTGGCTGGCGGGTTTAACATACGGCTGTTCCACCGCCGGCAATGATATAGTCGTAAGTGCCATTGACCTGCTCCTGTCGTTCAAGGAGCTGCCCCAAGAAAGGCGCCGCAAAAGCGCTGCCCGTAATCGAAAGACTGATAACCAAGTGTAGAAGCATCTTTGCGCTGTTTCAACTATGAAGCCAGAAAGATATTCCTCCAGACCACGTCCCAGAGCGCGCTTTATAAAGAATCTCAAGCTCACCCACTCCCACTGCCTCCCTTCCCTCCCCCACCACCACCCCCCAATTCCCATGCGGGGAAGGGAACGGGGGAGGCTCCAGAACCACGTGTGCTAGCCCTACAGAAACGGTACCGGACATGTCGCTTCCGGGCGTGCAGGGAGACTCAACCCCGCGACTGGCTCGAGTGGGCGTATTGTACCGATCCACTGTTCTCCCTCACTTAGGTGGGAGGGGGATGTTACACCGCATTGTGTACGGCCCCCTCCCGCGGGTGCGACTCAGGCAGGTGCGATCCACTTTGCGCCTACTGCGCTGATGCGCTGATGCGCTGCATGCTGCTATGCGTAGACTTCCCTGGGTGCCATACGAGGAGATTTTACCTGCGCTGGGATTTCCCAGGCCTTTGAGGTTTGGGTTTGAGCTCATGTCGGTATCCATCCATGACCAGCCAGCCGGCCAGTTCGACACAGAAAGTCACTTATCGCATTATACTGGAATACGAGAACCACTGCACTGCAGAGGTCGAGAGGAACCATGAACCCCCCTCCGCGCCCCATCCTCCTCCCCAATCACTCAATCAATATCCATAATAGTATGCCCAGGTACATTCCTGCCCCCCCCCCCCCGGTTCTGCTGACGAGAGCCTGACTCAAGAGCTATCTCTCTCCTTCTGGTGCCTGCGGATGATAAATTTGATGCTTCTGGCACGAAGTATCCGTCCCATGTTGCGGCGAAGACGGCCTTGGCGCACGTACATACATACGAATCTAGTAAGGAATTATGCTGCCGACGGCAGCACAGGACATCATTAGCCGAGAAACAAGTATGTATACGTGATATCGATATATCGATATCGATCGAGCATTCCAAGATGTTGTTGTTATCAAACAAAGGCTGATATGTCAGGTACGCGGCGCGGACTCCTCGGCGGGATTCACGGCAACTTTTGTTGTTTTGTGTACTGTGATTTCGGCTCTCCCCGAGAATAGAGTCAGCAGATAGGGTACATAGTTTATCTCTACGGTGTAGAAAAGTACATGTACTTGTTTCGACAATCGCCATATCTACCTGAAATGATACTACATGTATGCTCATGCCGGGGAACCCAAACTTATCGACTCGTGCAACGACACGAGACAACCCAGACCCAAGGGGAGGTCGAGTATTCTCAAACACCATCCGGGGAAAGACAAATGTATGTATGATCCTGCAGACCTACCTACCTACCCATCCCACCACCCAGTGCGAGAGAGTGGTTCGCTTGGTGGCCCCCCTCGGTTATAATTAATTATTCGCATTGCATCGCATCTGCCGGGATGTTGGGTTTCGGTAGTTGGGTGGGATATTAGAGACATTGGTGACATTCGTCTTGGGCCAATGAGAGACCCGTTGCCATGCTAGCTTGCGGGGTGTGTGTCGGGAGGACCCCTAATAATTATATAATCCGTGTAAGGGTTACTCTACTCACTCAAAACGTGGGGCATGTATGTAATGTAGTAAGCCCTTGGCCGAAAACTGCATTACCAGGTCAAGAGTCCCAGGTACGCATGATAAAAGTACCCTGCTACCTTGTCGCTCAAAGTTGAGTACGGATGTCCTGTCCGATTATTGTCGTGGGAAGAAGCACCAGAGATATATATGTATATTGGGAGGATTGCGGTTAGGGCGGGGCAGGGCCTAATAACGATCCGCAGGCCTGATTGGTCGAGCGCATGACATATGGTCGCCGCTAATCTTAATTTAGTTATCGGTAGCTAATTAGTTATGTAGCCACGCCGAGAAATAGTTGGCTATGCCGAGAGATCAATTGCGGTGCGATAACGTCAATCATATCAGATCGCCGCAATCCTCCGGCCCGACGATCCCCGACATGTTTTGTAAGATGTGCTTCCGCACAGTATCGAGGCCATTCTTTCAAGATCCATCCATCCCTTAGTCTGTATTCTGGACTTGTGGCAATCCATGCATGCATGGCCTATCGTACAAAATTCGGAGACTAGCTGGAAGTGTCAGTCAGCGGTGCAAAATTGGCCTCAAAGGCAGTGGTGTAGCACTTATCGTTAAAAGTTGTGTCCATCACAATTGCCGTTTCTCCATGAAAAGATTATGAATCACAGGATAAACGAAGAGATTCCCCAGGCAGAAGTACATGTATGTACCTAGCCTGGAGCAGCTAGCAATGGCAAAGACCATACATGCATAGATCGCCTGGTACTCTAGAGCCGGATATCCGATGAAAAATATGGTTCCTGATGAAATGCAACTGATGCCGAACACGACCACGATTCTGCAACGTTAGCCGAAGTTGACATTGAGGCAGAGGCAAAACAGATACGAAATCTCGGCCACTGGAAGCCCTTTTTCGGCCGGATGACCACCTGTCATGAGTCTAGCTTTCGCACTAGCGTACGTTATTACCAAATTAAGGCCACAGCATCCACTTGAAAACCCTTTCCAACAGTCACGTGGCCTATTCCACGACAGTTCTTGAAAACCGAATTCTACACAGAGAACCTCACCAACATACGCACAGTGTGTATTCCCCATCACGGCCCTTCTTTGTCCGCCCAATGTCTCACTTCGACCATCACAAACACCGACTCCATCCATCCTGTTCCACATTTCCAACCACTCTATAATAAGCAACACCTCCCACGCTTGAAAAACCCACCACCTTGAAAGCGCTTCTTGCCAAACGCACATTCAAGAGCGTCCCCCCCAATGCCTACTAAACGCGCCCCGAGTCCACGCCTGTCTCCGCTCCACCATATATCGCCACCCCCAGACTAACTATACACAGTACATGCTGAATTTTTGTTTTATCTAATACATAACAGACAATCCCTACCATATATCCAAACACACATGCCGGCCATGCCCCGCTTCCCACACCTCCTCCACCGCCTCCTCTGCATCTCCCTTCCCCCCCGCCCGCCCCCCAAGACCGATCCCTACACCATAAGCCACCCCTACAATGCGCACGCCGCCCCCCTCTCCTCCTACCGCCGGGCCACACCTCCGCGCCGGCGGCCTACTTGGTACACCCGTCGTCCCTCCGGCTCTACTCAGTACACCCCCACCCAATTCTCCCAGAAGCTCACACACAACCCCTCAACACGCCTCACGCACCGCTGCTCAACCCTCAGCTTCACCTGCGCCGGCCTGGCCCCCACCTCCTACCACGCCTCGACCGCCTCCACCGCCGAACAAGACCAAGTCTCCGCCGCGCTCTTCGCGCGCCCCGACAGCGGCTTCGGAAACTGGCTGCCCGTGCAGGGGAGCACGGTGCTGTGCCGCGAGTGCGAGCTGTTCCCCGCGCTGACGAGTTGTGGCGGGCTGTGTAAGCATTGCGATAAGACTGCTAAAGCCCGCCCGCGGCGGCCAGTGAGCGATGCGTGGACGATCTCGGCGTATGAGCGGGACTCGTTCTGCGGGACCCGTGGCTCGTTCTACGAGATAGATGAGAGGGATTCGTTTTGTGGGCCCGGGACCTGGGGGCTGGAGGAGGAGGAGGTGGAGGAGGAGGAGGTGGAGGAGGAGGAGGGAGGGGAGGTGATGGTAGAGGGGGGGCTGGACTCGCCGACGCTGCCGTATGAGCGCTTTTTCACGATTGGGTCGCAGCCGCCGGTGCCGCCGCCGACGCCGCCATTGGTGGTTGTGAAGCGGGGGCGGCCGGAGGAGGAGGAGGTGGGGAGTATCGATTTCAAGTCGAGTTATTATGCTAGGTTGTATCGGGACTGGATCTCGGTATCGTAGCATGACCGTCTTGAGATTTAATTTCGTCAATATGCATTTCATAGCGAGAACAAGCTGGTGTTCGGTGCATAAGTCAGATATCATACCTACTCATCTAGCTGGTCTATAGTTAGAGGACTAGATGCATATATTTCATAGCTTAGATATAAACTAAATAATAATGATAATACTGTAAATACCCGCACATCTTCATCTCAAACTTCATATCACCGCTGTCCGTCACGCCAGCCGAGTGATTTCCCATGACCCCACCCAACGCATATCCATGTTCGCCATCCTTCCCCTCCTCCCGTCACGGCCATCCCTACACCCGACCGGCCAAGGATCCCCCCCACCCCCCACCACCATCCAAAGCCGACCCCCGAACGATTGCTCCCAAGATCTTTATTCCCCCCCAGCCCTCCCCCCTCCCACCAATCCTGGCTTCCGGCTCCTCGGTGATTGGAAAACTCTAACACCGAGTGACGATCCATGAATTATGAAACCCCCGCTGCCCAGCGTTAAATTGCAAAGCGGATTGTCGTTGTTTGTAAACAAATCGTGCGGTGCGGTGAAACGGAGGCTTGTGATGAAGGTGGCGGGGTGGATGCGAGGGATATTGTACTCGGAGCTAAGTGATCCGATAGTTGTTTCCATGGCTTCTACTAGCTGGTTGATATTAGCGATCAAGTTCTTGAGAGTATACCACATGCTAGCTACGCACGGAATGAATCAAGTCTTGCTCTCTAAATCGATTATTAAACTCTCACATGTCTTCTCGACATCTCCTATCAGTCAACAATAACCATATCCATACCCCTTTTGCCACCGCGGGAGAATGAGTGGTTCATACCCATCAACTCATACTCCAGGGACAGTCTCTTGAATTACAATGAACTGAAACATCTTCTGGTTAGTCCATCTGATGCACAACCGTTTATTCACCTGCGGTACTTGCCGTCCGATCCCCTTGATCCAAGCTTGATCTGACGCCACCCGCAGCCGGTAACTCCCGAGTCATTTAGAGTATCCCAAACCCCCCCCCCCCCCCAATATAATATATCCCTGGTCTCTATTAAAACAGAGCTCATGCTGGCCCACCTTTGACCAGCAACCTCGCAGATCGGCATGTTTAATTCCATCGCCCATCCTGGCCATCCGCCACGTGCTGGCACGCAGTTCTCATACTGGGGGTCAGGGAAGTTCTGGGCGGTCGGTTGTAGTTTTGGTGCTGATGTGGTGAAATTGCAACGTCCTGTGGCCTGTGAAACAATGTGGGGTATCGAATCGGGATTGTAAACATCAAGCTGCGAGAGAAGGTGACTACGGGTGATAAGGAGGTATTGGCTCGTGACAGAGGTTGTAGAGGGGTGTCCTTCTCGAGCTAACTTAAGGCTTAAGAATGAGTCTAGACCCTAGGTGAGAGGCGCACGAGGGGGTGAGATTAGTAGGATCATGAACTACACACAGATGTTGAAGGGAACAAAGAAGATAAAGGAGATGAGGAATTCGGGACTAAACGCTCCATGAGCATGGATGAAAGCAAGAGTTCAGAAGGAAACTAACCCTTCACCCCAACTACCCTTCGAGGCAAGCCCTAACCTCATGGAGACCAGACAGAGCCAGGCTAAGCGATCAGATTATACCATGACATCCCTCCAGCTCACCTCCAATGGCCCCGTGGGTGAAATAGAGCGTTCAATCTGTTCCACCTCTTGTTTAACTAGCTTAGAAAAATTCGAAAATAAGGTCTTAGAGAAGAGCGCACGCATGTTTTTTATCGAGCGGTCAACAGATAGACTCATGAATTATCACTCGCCTGTAGGCAAATTTCCTGTAGTTTCTAGACCCCACAAAAAACGGCCATCCTTGACAGACCATGGGATAGTGTGGTTTGAAAATAATGTTGGATAGAACTCCGAAGAGTCTTAGAAACCCAAGCATTTGTTCAATCACACGCCTCCTATTGTGTAATAAATCGGTTCAACGGGGCAAAATATAGGAAGACTCAAAAGGTAATATTATGGATGATTCTATTTCCGAGGAGGATAGGAGTCTCTCCGCTTATACATATGATGGTGACAGGTCTAGTTAAGCCAGATCGACTGTGGACACCGTTGCTAAGACCACTTTGCACCAAACTCAGAAACCACCGCGAACACGAACCTACATTGATCTCGACCCAAAGCGGTACCAAGTGTATTAAACCAACATAGATTAATTCTAGATCTATAACCACGAAAAACGATTCCATAATCCCTTAATTAAGGGATTTAGAATGGTCAAGTATGTATCTCACCAGCCCTTAATTAGCCAAAGATACTAACAAGTATCAGCATCTCCCCCCCTCCGGTCGGAAAAAGATCCATTGTCGTTAAAAGGTTCCAAAATCCCTGATTAGCACATACGATCATGTACTGGGGACATTACACCACAAATCCAAAGACTGGCACACCCACCCCAAGCTGGTAGCAAATTGTCCGATAACATCGCAAAGTAACAACGACCTGCAATAACTTGCGCGCGAGCTCTCTTAAGACTAGAATGGTTAATCTGGCCTGTGCATACTCGATTTTTCTTGATGGCAGGCCGGCCACTTTCCTTATTTGGATAGTATAACTCTTTATCTACAAATAGCTTCTTCGTCTCTGGATTAAATTTCTTTCTATATCTGTTTGCCGTTCGCCGGGAAAGGTTGGTGAACCCCACTATAGAAGAACATTTTCTAATACTCGGGCAGACAAGTCCGGCCCCCGGCGAGCGCTGCCCCTTAGCTATTTACCCACTATCCAGATATTAATACAGCGGCTGCTACCCGCCAAGACTTTATTAACACCCACTGAGGGCCCCAGGCCAGTACCAAGTGCACCCAACAGTACCCCAAACTCGCCGCAGGGTTCCTCCTTAATACATCACTTCTGAGTAGCCTCGCCTGCCAATGGACTCTAACAAGCTAGTGATATGTCTTCTTCCACAATAGAAATTAAAGAGTCGGCATAATTTCATGTCGCAATGATCATTGACATCCGAGTGATAATCAGTGACTCGGTAGTGTCATTAACCAAAGAACCACACTGGCGTATGATCTTTTTTCACTCTTTTCAGTCGCAGATACGTGGATCTATTCACCGAGACGGATGATCAGTGGTGCTAGCTGGTTATTCGGAACGTCCTCGTCACGGGCGGTCACTCGGTCGATACACACATGCCGTCCGCTGGAAGCATGGAAGCAGACGGGTTGGGGGCGAGCCTAGTTAGTGGAGTATATGGACGGCTTGTTGAGACTGGTGGGCAACTTGCTGCAAGTACGGGATGGGTACGAGACTACGTATACGTGTGTTTACCATCTTCCCCAGCACGCAGTCTTCCACGCTCTGTTTGTGTAGTGGTATATGCCTCCGGTTTAGGAAACTTATGACGACAGCGGATACCGGGTTCGAATCCCGCTTAGATCCACTACACAAACAATTTTTTTCTCTTTTACCTCAGTTCTATTGTTGAAATGAGAAGTTCTCTGATCCATCGCACACCTGTGTCGTGGCCGGGGATTCATGAAAAGAAAAAAAAAAGCCAACATGCACACCAACACGGGCCACTAACCCCACACGGCAGCGCGACCAGCTGCTTGGTGCCCTGATCTTCACAGTGATGAAAGGAGATGAGAATAATGTCTTATGCACATTATTGTGTGGTGCAGTGCACGTGTGGGGCACGGGAGGAAGAGCACTTGCATCGAACGAACAATTCGCGATCGGGCCGGCGACATATGCAGATCTGCCATCGGAAATCTCGGCAATGGTATCCACGAATCCTCGTGAGCAAATACAGTACGTAATTTTGCGGATATGTATCCTACCAGTTGAGTTCTCTTGCTAACGCCGATGAATTAGCCTCTCCGGTGTTCCAGACCTCCTCCTCCCGGCCTAGCTTAAGTTCCAGTGTCTTGGTTTCATAAGTGTGGCTACATACATGTAGCTGGGTGGCACTATGCCGATATTACGTACTGCGTCATTTATTTTGAGTTACCGCGTTTGACACGTATACTTCCAAAGTACTCGCAGCAGGTAACAAGTACCCGAAAATGCAAGCCCTAATCTGCAATTGCCATTGGAGTAGAAGTCAGAAATACACCAAAACCTTGCAGCTGAATTTTCGGGTACTTCAGGCCTGTTGCGAGTATAACGTGGATGTTAAGGAATCTCCAGGACAGCCCTCTTTACCCTACCAATCTCCAAGACGGTGCAGCAAACACAAAAACCAGAACCCACGCCACAGTTCCTCTAAATGAGAATCCTCCCGCAGGAGGATTCCCAGGTTATGATAAGTCTTATCACACTGACCGTACATGACTCTAATTACATGTTCATAGACTTCCCTGCCTGCATGAGCCTGTGTACGAACACCAGCCACCCGCTCACGTCTGCCACCAGCACGGTTTACTATAAACTGCCGGATGCTTCGGTGTTTGATTCCGTCCACAGACGTATGTAGAACCCACCACCTACACACCCGTCCCATACCCATAGGTAACCGTCTCATGTGTAGGTGCTGCGGTAGAGGTTTTTAAGCAGATACAAGCCGATAATCACCACATCTTACCAGAGGTGCCTCTAGCGGCGTTTAAACTGAGGCTTGGTTATAAGCCAGGCCGTTCGATAATGTTCTAAACTAGTATTCTTTCGGAACTCACCAGTCTATGAGATAACTACTAGCTCTCCGTATTCGTTAGGCCGTCATACTGAACAAACTACGTAAACTCACTAGGAGCAGAAGTTGGGATAAAAAAAACGTTCATGAAAATCTAACGGTGATATATCAGGGTGATTTCTCATCAGATATTTGAACGTAGCTTAATAGTATTATATTCGATGGGTCGTTTGTATTATATCGTGTATTAACGGTATCGGTAGCCTCAGATAGCGGATTTCTACAGTGGAGAAGAGAAGATTATCATACCACTAGTAGCGGTAGACTCAGAGTGTGGAATAACATCGGTATAGTTCGGCGGTGATCATTATCGTTGCACATACAACTTGAGATAAAAAGCTGTGGATTGAACCAGCCAAGCTAGAGCCATTAGTCATCAAGTTCACCTATGTTGCAGTATTTAAACAAGTACAACCTTCGAGACTAGTTAGTAAATCACGCGTCCTAAAGTAGGCTAGTGCAAATTAAGGCCCGAGTGACATTTCATGACCAAGTTACAGTACACGATTGATATTAGAGAGCGTAGAATGGTGGATTTAATGCAACTTTTATTATTTTCATCTAAATTATCCCCTTTCCACCATCTGCGCCCTCCAGCTCGAAAAAGCCAGAGTCAAACCCACATGAATCAGAGGAAATATAGGAAAAGATGATAACCTCGACACCAAAAAAAACCGAATAAGAAAAAGGAAAAAGGAAATGGAAAGTCGGGAATGTGATTAATATCCAATATTATACATCACATAATCTGTCAGCAGCAGAAGCCCGAGATGCATCGATCAACACCTCTATTTGTTGCAGCTTCCGTATGTGTAAGATGGGCGGTTGGGCACACCACATCCAGCAACAGGGTAGAAAACAACAGAGTACTCAACAACAGGCTTAGCAACCTCGACAACCTCGAACTTCTGAACCTCGACAACGGGCTGGGCAACCTCAACGACCTCGACAACGGGCTGGGCGACCTCGACGACCTCGACAACGGGCTGGGCGACCTCGACGACCTCGACAACGGGCTGGGCGACCTCGACGACCTCGACAACGGGCTGGGGAACGGTCTCGAAAACCTCAGTGACGACGGTCTTCTTGCTTGCCTGGACGCACTCGACGGTGACGCAAGCAGGGACAGCGACCTGCTCAACAACGGTCACTGGCTCGTAGACTTGCTCGACGACGGGCACCTTCTCAATGACCTCCACAGTCTGATACTCGACCACGGGCTGGTAGACGGTTTCGACGACTGGGACGGTCTCCACTACAGGGACAGTCTCAATGATTGTTTCGTACTGGGGAACAGCCACAGCCTCCTCATTGCTGTTGTAGTTGGTGTTCTAGTGTTCACTATTAGAATTTTTGATACCAGAAGAGCATGCTCTAGATCTGGCTACTTACGGAGTTGTAGTTTACGTTGCTATTTCCGTAACCACAGTTTCCTGAGTCGCACCGCTTGTTCAAACCACCAACACCAGAGCCAAACGTTTCAATGTTAGTATCAGGATTGAAGTTGAGGTTCTCGTTCATGGCTACATCCTCAAACCCGCCAAAGTCGCCGCCGAATCCCCCGAATCCCCCAAAGCCTCCGATGAAGCCGGGGAAGAAAGGAACAATACCGACACCGTCGAACCCGAATCCATCGCCTCCACCACCGAAGACTCCACTAAAGAAGTCCTCGTTTAGGTTTTGGTTGTTGTTGATGTTCTGGTTGATGTTCTGGTTTTCGTTGTCATCAAAATCGCCATCGCCAAAGCCACCGAACCCAAACTGAGCATTACGCTTCATCTTCTTGAAGAAGGTATCGTCTTCAAAGGCAACATTGTTGTTGACATTGAAGTCAGTGTTGTCGTTGATGCCAAAAGCCAACCCTCTGAGGCCAGCCGCAGCTGCTGCGCCGCTTCCAATTGCACCTCCACCACCACCACCACCGGTACCAAAGAAGCTGTTGAACTTTCCGAGGTTGGCCATCAGATTCTGGTTGGCATTGACATTCTGGTTGATGTTCTGGTTGTCGTTGTTATCGAAGGCGCCGCCGTCATCGAAGCCTCCGAAACCTCCGAAACCTCCGAAACCTCCGAATTGACGCTTCGCCTTGAATCCGCCGAATCCGCCAAAGCCGCCGAATCCGCCATCGCCACCACCAGTGACTTGGCTATCATCTAGATCGGTGTTATCATTATTGTTGATGTTCTGGTTAAGGTTGTGCTTGAAGGTGTTCTTGACTTGATCGAACTTGTCGTGGATGTGGCCTGTAAGATCTCCACTGCCACATCCATCTTGGCAATCATTACCTTCATATCGCTTTCTCAAAGCAAGGCTAGGGTCCTCCACAATAGAGAAGCTTTGGCAAGCTGGGGAACGCTCAAAGATGCCCCTCTTCTTAGTCTTTCCGTCGGGGGAGAAGATAAGTCCGTTGCGGCATGCGGTATCGGCAATGAGCTGGACATTGGCAAAATCCGTGAAATCATCAGTGCAAGCGCAATCAGGAACAATCTCCTTAACGGTCCGGTAGACAGTCTTGATGCTGATGATTTCTGGCTGAGGGCATGCCTTGACGACCTCGACAGGAACTTCAATCCGCTCGGTACATCCAACAGTAGCAATGTTGCCAGTTGGGCTCGCCGTGGCAAAGATGCCAAGGGATACGACTAAGACAACAAGACTGTGAGGGATTTTCATCTGCATTTTGAAAGCTTTTGTTTTCCTAATAAAGTCAGAACACAATCGAATGATGAGAAATTCGGGGAGCGACAGGCTTACGTTGGCGTTTAAGCTGTAACGAGTGGAGAGGATGAACGAATTGATGAAACGACAGGTGGGAAAGAGAAGACAGGGTTTTTAGTTGGCTATCGGGGAGGGTGAAGGAGGGTTTAAATACGGATTAAACCCGAGTGTTTGTCATGGCTTTAAAATTAGGCACATCTCCCCCCAAGGTCCCCGATATCAAGATACTTTGTGTGGAGAAACTACCTGTTAGTATGCCCATATCAGTACTCTAAGGGGGCTATAGTAAGCATTCGATGCCAACTTTCCATAGCTGTGACGATAAAGCTCCTTATTGGTTGTCCGAGGGTAAATGGTTGACCAGTTACTAGGGAAACGTTCCTCCTAGGTTCTTGTGATAGAGATAGATGGGCCTTTCTCGTTCCTAAACTTTGGTAGAATTTTCACAAAGTTTCGTTCCAGACTTAACCCATATCCATAGCTCATCCCCCGGAAATCGTTCGAGTAATCTTAGGGTCTTAGTGGCGCGTAGAGAAAAAGGTCCAGAATAGAGACTCGAGATGCTTATCGAGTTGATCGATGTTGTGAGCTTCAAGCCTGAAGGTTGATGAGACGGGCATGTCCGGGCGGTAAGGGAGACCCGCTGACAGTAAAGCCAATATGGTAGCTCCGCAGATGCTTTGGAATCGCCGAAAGAAATCCCCAACGATAAATTCCCGGATACAATCTCCAATACCTTTATTGAAACCGGTCCGGAGGTCTGGTTTGTCAGGTGGAACTTCTCCTCGCGGATTCTTCCAAATGAAAATCTTATATCCCCTCAGCGGTCAGGCCCAATTAGTATCTGGTCAGGTTAACCACATATGGAAGTCGTGATATTAAAAACCGTGGGAACGAATAAATCCGCACATTCATTCACATCTGATAACATGTTGATAACGCATTAGTATGAGGATATCTATGATTTTAGGAGTATCACAAATCCGCCTTCTCCGGCTAACCTGACAGGTACTATTTGGGCCTGACCGCCGAGGGGATAAGCGGTATTGAAGGAGATGGTTATTCCAAAGAAAAAAACCCGGAGAATATCGCCCAACTTTCCATTCGCCAAACCCAATCAACTTGTTTTTCCTTCCTTTGGTTTATGAATGTTGCCTCCCGAGCCTCATAACTTGATCCTCTACAATGAGGTCATGGTGATGAGCTTATAAATGGCTGCCAAGAATCGCCCGATTGAGCATTAGCTTGTCCAAAAATAGACTCAGGGTTTTGAAGCTAGAAAGCCTCTGAGACCTCCAGAATAGGAATTTCTTCCTCGACGATTTTATAATGCAGATTGCAGCACATCAACCGTAGCACCTAGTTCGTGACATCAGTGTAAGGAGGGTTGGTGGTATGTAGTTCCTTACAACATCCGTGCAATAGGTTCCCATCGCCTTCACATCCAATCTTTGGATTCAAACAATAGTCTACTCTGACACTGATCGCAGATCGCCACTCGCTTCCCTAAGGCTTTCTCATGCTGAGATTGTGAGTAACGTTTTTGACCGAGTACCGTGTCAGACCTAGATTCGAGTCGTATGGCAACAGCACTAAAGCTTCACATAAATTTTGGAGGCGAAAAGGCTCGGCAATAACCACTACCAAATTTGTATAGTAACGACCGGTACCCGATTCCCAGTCCGACACGGTAACAGGGCAAAAACGTTATGCGCAAAACCCCGGGGAAACTAATCCTTGAAGAACGATTTCATGGGCTCCAGAGAGTATTGTGAATTGCGCAGAAGAAGAAGAAGCGCTGTGGCGATTTAACGAATCGAGAAATTCTGTCCCAGGAACGTTTCTACCATCTAGGAACGAGCGGAGATCTATCGAACTTTAGAATTTGAATTCATAAGTGAAATATTGAGCTGAAGGGAGGACGAAGAAGCGGTGCCTCACCTAGTAGAGCGTTCACGTGGCCCTGGTTGGGTTTTTAGACCGAATATTCAGATATTAAGACTTTGTGCCAAAACACGAAAGGGCACGTGTAGTATGTGGTGTGGAAACATGTGAATTCAAGGATTGGTTCCGGTTGTGGTGGTCAAGTAGGTTTCGCATAGTTGCATTAGGGCTAGGGCCAGCCATGCCTACTTGGTTGCCATCAATTGAATTGAACACTCTGGCAAAATACATAACTACATGTACTAGGGCATAGCACTAGTGTCACCGACTGACAGGGACGATTGACAAAATATATTCCCGAAAGAACATCGTTGACCCCGCAAGAGCGATAACGAATCTCAACTCAACCTTTGCAGTTTGGACTTTCCAAAGTTAAGACGGTGGTTTCGAGCAATGTCTTTTGTGGTTTAGTCACATACATACTTCCTATTGGATATCTCTATGGATTGCAGGGATGGGCTAATTGAACAGTTGGCGCCCTGTACTGAGGTCTAGAGGGCGATCCACCCCCGAACCGCATATCTGCAAGGGCACAGCTATGTAGAACCCTTCCTTCGTACCCTATTGCCCCGATTTCCGACCGCATCGCATCCCCGCCGTGTCAATAACCGGGTTTTGCACCGGAGACCAATTAAGCATTACCGAAACCCAGAAGACATGTATGTAGCAGCAATAGAGTAGTCCTTTAAACTGTTATTCCTCCATACGTCCTTTGAACTCCTACACGTGTGCAGAAACAGGCCACGCATCCAACTTGGTACCCCTCCATCATGACCAAAAAGAATCTTACCACCGATGATGTTTCCAAACACAACACTCAAAGCGACTGTTGGATGACAGTTCGCGGAATTGTATATGATGTCACTGAATTCTTGCAGCAACATCCTGGAGGGCCTCAGGGTAAACAAGCTTATACCCCTGACCTAGTTGATCGATTGGAGCTCTAATCCACCCCACAGCACTTCTAGCTTATGCCGGCGCCGACGCTACGGGAGCCTACGACTCTGTGCACACCCCCGAACTTCTAGAGAAGGATGCCCCAACGAGCATAAAGAATCTTGGCCCCGTAGACCCTCAGAGCGTGGCTATGGCAGTAGACCTTGGCGCTCTCAAAGACACTTCCAGCAAAAAGCCACCCTTAGAGTCACTAATTAATACCTATGACTTTGAGGCCGTCGCAGAAAAGACTAGCAGTGCAAAGGCATGGGCGTTCTTTTCATCTGCAGCGACAGATCTCATATCTATGAGGTTGAACAAGGAGGCATTTGATCGCGTACTGCTGAGGCCAAGGGTGATGAGGAACAATAAGGAGGTAGATACGACTACAACCATATTGGGGGTTAGGACGAGGTCGCCATTCTTTGTAGCGCCCACCGCTATGGCAAAGATGATTCATCAAGACGGTGAGATGGCGGTATCGAAGGGTACTGGTGCAGAGGGGATTATTCACATTGTGAGTCGCAATGCTGGATAAACAGGGTCACCCGCAGAATTATAGTTAACCGATTCATACAGATTTCGACCAACTCCTCAGCTCCCATTGCAGATATCATATCAGCTGGTCTAGGTCCAGAAAAGCAAACCCACTTCTTACAACTTTATGTGAACACAGACCGTGCAAAGACCATAGCCCTCCTCAAGAGTGCAAGAGAAGCGGGTGTAAAAGCTGTTTTCGTGACTGTTGATGCGCACCTTGCTGGTAAGCGGGAAGCAGATGAAAGACTAAAAGTTGATGTCCCAGTTAAGAGTGCTGTTAGTGGCGCTGTCAGCCATAACGATAAAAAGGGCGGTGGTATGGGAAGGCTTATGGGCCTGTACGTTGACAGAACCCTCAACTGGGAGGATATTCCTTGGCTTAATAGCGTGTGTGGAGGGTTGCCTATTGTTCTTAAAGGCATTCAAACGGCAGCGGATGCTCAGTTAGCGCTCAAGTATGGAGTTCAGGGAATAGTTCTCTCGAATCATGGTGGGAGGTCTTTAGATACGTAAGTCAATCAGAGCCCCGGTCAGTATTCACGCAGCTGATCAAATAATCTAGCTCTCCACCTTCTATTTTTACTCTTTTAGAGCTTCATAAGGTCTGTCCGGAGGTCTTTCATCATCTTGAAGTTTATATCGATGGTGGTATTCGTCGCGGTACCGATATCTTCAAGGCGCTTTGTCTAGGGGCCAAAGCTGTTGGGGTTGGAAGACCCTACCTCTACGCTCTCAACTACGGAGCTGAGGGTATATCACATTTGACACAAAGTGAGTTTTTCCGTATCACATTTAGTTAGTAATTAGCTAGCTAATTATAATCTTATAGTCTTGAATGATGAATTGGAGACGACAATGAGGATGTGCGGGGTAACAAACTTATCACAGGTTAATCCAGGATTTGTCAACACGGCAATGATTGACCATTTGGTCCCTGATTCTACTGGGCATCCTTATGTCAAGTGGAGGCCTAAATCCATGATTTAGCTCCCCTATATGTCCACTTATACAAAGTTATTTAAGAATGATATATAGCCGTTTGCGACAGATATTATACTATCCTCAGGCACCAATTCTCGAAATCGAAATAAAGATCGTGAATACCTCTGGATCTCCTTCAAATTGTTATACTATGCAAAGTCGTTGTGACAATGAATCTCAATGCATAAATAGCATGAAATTCCGAAGAAAATAATGGGGCCCAGTGATATTCACAAAACATAAACTATCACTCGGATCCATTGACGTTTCTCTTGGCAAGATTTCGCATAAGAAATGGGCCTTGGCACCTATCACTGGTTGGACTCACGCGATTGTTTTTTTTTTGTCGCATGACCGAGTGATATCTAGTGCTGTTTACACGTCTATCGGTTCGAGGTTAGGTATATACATCTTCGTCTCCAGTTATCGACCAGACTCTTCTTGGTTCAAGTTCTCAATCGAGAATCCGACGACTTACATCCTTGTTAAAAGGAAAGACACGGGTGTTTGGCAAAAAGGTTAGCGATAGATCCTTGTCAGTGGTTTCGTGGTGTAGTTGGTTATCACACAAGTCTAACATTAGTTTCACTTGTGGTCCCCGGTTCGAGCCCGGGCGAAATCATTCTAAGCAGGCGCAGGTGTAATGTCTGAGCCTTCTCTTTCCTTTTTGAAGGTACTAAGTATTTCCTAATATGTATTATTGACATACATAGATATTTTGTCTTTATTTTGATATATACATACTTAATGCTACGAAACTCAGGTTTTTGAGACTAAATAGTAAATAATTCAATTGTAACACTCGCGAAAGGTTAAAGATACCAAATACTCAAGTATACACCAAGTAGTGGGTGAATCATAAGCAATCATTCGTTTGCATTCAAGAAATAAGAGCCCTTTCGTTCACAAGATGCGATCATCTCAGGACACATTGATCCCTCATAGTAGCCTTAACCCCTCAATTTTTATATGCCCAATCCCATCAATATGCAGCAATACCCAGCACACCATCCCAACATTTAGAGGCACATTAAAGAAAATGATTCTCACGAGATTGTCAGGCTGCATATTTGATGCCCTCAAAAAAGTGCATCACCACATATGCACGGTGCCGCCGTGATCACATGACGTCCCCTTTTTTCGAAGGAAGAAAAAAAAAAAAAAAAAAAAAAAAAGAGGGCCCCGGCGGCTCGTCAATAATTATGATTGATCAAAAGCTAGAGGTGTTGCCCACACTCCATTTCGTTTGGCCAGAAGAAAAAGTTCAAAATAACACCCATGATGATGTGGCAGTATTGGGGGAGAGAAGGGGAAAAAAAAAAAAAAAAAAAAAAAAAGACAACTTCTACCCAAGCTATCAGAAATGCCCCTACCCCGCCCGCGGGTCCGCCCAGTGCAGCATGCAGCTCATCAGATCAGAAGTTCGTGCCCTCAGCTAGCTAGTTATCTAGCCAGAACCGCCGGTGTGGGAATATTCGTGACGCAATTGTTAGGGCTGGACCTCTCGAAGGGAGGTCTATGGAAGATCGGCTATCAATGTTCGGTTCCGATCAATCATTTCTATTGGTACCTTTTCTCTTTCCAACGTAGAGCAGCGGCACAGCATGTGAAAAATTTACCCGCCGTGGAATCGCCCAGTGCAATCAGAATTGCTTTTGCTAAGCTAACCGCTTGATATTGACATGATTCCTTTTTTTTTCCTGCAGAGTCACGGATAATTTCGTTGGCCGTTGGCTTTGGAGCTGTAGGCGAGTGATATGCTATGATCAGGTCTATGGTTACAAAGCCGGGCCGAGAATAATTGTTGTGTGCTTGTGTAATGTGGCCGTAAAGGTTATGTGCGTATGTAGGCGGCCTATTATGTACTACTTTCTCTGGGCGGGTAGAGGCATATACACGTACCTCAGGCCATCAACCTCCTACGAAATGGTGATCTATGAGGAGAAATTGTTAGGCCTGATTGAAATATCCGTATAGGTTACATCGAAATCAATTTAAGCGTTTAGCCTACTTAATCGGGCGGGCCTTTTCCAGAAAATACTGCTTGATATAGAGGACCATTCCATTTTGAGGTTGTGAATATCCTGGAGGGACAGCCGATATGTTTAGGTGAATCTAGTATGTGCATGTTTTCCTTTCTTTTGAAAGGACAAAAACTTGACCTCATGGATGCTTAACGAAGTGCAGCAGGGGGTGTAGTCCAGGGATTTTCATAAAGCCTCAGATAAACAGCATCATCACTTGACCTAAGTCATACACGCGCTGACAAGGAAATCCGTATCGAACCACTGATCGATCACTGCTAATATTCAGATCCTCAGGTTGTTGAATAGCAGCAAGGGATTTAGTTAGAAAATGAATTTTTGTACTTTCTTCGAGGCCGGTATACCGGTACATGTAGTCATTTATCACTGCGCAGCTAGGAGCTAGACTAAAGACTACCCGGTTGATCATAAAGGTACATATGTACTCTAAATAAACGCCCATTCTAGTGTGCAAATATCATTTCCATAAGAAATGATTCAGAAAACCTATATATATTTACCTGCATAAGTTAGGGGCATGAGCGCCAAGCTAGCTATCCCCTAATCCGTCAAGATATGCTGGCCGTTTGTCGTGGGGGCCAAAATGGTGGCCAGTGCTAGAGCTCCCTAATAATTGTTGTGCCAGAAACGATCACTATTGACAGATTGGGACAGACATATCACGGCCTAGCCCCACACCGCGGGCCTTTATTAGAAGCCAAGGAAGTTGAAGTAGGTGAACGGACAGAAAACATCTATCAAACATCGTGAACTGCCGCTGCACGTACAAATTGGTGTTCATAGCCGACTTTTGCTGCACCAATTCTCGAAATCTTACTATTGAAATCCCTGGCCCCAGCTACCTTCGAATCGATGATAATCATACCTAGCGGCCTAGGGTACATACGGTTTAAACGCTCAAGACTTACACTATCAAGCGTTGCAAGTCATATCCCGATTCCAACTGATAACGCAGTAGATCAATGTATTTTCTTCTTACCCCCGCCCCAACACTGTACCGACAAGGAACGCAATTCTTAGTAGTCGCACTGTACTTATTCCTCCCAGGTAATCCAGAGCAGCATGGGCAAAATGAAACTCTTGATTCCGACTCTTCCGTCTAGTAACGACTAAACACTGCACTCAATTTGATAAATTAAGCGTCTTTGTTTGGCTGTGAACCTGTGCGACCACAAGTCACAGGCTAACTAACACACATAAATGCACGTTACAACAAAGTTTGACAGCTGATATATCTAAGCCCAACCAAGGCAGCAGTCTACATAGCTAGAGTAAACCTGCCGATAAAGGAAGATCTGCTCACCGGGTTCTCTGCAAAATTTGTTGGGAACCGCCCCGGGTCCAGGCTACCATCCTCAAATGTTTGAGCGGAGAAGGAGGCCGACGGAGGCCTAAAAATGTATTCCTTAAAAATAAAAATAAAATACCGCGCGATATGAGGAAACCATAGTTGTTGCAGTACTTCCCCCCAGTGCATTAACATACCGCGCGATATGAGGAACAGTAGTTGTTGCAGTGCTGTTGACTTTCCCCCAGTGCATATGGTTCCCCCCAGTGCATACGCGCTCTATCATGATCAGCGCGTGAAGACCGTGGATCTTGATCAAGTCAAGTATCTTTGAATCACCTCATACCGTGATCTCGAACGCTTGAAAGATAGATCCGTGCTAGTAGCATGAGCTGGTCAATGCCCACGTGTTTTGTTTGGCCCCTTCCTACCCATTCAAGCGGGTCGGTCGCTTGTTTCAGTCAATGTTCGGTTCCGATGAATCCTTATATGTGATTTCCATTGCATATTACGCACTCGGGCTGGCACTGCTATTGGTGAAGGCCGTAGTAAGGTTTGAATCACAATTCTTACTCTGCCCATACGATGATGGTGTCCTTGTGAGGCTCGAAAAACTGCATACGGCGTAGTATGAAGCGAGACTCAGTCAGGCGGCGTTGAGCTATCTTGGTAGAGCAGATTGGCTAGAATAGTTGATGCGAAAGCGATCATAAAAAAGCCTAGTATAGTAAAGAATGGATAATCCATCGGGTATAGATGCATTGTCTTTCGTGTGTAAAGTACACATGACATATGTTTCCTTGAACTATTATCCTCAAATTCTTGGTTTGTTTCCCACCTAGGCACCATAGACAGTACTTTTTGCGGTGGTACAAATCAAATATATTGTACGACGAATGTGACCGGACCGGCAGGCATTAATTCCACCTAGAGTAATGATATCTCTTCCATTTGTGCTGGCATGCAGAAGATTTTTGCTCTCCCTTCAGTACAACGTCAGTTTATTGAAATTCACCAACCCATGCACAGCTCGCGAAAAGAAAAGAAATTAATTATTCAAGTAGAGTAAGGAAGCGAGCCCAGATCAAGCATGTATGTATGCAGTACCAGCACCGCGCGCATTGGTTCGTTACCGTTATTAGTGTAGGCGCGCGGTATTGTAAGCACACCACAAAAATACCCGGCTCATTCGGTGGTGGCTCACAAAACCAGTGATAGCGAGGGTTGCGCAATGAGCAACAACATGTGTCTAACCTGATTTGTCTCCTTGGATGCAAAGTGCCAATCAGCTGTTGTCGATCAATTCATATATATTCACAAAGAAGTGTTCCCGCGCGCTGGTATTCACACACTTTGGCGCCGACAAATACTGTCGCGCCCCCCATGTTCCTAGCAATAGCTAGTTAGATATGTGTACCCAATAGATACATACTGTGGAGGTACATACATACGTTTTTTTCTCTCTCTGGGGTAGGTAGGTAAATGGATATTCCCTGCCTTCTCTTTTGCCCCTCACTCTCATTCATTCGCTCACTCATTCTTTACCTCTGTCCTTGTCTCCCGTTCTCGCCTTCCCGTAAGCTCTTGATTGCCTTGCAATTCTAACCTAACCGCTCAGGGGAAACAAGAGCGCCTGTATAAACCAAACAGATATCAATAGTGTAAATTTTATTTTGACATCGTCTCGTCCTTCGCTCCGTGCGTTACCGAGCAACGGGTTCGTGGGGAAAGAAGAATTGAGGGTTTTCGTAATTAACCATCCTACTATTTGCTTTTCTGATCCCTGCCTGCGCTTCATACCCCCTATCGTTCAGCCGCCCCCCATTCGTTGTAGCCGTCCGCTTCGATCGTGCTGCTAGCCCCCGACAACCACGTTTTTAAAGCTGCACGGTGTGTCCTGGAATAGCCATCCCCGCAGACCACCTACGCGCGATCCTCGCTGTTGGTGCTGCAACCATTTATTCACTAAGCCCTCCAAAACCCATTTTCGCTCCCACATAACATCTAGACCCCCCCCCCTCTCCTCACCCATTCCCCTTGTATAAGAAAGGCTCGTCCGGGTTTTGGAAACGTTAGTGTAGCATCTCGCCTACTTTCCTCATTCACTGCGCATCTCTCTCATCGCAAGTCCTTCTGCAGACAAGGTATGTACTCACTAAGGAATTTCCTTTAATAATGCCTTCCCCCCCACCTTCATTCATGCTAACTATTCAATGTCGAAAAGATCCCACAACTATTTAAAAACCCCACCAAACTATACCACGAAGATGTCGGCACCAACTCTCAAGATTAAGACCACCCACACCTCCAGAGGACCATTCTCGCCTCTCCCCTCAGAACTCCCACGAACTCCCATAATCGGCCATTTTGATTCTTTAAAGAGCCATGAGGAGTGCCTAAAGACACCTATAACCCCACCAGCGGCATATACCGATTTCTTGAGGAATACCGCCAATAGTCCGGCTCTCTGCAAATCGCCTGCATTCTTTCCCCCGAATTCAGCAAAGTCATTGCTAGCAAACACACAGGGTTACTATACGCCCACGACACCGTACCCTCTAGCACCGACATCGGCCGCCAGGCGCCTACGAATTCCTTCATCTCCCGCTTCCGCGGCTAATTACTCACCTTCCACTGAATCACCGGCGTCGGCAACTTCGCGGTCTTCGGAAGAGGAGACCGAAGTTGAAGCTAGAAGTCCTCGAACAGGGCCCCGAGTGACGGTGAAACAGGTTGTGACGACTACAGTTACTTTCACTCCTCGAATGAGCCTTATGCCTGCACCCAAGGGGAAGAGGAGACGGATTGAGTAATTGAGTTGGTGTTTGATTTGGGTGAAATAAATGTTTCCTTCCTTTTTTTTTCCTTTTTTTTTTTGGCTACTTTTTTAGGCACGGCGTCCGTCCTTTTTTAGCTTTTATCCATTCTCTTTTATTTTTCCTTCCTTCGATGGGTTCTGCAATGGCGTATATTCCTTTTTTTTCTTTTTATTGCGACGGGTGGGCGGGGGTTGTTCCCGCTGAGCTGGGTTTGCGCGATCGACTTTTTCCTGCTTTATCTCTTCCCTTCGCCCAATGATCCCTGGTAAACCCTTATTTTACTGGAACGGTGGTAGTTTTACATCTTTCTGTTTCGCCCTCTTCTGTATGTATATTGTTCTTCTAGTTGCAAGGGGGCAGAGGCCTGTGTACAATCTCTGATCGAGGCGTTTTCCAATTGCCTGTTCGCTCCTGAGTATCTCGTGCTTCATCGGCTCTACCGAGATTATCTTTTCCTTCTTCTTCGTTTTGTTTATATTGATATCATATTCACATGTCCGGGGTACCGGTATACAACATATTTTTTTTTCCAAACCGCCGCTTTAATCTCCCTCCCTCATCTCCTAAAAAAGAGAACAGGGGGGTGCAAGGGCTCAAAGCAGTCAAGCAAGTTGAGGCTCCTGCCGCCAGAACCAGTGTGTCGGGATGACATGGGCTGTCGTGGCACTATTTTCAGACACCACCTTTAATAGCTTCGGCGGCTACAGGTCGAATCGGACTGCTGGGATGTTGTGGGTGTGGATGGCTGTGCCACTCCCGAGCTCGAGCATCGCACGTCCCGTGAGTTTAAAGATTTGTTTTGCGCCGAAATTGGAACCGCTGCATGAAACATTTAATTTCTCGAGCAAATGTTTGTGATCATATCACTCAACCCACGGTCTTCTAGAAGCCAAGATATGGCTTTGCGGGCGCTATTTTGATCGCCTGGATTTTTGTAATTTGGTTTGGGTACTGTCTCGCAGTAATTGGTAAATTATGGAGGTATGAGCGTCATGGCTATGTTGATGATGACCCTGTACTATTTGAAATCTTTTTTTTTCCCGCTGGATTGGAAGAGCCGTTCTCCTTGCCAGTTTTGCCTAATTGATGGAATGTGTATGTAGGTATGTAAATCCGCTATTTTTATCATCACGATTGTCCATCCCTTGTGGAAATATGCTCGCCATTTTAGACCTGATGAGAATTAATTGTACGCGAAGGAACTAAACACGAAAATCGTGACTATGTATTTGCCTCTCAGAGATTGCAAGGCAGCAGCATCTCGGGAACACCGATATCCGGGGCTTTGCATGTTGCCCTCATCCTTTTTTGTCGGATGGATAGATTGAATATTATATAGAGTATATATATATATATTCTCCATGTGGTGGCTGACAATAATAAGGATAGAACGCTACTCATAGTCCTCAAATTAGTATTGCATCATCAGCGTCATCATCATATCCGGGCAGTCATCGTGGCCGTCGCGTGTAAGCAATTCAGGGACCCATCGCTTCGACGGCTGCCCGGCCTTGTCTGACGTGAGTGACGTGACAAGCGAAGCCCTATGTAAAGAAGGAAGGAAGGTGAAAAAAACGATTTCCCGGGTTTCTTAGCTAGTTCCAGATTAATGGAAGCATCCGTCCCGCTCGCGATGATTTTTCCAACACAGTGCCTGTGCGTTGCTGGACGTAATCATGGATCCTCACTCGTTCTCTCTGAATCCACGACCCAACCCAACCTGACGGTATCCGATTTCTAGTTCCGAAACTTCAACCCAGTGTATTAGAGCGACAGCTTGCTAAAAATTTCATTTCACAAGTGGGCCCCTACCACTCACTAGTAGCCAACCTATGACCTAATTTTGCGCCAAGTCGTTCATGTGTTGGGTCAGTTCAAGGGTAGGACCATATGATAATGGATCTAGCGGTCATTTAACCGTTTTTCGGGGTATTGACGGTCAAAAGACAAGAGAGACAGCCAAGCTCATGTTTCATCTTCTATTGGTCGAACCACACCCCTGTTCAGCTGAACACCTCTGGAGTAGTGCCCGCCAATGCTCCGTGAATGACAGTACGAGTCATGACTAATGAAACCTGTGATAACCATCCAACAATTATGGCGCAAACTGTGCCAAGGAAAGCGGTTATTAGAGAAGTTGGACTATATTAATTATCAGCTGAAGTATATATCTAGAATAGGAAACTTTACGCTTGCGCGCTCAGTAAAACGTTATGGAATCGGTGTAACCAAGCACACACAGAAACTGGAGGTGACACGAACCCGATTTCCACACAAAAGAGTGCCAAATACGTAATAGAGAGTCCAAGGTCTTATAAACCTATTTCAATTGATGAATTCCAACTGGGGGGATCATATTAAGAAAGGTCTATAAATCTTACCCTAAATATCGGCATGCTCCCCGACCCACATGTAGCCATTTTATGATTATCCTACAACCTAAGGACGCAATCTCAAACCGTTCAGAAATTAGTCTCTTGAAGAAAGAAGTCCATAACACTCACATACATCCCAACATCCTGATTTCAACCCCCCTCAACCGGCAATTCCCGCTATTAATATGTTATGATCTCCCTATTACAATCGTCCCACATAGAATCATGCTGCAACAGATATAGGTAGCATGTGTTCAGGGTCACCCCTACATACATGCGCGGGAATTGTGTGTTTTGTGTTCCCGCCAGGTTGGTTGCGTCTCTCGCTAGTGTGGTCTTGCATCATCAGTAAGGCGCAACTTTTATGCAGGTATGATAAATTAAGAGCACCATATTCGGCCTCTCTGAACATTGTTAATTCTATATCGATTCATAAAGGTAATACCATCAGTTGCAATAAGCGGCGGAGGTGGTACTAGAGGGGCGTACGACTTGAAGGAGACACGAATGATCCTATGTCCGTGTGTGTGTGTTGTGTATTGCTGTTGCTGCTTAGGGCGGCGTTGGTTTAGGAAGAGGTGGTGACGATGAGAAATGGACGATTGCCCTTCTGGAATATGACCCTCGAGCTCGTCATGCTCTTTGGTGTGTGTGTCCTACACTGTGTCCCTTGGTATCACGCTCCATAGGAATCCCTGCATGAAGACATATATTCGTATTCGTCTTGGAGTCGGTAATTAATTTGTTAGAGATGGTGTGAGAAGGTTCGTTGTTGGAGGGTGGGATGTGTAAGGTGTCGTTACTCAAGAGTCTGATGATAAAGTATCAGGATTGTGGTGATGTCAGCATACGTATGTGTAAAGGAACTAGCGCATTTTCTCTGCGCATGTGTTGAAGCTAAGATGAATGACCCACTAACAAGAAAGCTTAATTTTAGTATTCAGTCAGCCGTACTAAAGTTTAATGCAGCTCAGTGGGATGAAAGATTAGAACCGCGGCCGAAGAGACAAGGCTTGGGGTTACTTGTAAAGTGTATCATAGAAAACTTATCTGGAGATAATTAGCTTTAATAAGAATATCCAGGATCACTTTAGACTTTGGAATCAATCATCGATGGTGTTCTCAATACATTTTGAGTTTTTACTCGCTACAGGAATTCCGTCATGGATTATCACTCGCATGGCTATTGTGTGTTCCGGGAAATGTTTTGTTAATCCTCCTAAGAACAAATAATATTTCATGTAGCATTAGAAATGAAATAAAACCAAGAAAACTAAGACTAAATGTGCAATCTACCGTCTGGATTAGTGTGGTCGACGAAACGGGCTGGCTCGAGCTTCTTCCACTGCTCGATTTGAAAATCGCAAGCTTTCTGGGTGTTATTTCAATTATGCTAGAGATGTCGACAATATCCTTGGTATTTTATTCTATAAAAAGTTGGCGTAGCAATGTCTTCCTCCATATAAAGGATCTAGAATGACTTCAAGGACTGATATATCAGAGACCACTGTCAGCCCAAATGACTCGAGCTGCACTCGAGTACTGTCGTTCACGGGGTATTGGCGGACACTGGGTGTTGACGGATTGCAGGCAAACTTGGCTTGGCTGTCTCTTTTTTGGCTTGTCCGTCAACACCCAGTGTCCGTCAATACCCCGTGAACGACAGTATTTGCAAGTCGAGTCAGTCGAGCAGCTGTTATCAGTGATCACGAGCCGATTCGAGGTTTCCCCCCTACTCGTGGATCGACCACACTACCAAAATGCCCCTACGAAAACCCTTGCCCTTATATTTCCAATAATAGCTGTCATAGCTACTCATGTCAATAGATTCTACCATCCACTAAGTGATCCCGAAGATCGAGCAGACGAATTAGACCTTCTAAGCCAACAGAAAAAAAAAAGATCGGCAGAAAAAACAAAAAAAAACGGATCAGCATCTACTAGCCGGAGGTATGTACTAGCGAGAATATAAAGTCTGTCCCTTTTGGTACATGTGTGGACAAGAAAGATTGGTGTCCTACCTACGTACCAAAGCGGACAGACTTTATATTCTCACTAGACGTAGTAGGTATGATATTCCCAACGCTGCCCACAGAGGCCACTGCAGCGGCACCAAAACACAACCGTGAGAGCACGGCTATTAACTGCGTCTACAAGATCACACCAAGCTCATCTAGCTAATGGAGGATGATCGATCTTTTTTTTTTCCTGCAACGGCGGTTCTATTAACTGAATTGAAAAGTATCTTGCAAGTAGCTAGCTGACTATATGCCTAGCTTGTACGTGGCCATGCTTGCCGCATTTGATGACCTCAATTGCCGCGGACCCTCTAATAGTACGTTCGCCATGAAAGCCATGGTTTTGAAGGTACTTTTGGAAGGTGCGGGGTGGATCTAGAAGAGACGTTATTGGATATAAACCAGGGTAAGGGCTCTCGTGGGGGGCGTTTTGCACCAGGATGGCAACGACAGGAAGTAAGAGTTCGGGGGTAGATTGCACTTTCCCTCTAAAACGAACGGTCGTTGCTATAATAGCAAACACACCACCCAACAACAAAAGATTGCCAGAAAAAAGGAAATCCCGTTCCCCGCCTGTGTTCTCAACACATGCCAGAAACGAGACTTCAATCATGATTTCGCCCGGGCTCGAACCGGGGACCACAAGTGTGTTAGACTTGTGTGATAACCAACTACACCACGAAACCGTTAATCTTCATAAGTATTTTCCATTTTCATACCGTTGTCCTAGTATGACAAATTCTGATCCTAACCGACCCCATGTTCCTTCCCGCAGTTACGTAACGGAATCCTGGCTTCAAGACGTTGGCTAGAAGCTGGTAGAGATGGAGGTAACACGGTTATAGTCTTGGCAGCGAGTATAAAGAGATGCGGATCCTCCCTCCCCCTCCCCCGCCTTTCTTCCTTCGCTGTGACTCTGCTGTGTCTTGCAGGACAGACAGCATCCGTTCGATTGAAACGCAACAATGGTAAGTGGGATTCAATCCATCTCTATCTCTCGCGTTTCTGTGGGGAAAGAAAACATATGCTCTAGAATTATCCTGACTCGATCTTTGCTGTTATTTTATCTACCTGATTTCGCCGTCTGTTTTGTTTGTCTATGGTGCATTCGCTAATTGATGATTCCAAAGTTACTAGGTTGCAATTGATGTTTGATGGAGCTCGAGGTGTGACGTACTTGACGGACTTAACAGTGCGGTTGGCCTTGTTACGGCGTGATTGGCTTGTTTGTAATTAGCAAGATCTTGCGCTGTGCGCTTTAATTGTTTGCACACTCGTACACCAAATCTCACTCGCTACTTCTGACCCCAGTGCTATCACTATACATATGTTATTCGCTATTCTAAACCGTGATATTTACCAATTCCAAGTCCCCAAGTCTTCATAAAGGTCCTCACACAAAACAAAAAACTCCATCTCTAGATCGGCCCCGTCTCAATCTTCTCATACCCCTCAATCTTCCTCTCCCTCTTCACAATCCCCATCGGCATTCCCCTCCCAGTAAACACAAAAAACGCCCACTTCCACCGAAACGGATTCACCACCACACACTCCAAAAACCACCAACACAGCTCCCCATACGTAAAAAAGTCAAACGCCCCCGTCGGGCTCCTCGTCTTCAACCACCTCGTCCAGCGCACCCAAAACCTCATCGCCTCCGCCGGCGGCCTCGTCAACGGATCATTCAAAAACATCAACAGCAGCCTCGTATACACGCCAATGTGGAAATGCCCCACCGTGCCAATCGCATTCACATACGTACAATTACACGCACACACGTCCACCGCCCCCGGCGGGAACGTCTGCAGATACCAACTCGGCGGCTCATACCCCTCTTCAAAACAGTCTTCTGGCAGGAAGCTTAGACTCGGCCTTTTAAACCCCGTTGCAAACACTATGATGTCTGCATCGGCGAATTTCTCGACGCCGGGGCCGCCCTTGGGGACGCCTTGGGAGCGCTGGTTGTAGCGTACGCCGTGTTCTTCGATGCTGAGGATGTCAGCGCGGAGCCAGCGCGCACGGCCGGAGCGGATGTGGGAGAGGAGGTGGGAGTTGACCATGGGGGTTGACTCCCAGAGGCCGGTTGTGTGTGGGGGTGGCGCGAGGGAGGAGAGGGAGCGGTAGAAGAGGTGGCGGAGGAGGAATTCGGGGATATAGGAGAGGTAGAGTTCGGAGCCGAAGGGGTTGAGGGAGAGGAGGATGTCGATGAGGGGGTTCCGGGGGATAATCCATTTGTCGGACTGTGAGAGCGGGGGCGTTAGTATGGTACTTGTATGAATTCAGAGCCGGGGGGGAGGGGTATGGGATTGTGGGAAACTGGGGGTTGATCATTGGCCTTTGGTAGGAAGGGCTGGCTCCGGATTTCGGGAGGATGATTGGTCGCCGGTGATGCGAACCAATCACTGCCCCCGAAAAGCGGAGCTCACACGGCTTTGGGTGAGTGGGTATTGGCCATGATCGGGATGCTGAACCAGTCGCAGTAATCCCGCCAGAGACTATTGCAATTGCTGATATCCGCAGATACAGCCAGTCCGCATACCCGGCCAGCCATACCCTTACCAAGACCGCGCTCTACAAACAAACAAACAAACAGAAAGCATAAAAAAAGCCACTCACCCTCGCCAACAAACTAACACTCTCCGCCCCCCTCTCCAACGCACACTCCAACGCCTCCACCGCGCTCGCCCCACCCCCCAGTACTACTACCTTCCTCCCCTCTATTCCTACGCCCTCTAACTTACTCGAATGCACTATACGCCCCTGAAACCTTTCCTTCCCCTCCACGCCCGGCACCATCGGCTCCCCACACGTCCCCACCGCCGCCACAACCCCATCAAACTCCCACTCCACCCTCCCATTCACCCTCCACTTCCCCGTCTCCGTCCTCTCCACCTTCTCCACCTTCGTCCCCAGCACCGTCTTCTCCTTTAGCCCGTACCGCCGCCATAAGGCTTCGATCTGCTCCAGGATCTCCGAGCGCTGCGGGTATGCAGAGTGGAACGTGATGGACGGGTGGAAGCGGTACATGATGCTGTGGATCTGCAGCGACGAGGTGCTGTTGACGCGCGCCCAGATGCCGCCGATGGTGGGCGCGCTGTCGAAGATGAGCACGTCGGAGTTATGGGAGACGCAGTGGGCGGCGGCGGAGATGCCGGTGATACCGGCGCCGATGATGGCGACGCGGGGGCCGGTGAGTGGGGGAGGCGGGGTGCGGACGGGGGGTGGTGCGAAGAGGGTGGTGAGGAGGTGTTGGAGGAGGGTGTAGAGGGTTACGAGCGGGTGGAGGAGGGCGTGTAGGAGGGCGGACATGGTGGGTATCATAGCAGGAGATAAGGTGTTGGGATGGGTACGGGTGATGGGCTGTGATAGAGGTCGAGTAAGAGCTAAGACTCGAGTGACAATTGAGGTAGGGAATTACAGGAGCCGAGCCGAGTGAGTATTGGTATCGAGTGTGCCGAGTGAGAACCGCGTATCGAGACGAGTGAGAATCGTGAGAACCGAGTACTAGTCGCGGACAAGAACTGGAGCCGAGTGATAATTGAGCCGAGTGAGAACTGATCTCAAAACAAATTAAAGTGAGAACCAGAACAATGCCTCAATTGCCAATTCCCCGATCGATCCTCCAACGCACCTCAAGCTGTCAAAGTTCAAAGTCAATGCCAAAGTCAAAGTCAATGCCACAGTCAAAGTCGCTGTCAAAGTCAGGCAGATCAATGTCTCACAACCCTCGAGCAGAACCACGGCCACCAAACACCCCACCATTTATACCCCCCACCTCCCCCACCTCCTCCACCTCCCTCCTCTACTCCGTCACAAGCCAGTTCTACCCAGTTTATTTACCCGCTCCGTAATCTTTCACATGCTCTCCTCCATCCTCCAAAACCTGTAAACCAAACATTACCCCCCGTCCGCTGCTGCATGACGTCACACCACGCGCTCCATGCCAAGCCCGGAAGTACTCTAGACCCATCGCATGTGAGACACATCCATCCCTTTTTCTGCTGTGCGGGATGGACGGGATGAAGATGGGATGGATGGTGCATCTGCACAAGAACGAGCGACAACAAAGACAAGAAGATGGTTGTCCCTTCTTTTCTCGGCAGGCACAGGCACAGAAGCAGGACAGAAGCAGCAACAATAACAGCTAATGCGCGTGAGACAGCGATCGTGGATCTGAGTCTGATGGGATGGAAGACACGTGTGGCATCTTGTGGGAACTGAGCTAGTTGGGTAGAGAAGAAAAGAGAAGAGAAGAGAGGCACATACAGCAGACGAAAAAATATCAAATGGATTCTGATTCTGAACAGAGTAGAGGAAGAGGTTAAAAACGACTAGAGTACAGAAACGGAGCTTGATCTCCATTTCTTGCCTAGCTAGAGAGCTCTACTCCACTCTCCCATCCCAGCTGTGCCCCCCCAACAACAACAACCGCACTTCTCTAATTTCGCCCCTGCTCTCCCCGGGTCTTACCCCCCTACCCTAACTACATAAAGTTCTGCCCAGCCCAGGCTAACCCCGCCGGGTAGCACAGCAGCCCATGCCCATTGGCCATGTTCCAGCGCGGAAATCATCGTTCTGACATGAAAGCATGGGCCATCACATCGCCGCCGCACATCAAGAAACAAAATTGCGAACGACAGTGCGTAATTTGGCCTCTATTGTTGGTGCGGGGAGTTAACTCTAAGGGGCCTTAGCTGGCTAGTTGAGGTTCTTGGGGAGCACAGACACTACACGTAGGTAGATCTAGTTAGCAGATCAGTACTCTAGGTGGTGGTTATATATAGGGAGTCTACATACCATGGGGAGTTATGAGTATATAACCCCCCGACCTCCTCGTTTTCACTCTCCTTCCCGCCCTTCTTCTTCTGTAGATCTTCTCACCACCACCACTGTCATTACTGTGAATCTCTTATTACTTCTACTCACCCAGTACACTCCTTCACTCCCTCACCCAAAAATACCCCAAACCACCCATCAATATGCAGTTCCACCCACTCCTCGCCACTATCCTCGCCCTACCTCTGGCCCTCGCGGCCCCTACCCCCGCACCGGGTGACAACTACGTCCTCTCTCCTCTAAAGGAGAATCCAGTAACTAGCATCCTCCCCCGCGCAGACGCCGCAGATCCCTCCTTCACCGACGACGCAAAGTTCCAGTCCGAATTGCTCGTTCACCACAACCACCTCCGCGGCGAGCACACCGCCGGACAGCTTGTCTGGGATCCGGAGCTGGCACGCACGGCGGCTGAGTTGACGAATACGTGTGTTTATGAGCATTCGGTAAGTTTAGTGATGATCCGATGTTTTTATATATCTCTGTTCAAGCCCCTACCCTACCATACGATACCCTAACCCTGCCCCAATTAATGCCGTACCAACCATTCTCCCAAATCCACCCCTCAAAAAACCCATAATAACAATCCCCCAGTACGCAGCGCGCAACGGCGGTCCCTACGGCGAAAACATAGCACTCGGCTACCCGACCGTCCGCGACACCTGCTACGCATGGGGCGAGGCCGAGCGCGCGTCCTACACGCCGGCCGAGTACGAGCACCCGTCGTACAATAGCCGCATGGGCCACTTTACGCAGATTGTGTGGGTGGGAACGCAGCGGGTTGGGTGTGCGCGCAAGCTCTGCGACGGCCGATGGTTCGTGGCGTGTGAGTACTCCACGAGGGGGAACATAAGGGCGGAGGAGTACTACAAGAAGAATGTGTTGCCCCCGGTGGCGAAGGCTTAGAGGCGGCGGTGCTTTTTTCGAGGGGAGGGTGTTTTTTGATTCTTGGGGTGTTATGGCTTGATGGGATTAGCCTTTTTCTTCTTCTTTGGCGATGTAGATGTTTGGGGATGCGGACGGGTACATAACTTACCATACATAATTAGATTCTGATGCCCATGATAATATTATCACGTACTTTTTATCTCAGGTGAATCTTGTTGGTTGAGATGATCTAGCTTCAGAGAAGGAGAGCTAGAACTGATGGGCGAGGGTCTGTTGTGTGTAAGAACTGGTGACTGAAATAAAAAGGAAGAGGGAGGGAATTAAGGGCTCCTCTTTATACGTGGACAACAGGCGTAGAGAACAGATGGCCCAAAGACAAAAGTACAGATAAGTTAGAAGCTTAGAGCCACGCGTGTACACCTTAACTAACGAACGTCAGCTTGCCACAAATCGATAATAGATCTACCACCTGGCTACATGTAGCTTGACCTCCATAAGAAACAAAGCCATACCTATACCTGGACCAGCCCATCAATTGATACTAGCAGTGATTATTTCTACACTTGTCAAATTACATGTAGTTGATTTAAATACTTTCGTGGTACATGGGTAATGGAGTATTAGCCTGGCTACAAAACCCTTCCGCATCCGTCAATGCTACAATTACTTAGAACCTCAAAACGGTAACAGCAAAACGGTGCTTTAACTTATTCCATAACCCTAGCTATCCCACCGCCAGCCAGCCCCCGTTACCCGTGGAAACTAGTCAGGAACAGACTTCAACCTAGACATCACAGCATCTACCCAGCGCTCCTGCTCAACAAAAAGAAATTCAAAAAGCAACGTAGACTTGAACCACAGACATAGTTAAAGCCCCACGCGGGGGTCGAACCCGCAACCTTGAGATTAAGAGTCTCACGCTCTACCGATTGAGCTAGCGAGGCATGGTAGCAAGCGTGATGGGGGTTAATTTCAATCTTTGTCGTGGGTCCTATCTGCGCTACTGGGCCCCCCTGGTGAACCTTTGGGCTTGATGTGGCTAGATGTGGTTAGGCTGGCGCTTGGCTTGGGTAATGTCGCCGGCCCTTGGTGGTGGGTCTCTGTATTTGCTGTAAAGCTACAAGCTGACTGACAGCGGAATGATGGTTATTGCATTAGAATTTCAGGTATTGCGGTGACGTTTGTTAACATGCTCTACCAAGTGTAGCGGGTTTCGAGGAGCTGTATTAATGGCTTGGCGTTCTTTCTGAAGGAATTCAGTTTGATACAGCCAAGCCCCACTATCACCGTTCATTTCAAGGATGGTCCTATCCCCCTTAGTACACCTTGGCGAGAGTACTTGTAAGCTTGCCCGATCTTGAGCTTCAACGACTCGGTCAGTGAAAACTAAAGCAAGTCGAGACGGGGCATATATTGTATTTTTGCTCATCGTGGATTCCTTGAGCCTAGTTGATCGTAGTTCACAGATTGATTATATTAGGGAGAATACGGTTGTGTGTAAAGTCTCGGTACTGCGCATGCTGCTGAGATGAGGATTGTGGTGTTCGTTGGTCTTGGGGACTTTCATGAAAGTACGGAATCTGGATATTTAAATTAATTGGATCCTGAAATATCACTCGTAACCTGGAATCACGAGCATTCCAAATCATAAATCATTGACGTCATCCAGTTGTTTGATCGCTCTGCATATTCACTGTGCACCGCGATTGCCCAGCCGCGGTAGTTTCTGTGGGCAGCGAATCTCTCGGTTTAGAAATCTTCTTCCTGATGTTGTGGAAAATGGCCTTATTGATCATTGCCAAGGGAAACGGCGAATGCCTAGCCGCAGCCTTGCGTGGTAATACATGTACTTATACATATTCGCGTCAGCGCCGGTGTTACATATATATATTGGCTGATCTATTGACCTCCGATAAGGCAACAGGAGGAGTTTGGGCGCCGAGAAATAGAAGGTGCAACCTGTAGGCTTTCCTCTAAATAAGCACATGTACTTTTGAATTCTCTTCGCCAGCGACTACGCACATCGTATCCGCCAGCTAGATATTTACTACAAACTACATGAGGTCCTCAGTGCCCCGGTAAATATTGGCCAATTTACTCATAATTCAAGCGCTCTTCAAAATTACTTAAGCCATTTAATTCTCTGGCTGGGAGATACTGTCTACCAAATATCAGGATCCACTAGTTAAGAATCTATCTCCGATCTCGGAGTTACAATGGCTCATAGATTAAAGGCTATCGGAAAGGTCTCCTCAAAATATGATCAGCCTTGCAGCTAGGTTTCTTCAAAGCGCAGCCCCATCTGAGAGGGCTAATCTGACCACGTGGCCTGGATTTAACCACATATATCTTAGGGGCGCAACATGCAAATTATGCACTATATTCGCATGGTGTGTGTGCTTTAGTCCATCCAGGAATACCCCTCAGGGTATTGTCATCTGGATCTCAGGAACATCATTTGTACACCGGACTATCATGCGTATACATACTTCTCAAGCCATTTAGGAGAACGGTGGTTCTTTCACGCGCAGAAGGAATGAATATCTATCATTGACACCAACATCGATCGACACCAACACCGATCCCATAGGATACTCAATGAACAGTCTCCTCATGTATTACGAGCTCGGAATCTAACAAAGTATGTACCCTAGGCGGCCTCAAGACTCCCTTAATATATTTGTGGAATACTGCATAGGCAAAATTCAATAATTTGAGTATATCTACTCTGGTTCTCCGGATTCCATGGATCCAGGGACAAACAGGCTGCAAGTGGAACAAAGATACATACTCAATCCCGATTTCCACATGTACAGAGGAATAGCGATCGATAGTTTTCCCAGCCGGGTGGACAATTCAGTTGAAGAATGGACCGGATTCCTGAATAGACTAGAGCATTGTTAGCGGGGTGTTGTTGGGTCGAATACTATAAATTATTTGGGTTTCAGTTACCTCTAGATCTACATCCGCTATCTATCGATAAACTAAAAAGTCTATGTTTTCAACAAGTATACGTATGTGTGTATTCTTGGCCGACGAATCGCTATAGTTTTCCCTTTCTCCAGGCCTACCATCTAGTGCAGTTGGGTGGAGAAGAAGCAGGCGATGCCCGTCATCCAACCTGCCTTGGGGGCATTTCCTACGCGTACGGATGAAGCCGCCAGCTTTAATCTAATGAGCGCGAACAAATACGTGAACAATTGAAAAAAACAGGCGACGTGGTGCCAGGAGCGGTATGACAGTGTTTTGATAAAGTTTGGAAGCCAACTCTGATAGGTTCCCTGTCTGAAGTTCCTTCTGTCAACAGCCTCAATTTCAAAACATCGAGCGGTAGGGTTGGGGTTTGACACAGCTAGGAGCCGGAGACACGGCAGGTTTGATCCCTAGTAATCGCCACCCGACTTAGTAGCTGCTCCGCTTGTCGTGTTTCTACTGGTAAGCATTGTTACGCGGGGTAGATATTGGTGTATGCATTTGCAAATGTCTTTATTAGAGATGGTCCACAGCCTACTAAAGTACTGTACGAAAACAGTGTGAAACATTTGCAATGGCGACAAAGAATTGAACAACAATACTTTCAACCGCATTATCCGGACAGATAATACAAAAAAGGAAAAACAATAATATTGTAATTGGTTTCCGCACTTGAGCAAGTCTTCTCACCGAATGTCGACCAATCGTGATCCATCCACGGCCGATCAAGAGGGGTATATTATTAACGTATTCGGATGAGTAGGGAGGACATCTTTCTGTACATGAAAGTTAGTTCCTGGGCTCCTCCAAGTGCGGAGTAGAAAAACAAGGAGAGGACTTGAACAAATACAGTTCTCAGTTGGGGGCGGGCTCAATTCAAATATTCACCTTCCAGGTCATAGCAGCTACTTCTAGCCACGAAGCAGCAGATCCCCTCCCTCAGAAAGTGTCCAATAAATCAGTGCGCCCACCGCCCGAATTCCTAATATTTGGAATTAACCAAGTGGTTATTGGCGCGCGTTAGTACTGCAAGAATTATACCGTTCTCCGGAAGCCATCCATAACTGTTGAATTGACGTAATCGTAACTGCAAGCTCTTGCTATATGTACTGTGGTAACAAATCAATACCGATGCAATTAACAATGCAGTCTATTTCGAAACTGCTGTCAACATGTCCCCCCTTCAAGATTTTGAAAGGTCATGTGAGGGCCAAGCTATCTCTCAGAGTTCATCGTGAAGTTGTGTGGAAACAAAGTTGATTCGCCAAATCAGTTTCAAACAACAGGAACTTGTACCGCTCGCCGGATCCAGTGTCAGCTGCGGGAGGCTAGTGGGGAACTAAGTTGCCTTTTGGCGGTATCGCTAGCCGGGGGGAACTGTGTCAAGAAGTACATAGCCAGTATGAGCCACAGAAGAAGGTCCCTTTTACTTCCTTCTCCTAATTCATCTTTCTCTCATCATCAACACACCTGATCATCCTTCAATGGGAATCCACCAGCAGAGGCGGGCATTGAACGAGAAGTCCCATAACAGCGCGGTGAACACCTAGGGGCCCAAGCGCAAACTGTTACAGACTCCGGATCTCGGAGTCCATCTGGTCTCGGCTCTTGTTATTCGTGGCGAGGAGGTACCTTGGGTCGAGAGAAATGGGGGGTTTATTTCATGTCAGGTGCAGAATGTGTTACATCACTGTCTTGTTGCAGAACGGATACATGACTTTCCCCTGGAATGTTATCAGTATGTACTTTTTATCGTTCGAGGAGCTCACTGAGTTTAGTATCTCCAATAGGCTCGACTGGGTCGAGTGTCGCTCGCCTGGATCAACTCACGATAGTGAGGCCGTAACGCTGGCTTGGTCAACCCATGAAAGCCTGGTCTGGACCGACCCGAGGGTTTGGAAGCGTTGACTGAGGCCTGCACGTACAGTAGATCTCGTCTCCTCCAGCAGATCTAGTTGCGGGGAAATCCCAATCCGCGTTCGTACACCACCTCCTCACTCGGTGATTGACATAAAAACTCCATTGCAGTATTAATAGACAGCTGAAAATAATCATATATGTACTTCTGCAGCTATACTAGCAGATAGACAGAAAGATATGTGTACCCCGCTCTCCAAGTGTTCCGATATCCCTCTTTCTAATGTGCTCCATGAACGTCTATCGTGCACTTGCAAATTTGGTAGCTGAGCTGAGCGATTAAATGAAACCTCCAAGCTAGTAAGGAGATTCTGCCCTCCCTTTCTATCCGCAAGTGCAAATGAATGCGTGGTTGAGTGTATGACCTGTAACTAATACTGAACATTGGAATGGGATGCAGCTGTGGCGCAAGTTGTGCCAAGCCGTAACTATAACCTGAGACTGTAACATGAGACTCGGGTGAAACAGCAACCTTTCCCGCCACGGGGCTGAGACCAAAGGTCGGTGAAAAGTACGCGGGGAAGGGTTGCCTATTTTGTTTGACGTGAGCACGCCACAAGGAGAGTGAGAAACTGTGACTCGGAAAGAAGTAATATTCAGCTGTTGACGTTTTGTTAGTACATTCTTCAGATTTATCTCACCGAGGAGGTGATACATAGGGTCACACGATTCCTGTTTGACAGGAGAGTAGTCCTACTACTAGTGTAGAATCACAGACGTGGTGACGTTTCACTGACTCGTGATCATCAACGGTAAAGCCAGGGTCTGACCAAGTGCATAATCCACAGACTCAAGGTAATACAGAACCAATTGAGGGTAGGTTTTCGTTAGTTCATGCATCAATTACTCAATTGGTATTAAGCGTTGGTTAGCTTAATAGTCAAGCATACTTCTTGAGCGATTTATCACAATCTGATGGCGTGGAGATCTAGAAGAAAGTGCATATTATCATCGAGTGATGGTATATGATTCACCAACATGTTTTAGCTGTGGTCAACTCATTCAGGCAAATCTGGGGAGATTGCGGGGTTTACAATCAAGTGTTTCGATTTTGCCTATCTTGGATGCCTTTTCAGCATCGGCCGACGAATGAAAACCTTAATTCACGCTGATAGGGGGATCTAGCGATTCGTCGTCCGGGCTTCACCAAATTGCTTACTTGCTTCGACCCGCATTTGAATTCTTTGTAAGGACCAAAAATAAATCTGTCATGAGATAACTAACGTAATCAATCATCTGCAGTGCATGCACCAGGTCATAAGTTCATGGATGATCCTCACTTTCAATCAATTCATGCTGCAGTTTCTACATACATAAGAGCTCAGAGTTCGTATAGGAATTCCAGCCGGGTCTGGCCAAGCCAGTGTTTCAAACAGCACCATACGGCAGTTCATTGAACAAATACACTCGCATCTGGTTGGGCCTCTCGACGATAGATTCTGCGTCATCTCCCGTGATGTCTACCGACGGCGACTCGGTTAACAGCCTCGGGGAATTTTTCTGCAGTTACCGGCCTAGTGTCATTGATATTACACGTAGCTTGATGCAAAGTAGGTGACTCGATAATTATTGCGCGAAGGACCGATCATGACTGATTATGTTGCCTAGAGACGCACTGTAGCAGTAAATCTGCCAGCAGATGCGTTTTCTTCATTTTTTTCATTCTCTCCTCCTGTTTTCATACTGGGCGCGTACCTACTACTTATGTACACACATACTGATCGCTACATGTCGGGTAGGATAGAGTGTGATATGGTAGTGATAGCCACATCATCTTTTTAACCTGGGGGACGCGCAAAACGTGGGCGGGGGTGTGATCCGATTCCCGTAAACAATAGCAGCTAATAGATTTCTTTGATTATAATTTTTCCCCTGTGGCGCGCAATGCGCATCCTTCTGAAGTGGTCTGGATCTCATATTTCCTGGGGGGGAGAAACAGCGCAACGTGGAAGGTGAGATTTTGTAGCCACTAGGATCTTGCCAAGACCACCCCTGTGCGCAACCGGCTGGCTAACTAACTACATGTACCCCAGGGTACCTCTGAGGGTATGATCCTGAACACAACTGAGCTGAAGTTTACTTACTTGCGAATTTCAATCTGGTGTACATACATGAGCGCTACCTAGATCTTTCTAGATGGTTTGCACCTTCAAGGGGTACACTGGCTACATCCTATTTTCAAACTTACGGTGTCAACAAATAATTGGGCCGGAATCACAAGGTACATAGATATTTTGTTGGTCCCAACGTATTCCATTCATGCTCCCAGTGCTAGTCTCACGAAGATTCCAGATGCCGGATTGTTTCCGTCTTTGGGACTAAAACCAACAAACAGAAAGGATGGGGTTGAAACAAGAATATGGAGAGATCTCCGGGTTAATTAACGGCTATGACTTTGTCTCAAACAAGCGCGCGTTGAAATTCAAGAGTTTATTTGCTTCAGTAGCTATGCTACAATTTCAGTGTGGCACGGTTATCAACCAAGTTTCACAAGCGCGGTCGGCGGTCGCGGAAGACACAAGCACGCTTCAATTGATCAAGCAAGAGAGTAGGTACCACTTGTGGTTTGGACCTCTCAGAAAAAACAAACTTCTTACTGCAGCAGCTGTCAAACCCCGGATTGTGTTGAATCGCAATGCTGACCACCCTATAATAGAGGAATGAAATTTGTATGGGAGATCTATTATTTGATAAGAGAGATAACAAGATCTGTTAGTAAAGCCACAGAAGAATTTGCTTTTCTAAGGGGGTCAGCATTTTTTGCCAGACGAAGGGATAAGCAGGCAGAAAACTTTTGTTGAGAAGGTGTACTTTCACTTTTTGGCAAGCGCGTTACACAGACAGACGGGAAGAGAGAAAAAAACGCACCACCAACGTATCCGCTATCAATCGATAAGATTGAAATAAATTAATCAATGGTAAATGCCCGCCAGTGGAAACGTCAAATATCGACTTTTACCCAATAAGCTCTCCAGCGCTGGCCTGCATATACCGGAAAGATGTTTCAGAGCCCCCTGACCTTTAGCTTTCGTCTTTTATAGGCGAGACATTGCTCGGGAGAGATCATTGACTATGCAGTAGCCTATTTAATTTTTGCAGGCTAGAAATAAACGTGGTAGGAATGGAAGCGATGAGCTTGCATGCGTCGACGTCGAATCGGTGGAAGATGTACTTTTACTCTTGCAGGCACCGAATTTAGTGTATTCCTTTTATAGATTTTAGGATTTTTCCCTCTAATCTTACAGCCAGCTTATCGTGATTTTTTCGGGTGCTATCTACATGTAGGCTATGGTCATTACAAGCCAGAGATATCGGTGGGGGGATATTCGCCTATGAGGTGACCGTTTGGATAAGTTTTTCAAAGAGGACTAGACTACATACTTGTACCTCTGTACTCTGTACCTACATACCAACACCAACAGTGCCCCTTGAGCTTAGAGACGTTCTCACGATTGCTGACGCATATGTATTGATGTTACAAGTTGGTGCGCGAGCACAGCCTCTCGTGAGGCTCTGGGATAAGGCTTCACTTAATTGAGTTCGCCACGCGCATCGAGTTACTCAAGATGAATTATTCCCACAATTTTTTGCTCATCTCGCTGGTAATTTACGTAGGTAGCTTGGTATTGGGTCCTCACTCTCGAGTGGAAAGACCTCGTTTGGGGTGGGCGGCTCCGTTTTCGCGCGCGTGCTGTAACACCTCCACCTTACCTGGGCTCGTTTATTTGGTTCTGCCAAAAATTAAACTCATTTGGGACTACGCCACACCCAGCACCAATCCCACTGTGGGGTAGGCACCCATACGTACACCAAGCAGTAAATGTCTGACACGATTTACTGCACATCCGTGTCGCAGGATGCTTTGGTAGCGAATAGAATCTACTTCCACTATTGCCAGGGTATTAACATCCAACTATCGATGCATCCGGCACTGCTAGCAGTTTGCAGGTTTAAAAAGCCACCCATTCCTGCTTCTTTTCCACTCGACATCCATAAACAAAATCTATCTTCTTTGATACGTCCTTCCTTCCTTTTCCTTTTTCTTTCTCTCTTTTTCATTTCTGGGTTTGTTGTCCCCACCCTCTCTCCCTGCTCCGCTGCAGTATGGATATTATTCGATGAATGGTTTCTGCTGCATGAGTAGTCTAGTGTTTCCTGCTTCGCTTTCAAGTGTGCCTTAGCTGACATACTATTCTTCTTAGGCTGTGCCCTTATTTACTTATTTACATTCTTATCATTTGTTTACATTTCTTTTTTTCTTTTTTTCTCTCGGCCTTCCAATCAGCTTTTCAGCACACTTACTCGGACGCTGTCCCCGTTACGTTACCTTCATATACCCTTCACTTCCCACAATCGATCTATAAAGCAACTTCACCTCCCCGATCTTACAGCCTTCTGCTCCCATACATACATACACTCACTACAATCCAAACATCTATCAAACATCACACACCCTAGCGGTTCATCATCAAACAAAGCACAACTACTCCAAAGCTTCATTTCCTCAAACAAAAACTAAGCAAGCCCAACCCACTCTAATTACAAATATCTCAATATGTGTCTCGTTCAACTCCACAAGTCTTCCAAGTCCACCTCCGAAATCGATTACTCCGTCCCCGCACGCATCGTCATTACAACGGATGAGAAGCATCACGTAATCAACTCCCAGCGCCGTGCATCGGTTTCTCAACCGCCGTACATCCGAGCCCAGCACCGGAATACGATGGCTTCGGGTGGACCGGGGAGAGCCTCGTATGTGTCTTCGAGAGGAGCTGCCTACCATAGATGCAATGAAAAGTTCTTCTATGGACGGGATAGCAGTGAGCCGCTACTGGAGTCGGATTCGGATTCGGATGTGTCCTCGACAAAGTCAGAAAAGTCGGATACGAGTACGGTCTGCGGCACTGTTAATGGAAGTGTGGTTGTCAAGTATTAGGGGTTAACAATTTGGGAGTTGCTAGGACTGGAGTTTTAGAGTTTGATTTTGGGTTTTTGGGTTTTGGATACATTCATGCACCTGGCGTGTAGTCTTATTTTGGTTTGATACTGTCACTCGTTTATATTTCTCATTCGATCCTTAGTTTCTGGCCACGGGAACACGAGGAAAGGTTAGGGTCTGGTTTTATTTCTTTTCCTACTAGGGTGTTTAGAAAGGAGCGATTTTTTAATTTTGTGTTACTCTTTTCTTCTTGTGTACTCAACGATACCCTCTATTGATACCCAGACTACCATATACGAATTTATGACTTTATGATGCATTGGCGGATGGATAGCGGGTGTTTTTGTTTTTATTGGTTTTTTTTATTTTTTTTATTTTATTTCCCTTTGCATCTACATTTGAATTTTGGAGCGCTTGGTAGTTAGTTAGCTTATCACTTGATATAATCTGAGAGTTTTCTAATGACAACCTTATTCAAAACCGATCATTGCCACGTCCATTATTGCCTTGATATCGATGTGATCATGATCGACTGTCTAACACTCGATGCGGTAGAAACTCCAAGTAAATTTGTTTACCAATAAACCATCGACTTGTCATTAGTAAACCTGAACGACACTTCTGCAAACAAAACCGGATTCAACGAAACGAAACATCAGTGGTCGAGCTGTCAATGATCTGCAAGCAGATAATAAATGATGTAGTTGGCGTTTGTTACCACAAATAGCTCCGCGGCCTCGGCGCCACACCGGAAGTTTCCGGGCCGGGGGTGCCAAATTGAATTTCAGGTCACGAACTAGCACTCGGCCACGTGGTTGGGCTTTTTATTCGAAAAGGAACTAGAAAAAACAACTAGCACGGCTAAGTTCAGCCTAGGGATCTAGACGTCACTTCATCAGGTTTGATGAGCACGCTAGCAACGTCGAAATAACCTTTGGAAGACACCACGAGGGGAGCGCAGATCCCTACCTCCCCACATGTGCCTAAGACATATTCGAATCATGAGACGTTCACGCTTATAGAGAGCAACGTCAGAGCGCTATTACATCAATGGAATTATCATCATCATCCTTCCGAGAACATCAAACAAGTCCCTCAAATCTCCCCCCCGAGAAACATGAACGTCCATAATAGCCCAGGAGCCTGTTTCGTATCGGTTTTACTTTCGGGAACAGCAGCCACGCGGTAAAAGCGGAATATACTGCAACGCTCATACTATTCACAATAGAACGGCCATTCGGTTTGAATAACAGCTTCTATGTGGAATTTAATCACTCACGAAAGAGCACGTCTATCCGATTTCAGCATGTGATAGTCAAAACCAGCTTCGTTTTGTGTTACAAGACCGAGGAGTGGATTGAAGATCTTGAGGAGTGATTTTATGACTTGACCGATATTCTAGTTTCACCTGGAGTGGTGTATCCGTGCGGGGGAGGGGTGGGGGGGGGGGGGGGGGTTCAAGGGCAACTGATAATGGTTTTCTTGATCACCGGCGAGCTATGCTGAGGAATGAAGACTGAAAGTTGGCCCTAACATTATAATGAGACTCAATCGACAGTGGCCCCGTGCATGGGGAAGGAAAGAACTTTCAAGAGGGGAACTAGTTGAAACATCAGAGGTACGTCCTATTCATCGGTAAGCGAAAATGACGCAAATCAAGTATTTATGTAGGTATACATACTAATTTACTCAAAATCTAGGCTCTGGCCCAAAATTAAATGATTCTCAGGTACCGGAAGCAATTAGGGCAATCGACCAATTCATGAAAGCAATATATATGGGGGATTGAGACATAATGATAGAGGAGGCACTCTATGATCGCACGCAGCTTGAGGATAATATTAAGACAGACTCATATTGATTGATATGCCGCTGCGCTCGACCGGTGAGTGGGGAAGGATATAAACCAACTGATGGGATGAACATTTCGGCGAGGCTGGGGGACGCTTATTGTTCCGATATTGCCCTAATGAGAGCAGTACGTAAAGTTCGGCGGACAACTGCTTCCGGTACGTTATCAAATAAGTACTCGCAGAAAAGGGAGCATGTTGCCAGGCTAGGTGCGGGATCGAGATAAACCCGTGCCGCCGTTGGGGGATTGAGGAGAGTGAGGTTGTGGTCAGATCTCTCGGGATAATACTCTAACTCTAATTCGTCTAAACTCTTATCGGTACTTAGGGCTGCACTGCGGCTCCCCGCGGTCGGCTCATGTATCCCTTTTCTCCCTGGCGATCCTGGGAGATGATACGGTGCAGCTGGCCCACGACAACAGCGAAAGCTTATTCTTCGCATTTCCGAAACCATTTGTTTCACCTCGGGTTTTTGCTGTGACACCACAAGTACGGCCCTTGTTTTGGTCTCTTTTTTTCCCGAAAAGATTCCGGATACGTTGTTATTGGCTGGTGGGTGGTATCTTGTGTTACCATGGAAGCATGGCAGTCTTCATTGGGCTTGATGTGCCTGATTGAATTCATGAAGAGGCCACACTAAAGTATGTACTGCAACTATATACTGCAGTACTCATGTGGGGAGAAACATTGATATTATCGATGCGATGTGCGGAAGCAGTCATTGCTTTCTAGCATTTCCCATCATTGACAGATGGGCTTACCGATATACTCCGATTTGCTTTGCTTACATACATGCTACAGTAACAATCCGTGGTCTTATATGTAAGTACGGCGACTTCGTTGATGGAAAATATTCAATCTATCTTTTAGGTGATAACATGCGAGGAAAGATATAGACACCTGTCAACAAGTTACAGTTAACTTAGTAACTACTCCCAAAAAAGTATCTGCCGAGGCTGTGTGCGAAGTTGTGCGAGTTCCCAGACACTCGTACCATCGTGGCCGTGGAACCTATAGTAGACGAACGATACTGGATATCGGGAGGTTGCATGCAAAGGTCGCCGACGCATATCAGCAATTTACATATATTCTAACCGAAAAAAAAACACTGAATAAATCACCGATCGATGCTGCGAAGCTGATTACAAAACTTGATCGCGGGAAGGGGAAGGAATCAAAGAGGTGAAACGCTCCGAGGGGATATATTTGGGCGGCGACGGCGACAACAATCTATTGTTGTACAGGACTAGATATATACCGAATGGAATTCCCGGTCGTTTCCTATTTATTCAAAGGCGAATATCTATTGCGTATGTATGTATGTATGTGTATGTATTGGAACCCCCCACCCCCGCCCCCTTTTCGAAGAAAAATCATAGACGTGTTCATAATAAGAGCTTGATGGGCTGACTGGCTCAATCAATCAGCAAGAGGGATACTGGCCCACATACAGAACCTACCTAAAGCCCATCTAATAAGAGGGCCGAATGTATTAGATTCAAGGCTGCAGCATAAATTGAAGGAAGCACTTTAGAGTCGTGCTCCCTTGGCCCGCTGTGATCTGCGAATGGAAGCAGAAAGGCCGCAAAACCAAGGGACATTATATCTGAAACGTATCAGAGCGACTTCTTGTTCATCATCATCTTCTCCTGCGACTATCGCAAGGATATAGGTAGTATCACAAGCCCTAGTGCGTGTGGGGAGTCGGGTCAATGGGTTAGTAGCGACAGGTGGCGCTATTACTAGTGCTATACATGAGTAGCTATCAGCAGCTCGATTCTGTAAAGGAAAATGGGGTTAATGATTCAGATGCACAGTGAGCTGTTGCTAGCCGGATGATGGGGTACTGGGGGCTGAGACAGATGTCAGTATGTCAGCTGATCGAGTGATAGTTTATGGTTCGTTTAATTGGACGCAACATGGCTCCGGACCAAATATGTCTTGCACAACCCAGGTACCCGGGTAGAGTATGTTACTATGGTGAGATTGTGGGTAATTTGTTTTCTGGCATCATCCTGGAAAAGTACGATTGGACTTAGTTATGGGCCCACATGCTTAGTTGGATTGAGTCTTTATTTATTCTGAACATAACTGGAGAAAGCAAATCAGATGCCTCCGCCCAAACTAACTAAATGGTAGCAAAATTAAATTCATGCATTCATGATACAAAGTTCATCTTTTGTGCAACTGACAAGTTACACCTTCTCAGGATGTGAGTAGGAGCTGGTAACTCTTTCAATGGCGCCCTTCTCCTCAAGCGCGCCAAGAGCGTGCCTAGCGTACTCTGGGGCAGCATCTCCACCAACACGGGCTTCTTCGCCATCAAAGTATTTGGCAATCTCCTCAAGCGGTGTGTAACGGGTTTCGACAAAAAGCTATTAGAAGATTAGCAACGTTTATCGCAACAGATCAGTCGAGGGAGCTTACGAAGTAGACGACAGTGAGTTCGACGGCCAGCCAGCAACAGTATACAATGTAGTACTTCCAGCTGATCGAGGTGAGGGCTACAGGGTTGACATAGTTATTGAAAAACAGTGCCAAGTTAACGAAAAAGAACATGACTGCCATTCCTCTAGCACGAATCTCATATGGAACTAAGTAATTAAGTTAGTCTCTTATCTCAATACTGGCTAATGACAGGATCAATGTGACTTACGAATTTCGACCGTGTACCCAATCAACAATCCAGACCAAGCCATATTATAACAAGTGTAATAAATAAAAATCATGGCCACAACTGCACTCCCCGCAGCACTACTCTTCTGCTCAACTGCAAACTTCGAGGCAATGGTCCAGGCAATGAACGTAATCATCATCCCAAAGGTCGACCCCAAAAACAATGGCCTCCGACCTGCCTTATCTACAGCGAACGCCATAGATCCAGCGACGATCATATTCCAGATCATCAAGATACCATTAATTAAGTTCTGTGTCTCACTATCCTCGATACCCACCTGTTTTAAGATATCACCGATATAATACGAGACCAGCGAGTTACCAGACAGCTGCGAGAACAGTCCAGCGCAGATACAAATTGTCATCCTATGACGGTTCCCCTTGGTCGACCACAGTTCAGAGAGACCACGCTTCGCAAACTCGGCCTCGAGAGCAATGGTCTCCTTGATCTCGGTGAACTCGAACTTGACAAGCTCGTCATTGAGATCACCGTTTGCATGGCAGCGGGCGAGGATCGCCAGGGCTTCATCATGGCGGTCTCGTGAAATGAGCCAACGTGGGGATTCGGGAACGGCCCAGATGCAAGTCAGCATTACGGCGGCGGGGGCGGCTTGGAGAATGCTGGGAATACGCCAGGACCAGGTGTTGTCGATACGGAAAGTACCATAGGTGGTCCAGGCAGCGATAATCTGATAGAGTTAGATATTGGAAATTTATCAAGATGGGGATTGGTATGAGATTGGGAAACCTACCGAACCAAGATACCAGGTAGTGTTGTAGAGAGATGTGATACGAGCACGGTGCTGCATATGAGCAAGCTCAGTTACCAAAAGAGGAGCAGCACCATGTGCAAGTGAAATTCCAAAACCGATCTAGAAGCACAGATGTTTAATTACCACGTATGATATATCGAAATGGGCAAACACGGGAGTGGCCTACCAAAAACCTGGCGAAAATAAACATCCCTAACGCCACACTCGCGCTTTGAAGCGCCACACCGACAAACATAACCAACACACCAATAATAATGGCAACTCTCCTACCTCTCCAGTCCGCTAGCCATGGTGAGATGGGAATCGCACATATCGAACCCACAGACATAATTGCATTGAGAAGTCCTCTCATAGATGGGGTTGGTTCGAAGTCTATTGATCCCATTTCAATTAGTATAAATTAGTTATAGCCAACCAGCTAACCAGGCAGCCAATGATAGAGCTAGCAGAACATACACTCCATCCAATTGACAACAGTCTGCAATCCATTCATCATGCTCCCATCGAATCCATTGGTAGCAGAGACCAGAATAACAGTAGCAAGCAACGCGTAAAGTTTACGTAGACCAGGGTCCTTGTACCAAGTCACCAGCGGAAAGGAGTGGCCCCCGAGAACATTGGAGGTGGGTGCAATTGCGCCGCCAGCTCCCATCTTGAAAATTGGAAGATAGGTTGACTAAGAAGAGGTAAAGTGGAGAAATAAGCTTTGGAGCCTCTCTGTGTCTGATCAAGTGATGGGGGTAGAAGGCCATTAAATACTGTTTTGAACTACCATCTGGCGCATCTATAAGGCATGGTATCCTGGGGCTAGGTTTCTTGATGTATGCCTTACCCTGGACTTTCAATCATATCATGCAGAATTCGAGCTCTTTCCCGGCTGAAGTCAAGATGTGATGGGGATCTGTGGCAAATTTTCCGGCTCACATATCGTTAGTCGGTGGTCTCACCTTCATCATTTCCCTGCTTTGGAATATTTTGAAAGGTCATGCTCACTAATTCTCCGCTACTCGGGACTCTTGTGCTCTTGTGCCTTCATTGCCGATATTCGGCTACAGTGGCGGAATACAGGGTGGGTATGTCTGGTATGATACTTGTCGATATCAGCTAGTATACACAACACCAAGTAATCTTGCCGCAACTTCGATGGCCACTTTGCAATTTGCATCAATACAAGAATATTGTACATACCTAACCACTCTTCCACATATATTAACTGCTTACAAGACGACAGTTTATCTATCAACCAGGCCAACACCTTTCGCTATCTCACCTACGTCCTTGTCCAGAATTCGTATCACTAAACGTTGAATTAAATTTGCATGCACCCCACAAGCTTACTAGCTAGATGTTCTTAAATCACATCGGTACGTACCAAAACACCCCACAACTCCACAAAATCTGATTTCGGCTGAGGCAAGGTTAACTCTAACCCCACAGTTCAGCTTCCCTTTCCCCGCTTTATCCACAGGGTGTCAATTCCATGTTATCTACTCCGAAACTACTCCCCCCATTCACCTAATTGGTGTTCCAGACGTTGCATTTGCCCCTTGCAGTAAGCAACCTTAGGCGGCTCTATTTATCCAAGTTGCGGCTAAGTTCACGTGGTACTCTACCGAAGAGGCAGAATGAGAATGTCTGAGGTGATGGCTTCTTTTTTTTCTTCTTTACTGGAACAAGAGTTATGTGTGTAGGTACATTCTCATTCGTGGTAATTGCACAATACTAGGAAGTTTAACCGGCAGGGAGTTTAAAATGGGTGGGTGGGGAATGGATCCATGAATTTCCACATATCATATACGTAGGGCACAGATGTCTTGATAAGTTAAACTCCTTCTTGTAAAAGCATCTAACTACTGTGGTAATTACTACTAGCGTTTCTATGTGCTATAGCTGATCATGAACTAAACCCCCTTCACTTGTATGTATTCTTGTCGGTGTAATGTCTATTCGCACCACACAAGCATGGAAAAAGTGAACTTCCCCAGTAGCCCGGTCCGTAATCCACTGTGAGCTCCTCATACATTGCAATATTCTTACGTGAGACATACACAGCATACATCTTCCCTCGATATTCGTGGTGGTCAATACTGCAGTTCGAAAACTCATAACACGCGTGATTGACGAACCTTGTCCAATTTCCTAAAATAGTGTATGTCCATTAGTATTTTCGGAGAATAAACGCCTGCAAAAAACCTTATCCACCCCAATCGACGCAGCGGGGGTTCCTAGCTACCTTTCTTGTTGGATGTGACATAGTAATTGGCCTCTTTGGGACGATTCTTGCTACCAAGGTGTCCTCTGAGCATATAGCTATCCGGTGTATACAGGGCTTGTCCTGCATTAACAATCTCGCCAATATATTCTCCGATACACTGTTTTGCCTGAATGTTCTGTATGCATGCCCGTGTTAATCAATCGTTGTTTATGCGATCACCTTAATTAATTTGGTTACGCCTCGGTGGTACCAATGTCTAAAGGACGTGAGTTGCTTACCTGTAAAGCCCGGACACCAAATCCTCTCGCACCAACATTAACGATCTCTACCAAACAGGGCGCCCACACGTGTGATGGACAATCACAAATCGCCTGTCCACAAACTACACAACGCTTTGCATTCTCCTCTTTTACCAAATCTCTCGGGTCTGGACCAAGCGCGCCTTTAAGACCCGTCCGAATTATAGCCTTCTCGATGACCTCATAGGTTACTATCTTCTCCGCTTTCATAACTTTATCATTTTCAATCGTGAAGCCCCATAAGTGATGATGACCGTTATATTCCACCATTTCTTCATCCTCCGTAAACAGTTTCATATCAATCCCCCCTAATCCCCGCCTCAAAATGTCGCGCCATGCAGGGCAGTAGAACGAACCGAGAACCTCAATACTCAACCGAGCATCGTCGGCGTAGTTGAGCCACTCAACCCATTTCTGCTCCGCGGCTTTCAAGGCATACTCCCTGAACGTGTCTGAGAACGCAAGGATAGAAAGATAACGCCATCCAAATGTATGAGCAATCTCGTGGTACCGCTGCCATTGCATGACGAGGTCAGCGGCTACCTGATGAGGACTGGGGCCCAGACAACCGAAGAGGAGAGATATTATAGGATCTGCGACATTCGAGGTGAACTGAGGATCTATGTGGTCTTGTTGATATGATATCCAGCGTGCAGCCCCTGGTTGTGTCAATGATTGATCCGTCACAATATATGTTTGGCATCTACAGCAACAAAATCAAAGAAGGGTGTACAGCCAACTTACGAATTACCATAATTGCCTGCCCATTGACCGCCCTAGTGATGGTACCAAGCAAGCTGTTTGTCATTATATCCATTTTCGAACCTGACCTAAGATATTCCTTATCCACCAGCTCCGTCATCTTTGCCTTATATAGAACCGCAGCAGCAGCAGCCTTCGGATCGTAAGTCTTTGCCGGTGATTTTAAATTATCGTGTAGATCCTTATATATATCCTCCATAACTTTCAAGTACTCCAGCGGCGTCTCATTCGTCCTTCTCATGATGCGTTTCGGCATGCGTGTTCTTTTTTTCTTCGCTCCATCTGGGCCAAGATAGTCCATGGGCTTACTTGATGTGCCGTTTGTCGCCATTTTGGATCTTTCATTCTAGTACAAAGGCCCAGCGAAGGTAGGTCACTTCTTTATACATCGTGTTGTCGAGATATTAACCCTAACCCTGGATTGTCGCCTTTGTTCTATGCCTTTGTTTGGATGTGCATCGTTTGGATGAATGTGCATCGTTTGAAGGTTGTTCAATTGGCTTGTGTTCGATGCGTTTAGTCAATTAGTCTCATCATGTGTGTGCGCTTTACATGACACGGTGTAAGTAAGAGTCGGACAGGCAGCACTTTTGGTTCCGAGTATCAAAGATACGCAATCCGTCATGCACCATCTTAAACCATTTGATCGTGAGCGCCGCGAGGTTAGCTAGTGTCAGAATATTCATTGATTATTCGAGCTGGATCAACCTCTGACAACTTTCTCATACGTGTTTGCTGTGGCTTTACTGGTATCTCCGTGGGGGTGTTTCGGCGTCGGTGGGTAATATAACGGGACAGATCCACTTGCAGGACTCTTTTTCTCACAAAATATGGCTAATAATTTCTCTTTGACACTCGTAGGAGGAACAGATTCCCGCCATCAGAGGATTTGTATATATATCTAAAGCATGATTAGGATGAACAAATAATGTTAGGCTCAAAGTATCTAGATTCTAGCCATCGTACAGCTAAGTTAATATAAGCCATAGCACTACTACCCGAAGCCTAAAAAAGATTGTGTATTAGAAGTAAGGTACGTTAGGTTCGGTCAAGAATTCTATACACCCATATCAGCATGCCCACACCCACCCACCCAGAGGACAAAAAGAACAAGGAGGAATCCCGCGGAGAGTTAAAGAGCTCCAAGGCATAACGTACTGATACAAAAATGATTTCGCCCGGGCTCGAACCGGGGACCACAAGTGGAACTGTTGTTAGACTTGTGTGATAACCAACTACACCACGAAACCACTGATTTCATGTCTTGTTGGTTGCACCTCGGCGGGCAATACAGGCGGGAAATGTTGCCAAGAATCGACGGACCCGTTGAAAGAAAATTTGCGTCTTGGCGCCAGCTGAAAAACATGGGCCCAAATAATTGAACTGCTGGTTTTAGGTCTATTTATTCAAACCTAATCATGAATAGCTAGACAAGTTATATAAGTACTTCTACTTGGGCTGGTCAAGTTTGCAAGCAGATTCAAAATTAAGCCACTTTGTATTGAATTTGAACCACTCGTCAACAATGTTAGAACTTTCATCCCGAAGGGAGTGATATAAAATCTTTTCTACATTGTATCAAACACTAATAAGTTGGCCATAAGCATGTTTGATGCCTTTATAAAAGGTCCTTGTGATATCCCATTTTATATAATACTAAAATAGGTACGTAGACATACATCTAACCCATTAAGAGGCTAGAAGACATATGTCTTGTGGTATGGAGCGCTCCTTGGATAGCACTGTGCGTGCCTAGAGGGGAGCAATGCGAAACTCCTTGTGAAAAAGAAAACGTCCAAACGAGTGATATGATATGATCGTAGCTTCGTAACCAGCAACATCTCCTAACCAGGCGTCTGCAAAAAGATGACACTCGTCGAATCATGGAACTTATTCTCAGAATGCTTTGTTTATGATTTCGCCCGGGCTCGAACCGGGGACCACAAGTGAAACTGTTGTTAGACTTGTGTGATAACCAACTACACCACGAAACCACGTGAAGGCAGTAATGTAGGCGTATAAAATTCAATAGTATTAACTTTACGATTCGTAAGTCCCACGAACACACTACTCCTCACGATTACTATGTTGTATGATGGCTCAGCTCTAGTAAGTATTGACGCCTTGGCAGTCGTTGGTTGTTTGTTCGAGTTACATACGCTTTGTCTAACTTTGTGAAATTACACGGGTTACAGGGTCAGGGTTAGGCCTGTTAATGGTGTTACTGTGGGTACAGGGATTGCAAAAAAGCATGTCTCGGCTGTATGGACTGGATTCTGTGGAGAACTTTTTGCCGCGAGGTGCGTATTTCGCGTGGACTTCCGGCGAAGAGTAGAGGAATTTTGGTAAGAAGATATAGACAACCAAGGCAGAAATGGCAAATCACGACATTTCACATCAATCATCAAACCACACCCTATGCATTCCCACAAAAAAAGAGATCCACAACACAAAAATCCTGATCCCCAGCTATCCTACATTAATTCTTCTTCTTCCCTTTACTATTTCTCTTCGCCTCCTCCTCCAACTCCATAACCCTCACCTCCTCGCTCTCCTTCCTCTCTGCATACCATTGTCCGCTCTGCAGCACCAACACGCCCACAAGCACCAGCGCCAGAATCACCTGACTTGCCGCCAGCACTCGCAGCGTGTCAACTCTGCCGACCTCCTCGCCATACTCCCCGCTCTCAACTGTTTTCAGTCCGCGTACCACGTTTGTGGCGTACATGATGAGCCCAATCATGTACAGGACCAAACTAGCGCCGTCAAAGAGCATGTTTGACTCGGATGGTTTGTACAGCTTAGTTATGAAGCCGAGGAGCCCAACGGCGACGATGATGTGCAGCACGCGGATTATGATCGGGGGCGAAGAGCTCAGGAGGCGGTAGTGCGACTCGATGGCAGCAAGTATGGGCTCAGAGGGAGCGATGCCGTTCCAGAGAGTGTGGTGGTCGTAGGACCAGTTTGTGAACAGAATCCCGAGGAAGAAACATGTCGCTGTTTCACGGTGTCAGTATCACGTCAGCGCATGAGTAGAAGGGCAGAAACTCACGGCAGATGATCAGAAAGGTCGCGAAAGAGATTTTCGTCGACATCGCGCGGCGGGGCTTGGGCGGGGGTGAATCTGGCGCTGCTTGCGACGGGCTGCAGGTGTGTTAGAGACCAGCGTGTCTGGATCAGAGTGGTCAGTGAGTGCGCACAGGAGTTAAAGAGAATCAGGAGAAGGACTAAGAAGAAGAGGTGTCAATTATATACTTACCAAACTCGTTTGACAAGGGATGAGTTGCAACAAGGCTGAAGATTCAAAGCACGGAGAAGGGGGGCGCAGAGGTTGGTCGATTGGTACAAATACACTGTCCTCACAATTACATACGGTCTTGATGCGGTGAGCGTAACTCCAGAACAGGCATGTGCCAAGGCCAAGAGTCCCAACAGTCAGCGTGCGTAACGCTTGCCGAGGCGCTGGGTGAGGTGGGGCACAAGGCTGCTGCTGCGAATGGTCTGGGTTTGCGCCTTGTGCCTTGCAGAAAATGTATCTGGTTATCTACCTATCTGCTGGATGGTCGATGAGATGTATAGAGCATCCAATTGCTATTACAGTGCCAGTGCAACTAGCATCATTGGCTGTTTTGTCGGTGGTTAGTAGTAGTAGTAGTAGTATAGTAGTACGTAGGCGTCGTTATCGTCTAGTAGCTAGAAGCCTCATCCGTATCCTGGTTTCTTGGCGATGAAGTAGTCGTCCCGATATCTCACTACAGAGAGTAATAGGACTTATTACAGTTATTAAGGCAAACTCCTCGAACTCTACAAGAATGATTACTGATCTGGAATTGACATGGAGTTCAGTTTACCAATGATAGTCAACACTCGGTAAACCCACATACTATCTAGAGACCTCGATCGAAATCTTGAATACGGACTAACGTACTTTGTACCAAATGAATGGTACGCCTTGGACGGAGGCTGAGTAATGATGATTTACTGATAGGTACATATAGCTTATGTATCACCAACCAATTAATCAATCAAGCTAGTGTGGGCCCTATTTACACTTTCCTCAATTCACCGTGTAACGTTCTTCCCGCGATCACGCTGGGCGTTACCTTGACTCCCTGTCACTAAAGCCCTAAACAAGAGCCAATGATCACATTAACCTTTTGCGCTTCACGGTGACAATACCAAGAAGAGAAAGGGTAGTGGCGATGTTTAAACCGCTAATTTCGAGATTCCTCCTCATAGTTTCTTGCGCAGTATAAAACTTAAACCCCCTCTATCAATGTGCTCAACTACATACCTCTCCTCGGAATACCAAAAAAGCTAAACCCATGGAACGTAATAAATGAAACATTTACAACTTGGATTGCCAGTGCAATCTAGCTGAAAGATAACGAAACGACCAGCAAGGGACTCGAACCCTCAACCTCGGTCTTAGGAGGACCACGCGCTACCATTGCGCCAACCAGCCATATTACATAAATCAAAATCGAGTGATCGACCATGACCGCAAAGAACACCGTCTCGCTCAGGCGTGAAACGTAAACGTATGATGTACGATTCACTAGAACGGATGTTGATTAGTTGGTATTTTGCGATGAAAACCGGTCCAAGATCGAGGTAACGAGGCCAGTTTCAATGACTATATTTTCTTCTTAGGTATAGTTGTTCTACTGAGGGGGGTGTTCCGGTGGAGGGGAAGCTCGAAGGAGTCTATACTATATACTTCTTTATCCGAATGTGGACTGTGCCTCACCCCCCACCAAAAGACACCGACCCGTATCGTCCCAATCCAGGATTTTGAACCAAGGCCAGAAAATCTACTCTTAACAAACTAAATCTAGTGCCACAGAGCATTTACTCTCACATTTAAAATACATTTCAGGAAGAATATATCCCCGCCACCACAGTTAACCGCGGCGCCAATATCAGCACACCAAAAGTTACACAGAAAACCTATTATCCCGGCAAAAAGTGCTCAACAATTACCCTTGAGAATTCTGAATCGTACTCACCAAGCAACACTACTTTCCGAGTACTCAAAAAATGTAGTGAGGCGTTGCAGGACTGCATTTTTGCATTGACAATACCATCAGAGGCGAGGGGAGCGCTCGGGAGAGTAGAAAACACACAGGATTCTCCTCTAATATTAGCGTTGCCGGTGATCTTGATGATTATTAGAATGTTTTCGGCGGGCTGGTGAAAAAGAAAGTATTCATAAACATGACCCCCAGTTCCGCGTGCATGGTCCTTCGGATATAGGCCTACAACACAATTTAAAGTTAGTAGTGGTAAGAAAAAATGTTGTTTGCGAGGAGTCTCGAAGTGTTAACCTATCCATATCCCTCTGAAAGGGTGTGACTTATCCGGAGTGTATAACTGTGGACTTAGGGCTATGATAGTCTCCGTATCTAATAACCCAAGTTTGATTTGCTGGCTACCATATTGCAATTGATCTAGAAGCTTGACTGGATACTCTAAATGTGGATTATATGGTGAAATGTTGCAGACAAGACGCTGCGTACTCAAGGAGATGGTTTGATCTTTGTGGTAGGGTTGTGCAATTAGTTCATAAAATTCCGTTGCTTTCCCATTTGATAATATCAATCTGCCACGATCACTAGTCCAAATTTTAACTCGAGTTTCTTGGGATTGTCCCCGACTATTACTGTGAGTACTTGAAGAGCGCCCGCCACATCTTTCTGGGTCCTCAAGGCTATCCGCAAAGTGCATCCCTAGCGATGGAGGAGAATCCTTTCCAGCTTCTTGTGTATCATGTCAGCGAGAAGGCTCTTAATATTTAAATTTATCTGGATCAACGATGGGAGCTTTGAGTGTCTACCAGATGACGTCGAAGTTGGTATTTTTAAGTCTCTTTCAAACTCCTGGAGGTAAAGTAAAGTACTTGAATAAGCTTGGTTCTGCCTATTCTTAAACTTGACCATCTCGGTATGATCTGCATCAACTGGTATTTTCTTCTCGATTGCTGCACCAAGATGAAGTAGTGCGGAATCGGTATCGACTGTAGTCATGTATTCTCCAATCCTTGCAAAGCCGTTTTCTCCCTAAAACACACTATAAATTTCTGTGGGTAGTTGTAAGGTATTTGGTTTCTTAATTACCCACCAGGCCTGATCTTAGAGTCTGGAATCGCTCGTAGAAGCTGATGATACGTAGTTGCATTGCAAAATCAACAAATCTCTCTAGCTCCGAATGGAGTAAATCGGAGTTTTTATTGATCGAGTTGATAAGCTTGGCTCTGTCAGGATGCTCTTCGGGATGAAGCATACTAAGGATATCGTCTACTAGTAATCCACGATGTGAGGTTCCATAAAAGATTACGCCGCGGGTTGCCTGATGTATAGAATAAACGCCAGGGTCATCATGCGGGTTACACTCCTTACTTCTAACCAGAGACTTCACCATTGTATTAGCTTTAGACCCATCAATTAGCCCTTAAACTTATTGAAAGATAAAGATTTGAGTCTAGCTAATGAAGGGTATCCTGCATATATATCCCGGTTTAAATAGATCTATCTGTAAAGAGTATCAGTTTAGAGTGTGAAGGGATTACCTGCGCAACGATGATACCACCGAAATCGTGCCCTATAAAAATAATTGGTCTTTTTCTTTCCTGAAGACCATCGGTTAGGATCACTGGTAATACATATATGCGCTGGCGTTTCAAGAGATGTGATATCGATAAGAGATGGGGTAGTATACAGATGAGGGCCGGATGAGATATCCTTAATAGTGAAGTATTGGGAAGAAATGTCGAAATAAAACCTCAACAACTTACTTCTTCTGACATTCTGGCCTTCTTTAGTTCCTCCAAGAAACCACGGCTATAATCCCTGATTTGGTGGACTCCAGCACTGTGGAGCCTCGAGTCATAACCATATGTCATGGTTCTACAGTTTGGAAGGTCGACGGAAAGAAAGTCACGAAGCCACATTCTACCCAGGTTGCCTTCCCCCCTCCATGATTCAAACGCATGACCGTCAAGTCTTGTTACAGCCACAACACTAAAGCCGCGCCAGTGTATATTAGCTCTTTATTCTGATATAAAATAACTCGTAGAGAACCCAGTGCAATCTTACTCTGCCGTGATATCGTCGGTCTTTGTGAGATAGAGCTGGGTAAGTCCGAAGAAGTTCTTATCTATGGTTATATCGAATAGCTCCCCCGCATCTGTCTCTACCTCCATGTCATAGCTATCCCAATCCACATTGCTAGAATCCTTCAGGTAGCTTGGGAGGGGGTCGAATTGCACAAGAGCAGTTTGTGTCCTGTCATAACATGAGGGAGCAATTGTTGCTTTTATTTTCAATTCCTCGTTTCCATCCACCCTGGAAAGAGTCCTTTTCAAGGCGTCGAGTGTCACTTCCTCGGGTATACCGCGAACCCGGAAAACAGTTAATCTGGAACCCATGGAAAAAGATGAAAGAATCCAGATAGATGGCAGGAGTCTCGAGGGTTATCCTCTCAATAGGAAGTGAAATTAGGTGAGTGGAGAGATAAAACTGGTTCCTGTTCAAATATGTATTTATACGTGTGGCTCTGTGTCAGGCAGCGTTTTTTAGGAATCAAGCTTATTCAGAGAGCGGGGCGCTTCGCTGTGCATATTGCGCCAGCGCACTGCTGGCCAAGATCGTTGACATGATTTAATTTGCAGCTGGGAATACAACTTCAACTTCGCCTTACACAGCCGCAGCAGAAATAAGACTGCCCCAATAACCGCACCGAGTCCTAGCTTCCATTACAGGCTCGAGAGTGATTCTTTCAAAACTTGGTTGTTATGGGCGGGCCATTTACTTGCTAGCGAGGCTTAATTTTGAAAAGGCAGTACAATTCGCCAAGTGTATTTAATTACCTAAGAAGTGTTGATTAGTTGAAGATCAATCAGAGGTCTCAAAGCAAGGTTGGTGCCGAGGAGATTCGGTTCAAAGCGAGGTAATTTTATAAGTATCGCTTTCTAATATTATAGCATATACCAAGTATGTGAGGTGGATAGTCTTTTTGTTTCGTCTAATGCAGCAAAAGACAATCCTACCACTCTCTGCAGAAGCCTAATAAGATAGTATCGGGGCTAAAGTTTCAACTCGACATTCCGATTTGATACGAGGGCGCTAATATCAAACACGGATCAGATGTCGTATTAGCCCAATAATTGATACAGCCTATATATTGTGTTTTATTGAGAACATACCTCTAGAGTACTGCGCCTTCAAACACGAGATACGAGAAGAAATACTTCTTCAAACACCACGAAAATCTACTCATCTAGGGTGTTGTGTTGTGTTGAATATTAATACGTATCTTGGTGGGCTGTTTTTAGCGCTATTGTCTCGAGAGTCACATTACTTAGTGGCAGCTTAAACACTTATACTCTTAATCAAGGCGTTAAAGTAGTTTCTTAGGCCTGTTCCCATCTTGGGTTCAGAAGCATGATATCCCGATCTTTCTCAAATGATCAGCCTTGTACCTCTAACGAGCAAGGTCAAACGCTTATATAACAATATCACCAAGCAAAAACAGCCAACGGCATGACTTCGTGAGCAAAGAACGAGGTGGAAGGAATGCGTATACCCACTTTTGGCATTGATCTCTCTTTAGTTCTAACCATCAATGACTTAACTAGCTAGTTAGTTTCCTCGTAGTAGTAAAGCGATAGGACTGAAGTATCACAATAGCCAGCTAAATTCAGTCCTAGTCCATGTTTAGCTGTACCCTATCTGCGTGTAGAGATCAGTGGGGTTGATATTGACGTCGACGTTAATAAAGACTAGCAGGGACTTTAGCCATCTAACACTTCCGTAGGACACCCGAATAACGGAGATATAACAGTGATATTTTGATTGGCAAGTATATACCAAGCTTCTTATGTAACTAGGCTATGGGGCTTAAACAAAAAAAAAAAAAAAAAAAAAAAGGCTACGGAAGCCAAGACTCGTATATTGAGCCGAGTGATACCCTATGAGTCACTGTAAAAAAAGGAATGTTCTAGCCCAGTCAAGAAATTAGGACTCCCACGGAGTAAGACACATATGGACCAGAACTTAAACGATTTCCGGCCCATCCAGGAAGTGTTCAGGGGGTCTCTCATGCTGGTTATTCTATGAGAGTATTGCAAGGTGATTAGTTTAAGCTTGTTTACTCTCTTAAAGAACTTGAATTAGAAAATCGGCCATCCATCTATCCATAGCAATATTCCCTATCTCTTGATAAATTTGGAAGTACACGGAGCGTCCAAAGCATCCTGGATGGACAGCCTTCCTGGGTAGGCTGATTTCCTGGACGGTGCAGACCAAAAAGAAAATGCTCAATTTCCAGCATTCTATATCTGGGCACGTGAATAGTAGCCAGATTTTCTTTTCTGAGACAGGGTAGATCCCTGACTATTAGGAATGCCCTTTGCAGTGAATCAATGATAAGTACCGCCGAGATATGATTTATCCCAATCTGCCCTCAATTGAGATATCGAGGGTAGCCCCCGTGCCCGATCGATCTCGCGGCCGCAGGCTCCACTGGCTCAAAGATCTCTAGTGGCTGGTTATGACAATGAAGGATTGTACCGACCTGGTGTTCTAGTTGGTCGCCCACTACTAGATCTATAGAACGTGTCCGTTATTGGGGCGGTAGAACAGCAAAATTTAGCATGGTATAGTTAATCTGACAACTCCATAGATGCGGTCACTGCGGCTATGCAGAGGTTGTATCAGGTTGTTTTCAACAAGAACAAGGGTATTATAGAACGATACACTGGCATATAATATCCGAATATGGGACACGATTTTCAGTAGTAAAATCACGACACTATAGGCCCTCAAAATTGGATAAATAGTGGTTTTTAGGGTAAAATATCCCGGTCATAGTACAAGAAACTGTTGAGTCCCCATCTCAAACTTCGAAGTTTCCAGCGGTCTCGGCATATTAATGACCGATTCTGTAATCTATCCGGTCCAATACTATCATTGACGTAAAGAAAATATCATACGCTGTTTTCCGATTCAATTTTTCTTACTGGAGATGGGTTATGCGTGGTAGTTGACCGATAACTTCCCACTTGCCATTGAGCCAGAAAGGAATATATCCTTATATCTGAAAGAAAGAATTGCACACATATAACTAGTCGAAGGATCGATATCCTTGTATAGAGTATGCCGCCGAGCAATTCAGGAACCCAATCGGCGTTTTAGACATCATAAGGCAATCGGGGGATCTCGGTCATTAAACATCACACCACAGTACAGGTATGAATGCATCGGTGAGAGCGAGTGATATCACATGATGCAAACAACACATCTCACGGGGTACTTGACAAAACAAAGTACCAGGGTAATGTGCAGCTCTTCTATCTTATTTCTCTGCAAATTTTACTTCAATATATAACTGGTTCCATTCCATCACCGGCGGGCGGGCGGTCCACCGGCCCGTTGGCGAATGCTGTGTCGTCCGGCCAGCTGGCACAAGACCGGGTTTCAGCGCCCGTGGTTGTGGAACTCCCGCGGAGACCCTGCAAACTGGTGCGCAAGTGGTACAGCTCCTCGTGCATACAGCTTGCTTGCAGGTTGTCCAGGAAGGAGCGAGTGGGTGGTGAACGTCAAGGTGATAACCGCGGCCGTGCTCTCATGCCGGCTCTGCTGGAATTGGCAGGGTACCGCCAAAACTCGAGAAATTGGCTATGCATGCAAGATCAAAAGTACTACTAATGGTCACTTCTGAGGCTGATCAATAGCGTTCAACCAATCGTTAAAGAGATAATCCCTGGCCGGAGATAGCCAATTTATCGAGTTTTGGCGGTATTGTACTGGGCACGTCAATCAACGACCTTCATCTCTCTGATGTTCTCCAGTGCCGTAGGTCTAACGGTACGGCTCCTGTTGCCTACACCATCTCGATAGAAGCGAAGAACCTCAAGGATTCCCAAACCCCCTGACACATGTATGCAGATTGCTAATAGGTAGCATATCATATCAATCATCATATAAAACTCTCGGCAGATCCACGCTGCGCTGCACTGCACTGCATCATCAAGTAAATAAAGAGTGCCTGCTTGTATAGACTCACGCAGTTACATACCTATAAGATAATCACTCCGTTTGGCTACCAACTCACATATATAGACCCACCCAGGTGAATATTTCAAAACCCCCCGCCGCTGCAGCTCGAGATGCTGGTGGTGCTCTGTTCATTCATTTATGCCAGCCTCAATTACTTGCCGAAGCTGCGAGAAAGAAATAACCTTACTGCCTGCGCACCGCCACAGGCATGACAGGCATATGTAGCCACACGCAGACAGAGCAAAAGATCTGCACCCAGGACGGAAAAACCACTGCCTCGGGACTGAGTTTTTTTTTCCCTCCCCTCTCTCGCGGATTTTCGGTGTTGAAGAGTCCGGGCGATCTCATTTGAGGGATCTGGAGGAAGAGAGGGAGCGGGTGATCTACATTGCTTTCTTATATCGGGGGATGGCTGTAAGGGACGCGGCAGGAGCATCGACGGTAACCCTCGGGGTAGAGTAAAATGAAAGCTCCGAAGAAACGAAACAACCAGCCGCAGTGCGGATTTCGAACTGGTCCGTTGATCGGGTAATCCCGGAGTTCAGCCTTCACCAGTGAACGCTTGTTTGTTTTGATTTCGAGAAGGGCGGTTTTGAAATCGGCCTATTGCGAGGAAAGAAAAAGGACAGTTATGCATATATAGCTGGTATTGCAGGTTGAGTTTGGCAATGGGGTTAAAGTACTTACATGTCGAGGTCAAAGCAGAAGACCTTGTGACTGTCCTAAGAATGCATGATAACTGGAAATCCCAATGTGATTGATATGAAGTTTTTATTTCAACTACCTGCATGCTGTTGGTGTTGTTTCTCATCGTCAAGTCAAGCTGCTCCGCGTAAAATTTATTCCAGATGTCATGTATGTATGTACTCTGCCCTGCCACCTAGGTATAGCTACCCCAATGACACGTTGGCCGAGATGTCTGCACCGTTATCAGTGCCAGTGCCAAAGATGGTTACCCGTCGGTAGGGAGGTGTGCTTATCGATTCGATTGCCATACGTGTAGACAAGGCGTTGTAGAGTATGTAGACCTTGTGCCGCATGAGTTTATGTGCATTAGAATTAATCGTGCGGTGAAAATATGAGACAGGTTATTTCACCACCCTCTCTACACGAGCTATCACTCGCTATGGGGTGAAGAATTTATGGCTCCTCTCAGCCCAGCATAAGCACGATATGCCATGGCTCGAAGCACCACATTCCTTGCTGTCCTTTACCAGGGCATCCGGAATTATTGTTTTCCCTGCTGCGGCCCTGGTTTGCTATCTCGGATTTCTTTTTTATCCCACACGAAATTCTTAGATATTTGAGAGAGTTGCTATTGTAGGCAGTAATCCGGTTGGTACGATATGAATATAGGGTGCCTGATTCAGAAATGTTTGCTTGTCTGGTAGATCAGTAATCATCAATTGGTTTGGCCGGGGGGGGGGGCTATATCACATCCCTTATATGTATTGAACCTCGTGTGCATCAATCGGACTCCTCCGAGGATCGAGGTGTCAACAATACTGTTGGGGATGCTGCTGCTGCCACATCTCTGGATGAGTAAACCAATAGATAAGTTCCTGGCTGGGTGATGATGATGATGGTTTTTATGCTTCTTTTGAGATCCTGTGACTGTGCTCCCCTGCAGTTCGACATAGAGGCATCGGATTGGCCGGGCGGCACGTCGGGCCATTACATCTCGTGCTCGTGCCCTACAAGCTCCAACGGGCCGGCCGTTGATAAATCGGCAGATCGGCACCGAGTGTTGACAGTGCCATTCAAGGAGAAGCTTGCCTGTCTGCCTTGCATCTCAAGGTTTCTCTAGCTTTCTGGGCATCCGTTTACTTACATGAGCTGAGCTGTTGTATACGTAGAAAGCACGAGCGAACAAACGACAAATGACTACCACCGCGGGGGCCACGGCAACGGCAACGGCAACGGCACAAGATTGCATTGGGGTTTTTCGCTATTTTTTCTACAACGGCGCATGGCTCTCTGCCTGTCTCTTGCCTCACACTCCCTGCTCATTGGGTCGCGATAGGAGGAGGACGAAGGGAAATAACGCTATTGGATCACTGGGAGAAGACAAAACTGACAATAATCACAAGAAAGCCAATCCACACATGCCGATCGCCCGATCAGAGTCAAAATCAGATCAAACAACCTTTCGTCCGCTTATTTGATTCGTTTCGCTAGTCACGGTGATGATATTATCTGCAGTCACCAGTGCCGAGCCTGTCTTTCTCAGGACAAAAAAGGCGAGTGAAGAAAAGCTTGACTGGCCAAGGCCCCCCACGTTAAACAAGCACTTGCTGCAGCTGGAAGGGAGGGGAAGGGAGGTTGGATGGGGAAAACAAGCATCGCTGAGAGGCTTGGCGAGGCGCTAACGGGCTGTGTGCCGGTAGGTAGGGCAGATGGGGAGGGGGGGAGAGAGCAGGGTTTGGGGTGATGTCACTTGTCATTGCCGCGGATGGATTGGCGGCTGCTGCCCATAAAAACTCGCGAGAGAGCACGAACGGCGAGCTGCCCTGGCTTCCTTCTTAACTCCCCTCCGAGATCTAGAGATGGGAATGGAAGGAGATGTGTCGATAGGGAATGGTCATATTTCAGACACAGAACTACTGACTGGCTCTAGTTACAGGCCTTGTGGGTAATGTTTGATTTGCATTTTTCTTATTCATAGCGCATTTGGTAAAGAAGTCCCCGAGACGGCGAGAGCGAAAGGACGGTGGGCTGGAAAATTGAAAAAGGGAGGGATGCGATGAGAGGGGGGTTGTTTACTGAGAACAGATTGGGGTTGTTGATACGCTATGTCCTTTTCGGCTGTGTGAGTGCTGCGGATGTGAGGCCGCTAGCGAAGTAGGGGAAAGTGGGAGGGGGTAGTGAGCGAAAGGAAAAAAAACTCCCTTCTTCCTCCGGAAACTGGAATGTTACATATTGAGTTCTTTGTTTCGAGTGCGGTCCCAGCAGCACTATGTGCAACAGCACAGAATGGAAGGGATGGAAGTAAAGAGAGTCGGATGTGGAGATTTGGACTCTTTACTCTCCCCCTTCACCTTTCCCCCTCCTCCTCCCTTCCGTTCCCGTTGAGCCCAGACACGCACACTGAAAAAGTGTGCAAGCCACAAAAAAAAAATAAAAAGCAGATAGAAAAAACAAGCCTTTAGCAAGAAAGCCCAGTCCCAGTCCCAGCTGTTGTTACTCGCGCAGAAGAGCGTGGTGAGCGTGGTCGGTGCAGTGCAGAGTGCAGCGCGTGGTGTGCGATAGGTACTTGTCCGACTCTAGCGTCGCTGTGTGTGTGAGTGTGGGTGAGAGTGTGTGGTTTACTAGCAGGGTGGGTGTGAGGAAAGAGATGGGTGGTTGGAAGGGCTCATAAATGGGCTGTGGACCTGCCATGCTGCCGAGAGAAAGCTCGGCGTGGAGCAAGCAAGCAAGCAAGCAAGAAACGGGAACCCAGGGATCGAATTGCGAAGGGGGTAGACACAAGCATTTTCCAAGACTTCGACAGGTTCCGCACCCAAGAGATCCACAGACAGGAAGTGTGCGAGTTCGTCGTAAGCATCCTGAATACCAAGGAAAAGGGAAAGAAACCGGAGAGACCCAGCGTAGCCGTTCACCAATAATTCCGTCCACATAAGTTAACTCCATTCCACGGTCAACTGTATCCATTCAGGCCTCTGCGTTATATTCCCTGTTACTGTCAGAAAGAAAGCAAGTGCCTCAATCCAACATTTCACCCAGTCAGCTTGCTGCGAGATCGGTCGGCATTTGTTATTGCTATTATTATAATCGATTTTATCGGCACAGCGTCATCTCACAGTTCACTTTTCTAAGAGAGCCCGCGTTCTTTCGTTCTTCGTTCCGTCCTCTTTCTCACTCCTGCCTTTTCTTTTACTTTCCTCTTTCTCTCTCTCGCTTGATCTCGCTTTTCACTCACTCTAAACTAAACTCATTCATTCAACCCCCTTCTCACGCCCCCCTTACCTTACCTTTATTTTTTCACTTCCTCCCCTCGTCCCCACCACCCCTTCCATCCACACACACATATCCCCTCCACCACCCCCCAATCTTTCTTTCCCTTCCATCTATCAATCCATCCCTCCAACAGAAAGGCTTATCATACCCTCCCAAGACTTAGCCCTGGAGTAGCCAAGCTTTCTTCCCTCCCCTATCTGTCAAAGACCTTGACTCTCCCTCCACCCCCCGACGGGTTGCTGCCTGTGCCTTTACTTTCACCTCCGCCACTTGCTGCAGGATCAAGCCTTTTGGTGTTCCTCTCCGTCGGATTTACCGAGGATCTTGCCCTACTTCCTCTTCCAACTACAAGTATAGATCATCGAACTCTTAGTATTCCACCCCCCTCTACCAAGTCTTCCCACATCCCCCGCCAACTATCTGCCTACCTCATTCTTCTCCATCTCCTCACATCGCCTCGCCATATATATAGCCTTGGTGGCCCTGAGTACATCCTAAAGCCCTTCGCTGCTCCCCTTTCTTGGCAGCAGCTGCCATCTTATCCGACTCGTTCGATACGGTCGGAGCTGTATCCGATCTGAACGCGACATCACATTCGTCGCCGATAGTCACTGGGGAAACCTCATCCCCACCCCCTTCCCTAGGAGCAGTAGCTCCACGAATATCCCTCTACACAAAAATGACATCTAAAAGTTCCTCCAAACCGTCGCTGCTGAATCGTCTTCGGTCAAAGACTTCAACACTGTCGCTGACTGGACTAAGACCGTCGCGCCGTACATTGGGCGATTTTCACATCCGACTAAATGACCCCCATCGTGTATACTCACCAACAGACACTGTCAAGGGATCGGTATGCCTCACCGTCGAAAAAGCACTAAACTTCACACACCTCGTCGTAAATCTGGTTGGCCGCGTGGACCTGAACTTGCCGTCGACAAAGGATTCGGGAAAGAAACGTAAGGAGTGGGATGCAGAATACGACGATGGATCCGGTGGCGGAATTGTGCTGTGTAGGGACGAGAGCGTACTATGTGGTGAGGGAAGACTAGAGCCGGGAAAGTACGAGTTCAAGTTCGAATTGTTCTTCGTCCCGGTTGGGAAGATGGTTGGAGGTCTGCCAAGTTCTTTGGATGTAGGTATACCCTTCGTACTCGTCCAATATTTATTGGCGCCGCCAAGCAAATGTTCTTGTGTTGTGTAGTTGAGCCGAGCTGACAGCTGACTGACGTGATTGTAGTTTGAGAAGGGTTCAATATCGTACACGATATCGTCGACTCTAACGCGGCCTACAACGTTGTCGCCGACTACAACATGTACAACAAATATCAATCTTCTAGAGACTATTGATATCGGCCGTCTACCAAAACCAAAGCCACACATTATCCAACTGGAGCCTATTGTATCTCGGCGGTCACGGAAACGACCTTCATCACCGGCAACTACACCCTCGGTCGCCTCATCACCAAACAGTTCCCTCGGAAATTTACCACCTTCCTCGGACCCCGGCTATCTATCACCAACATCCACTCCGGCATATATAAAATCAAAAACTATCACTACATCTATCGAGATGGCGAATGGCGGTGCTCTTCGTGGTGACAATATCCCTATAAAGATATCCGTCCGCCACACAAAAGCAATCAAATCCTTGAATGGTATAATATTAACCCTTTACCGGCAGACTCGTTTTGACCCAGCACATCGCCCACAACCATTGAAAAAGGCACTTACTACGACGGCTGTAGGCAGTGGTACATTTCGGAAGGACCTGTCACAGACTGTCATGCCGCTGATAATCGACCCCAAAACCCTCACTGCTGTCGTGAGGGCCAATCTGAGAGTCCCTGAAGATGTATTTCCTACAATCAATTCAGTTCCCGGAGGAGAGGTATCATTTAGATATTGGGTTGAGGTTGTAGTAGATCTCGGTGGGAAGCTAAGCGGAAGGGACGATATATTCATTGGCGGCGGAACAACAATACCTGGACTGTCTAGGCCAAAGAGTGCGGGAGAAGGGGGTGTGCGGATAGCAAGCGAAGGGGGGGTTATGATTGAGACGGAAAGAATAAGGAAACGGGAAAAAAGCGTTATATTTTGCAAAGTTCCGGTTGTGATCGGCAGTGTGGATTCAGTGACCGGAAGGGGAAGAAGGGCTGGAATTCGGCAGATATCAATACCGCAGGTACCTCAGGTAGCAGAGGAGATGAATAACGTGGTGGAGGTAGAATTGGCACCACCAGCGTCTCCAACAATACAATTTCCTCAGGAAGAGTCAGAGGTACATGGCGAAGGCCAGGGGAACTGGAATGAGCAAGCACCGGACTACACGCGGCACCCAGAAGAATCACATTATCAAGACATGCCACTACCACCGCACGAACCTGAACGAGAAAACGCGGAACCACACGAAGAAATGGACGAGAAAACACGAATACGCTTTGCCGAACAATCGCTCCTACCCAGTGCACCACCCGGGCTAGAAGCAGGTGAGAGCAGCGCTAGTGCTCCACCACTTACACCCGCGGAGATGCCCGACTATATGTACTATCCATCGGCCCCGCCGATGGAGCCTTCAGATCAGCATCACCAAGATGTACAAGAAGGAGTGGACGACAAACAGGAGGCCGAAAGGCTGCGATTGCTTGCATCAGCGGGCAGCCCTGACGATAATGCAGGAGAGGGTAGCAGCAATGCGCCAAGTGCTCCTGTATTAGATGAACATGATCTTGAGGGCGGACTGCCAAGATACCAACGATAACACGCATGAGCCTTGAAGAATTCGAGAGTTTTTCTTGTTTCATATTCTCTCTTTTTGCCTTAACTTGGGAATTTTATCTTCGTTTTATTATGATGAGGGCGGGAGTGTCGAGGAGTAAATACTTTTTTTTATTTTGCATTTTTCTGGACAAAATTTGCGACGGAGCAGAGCTTTTTTTTTTATTTTTCTTTTACTATTTTACTTAGTGTCTATTTTTTTATCACTCGTTTCTGGTTGATTCATTTGGACTTGTTCATTCACTCATCAATCACATCTTTTTTTATGTTTATTTTCTTATTTGAACCAACTTCTTTTGCCCGATCTCCGGTTGAGGTGGGTTGTGTGGTTGTAGGGATGTGCGTGCAAAAAGGGGGGCAAAAACGGAGAAGGATCCGGATCATTGGGATGGAGTCTGTCACTTGTTTTTTTCCTTTCTATTTCTATATTTCCATTCGCGCTTGCTTGCTTGTATGTTGATGTTATGTTTTGAGAGCATTGTTTCTTTATTTCGTTTCTTGTGTATTTTTGTTCTTTTTTTTTTTTTTTTTTTTTCGTCTCATGAAAGGGCGCGATCGAGACTTTTGGTGTCCCTCCACTCTAGTACTGCGGCGTTTGGTAAATATGAATTTCTCTGGACAGAGTTGTCCCCCCCATCCCATCTCTTCTCTGATCTGGGGGTGTGGGGGTAACAACCACAACAACTACTACTACTGCTACTACTACTTCTACTACTACATAAGTGATTTCAATCCTTTGGGGATGCTCTGCTCTACCTAAGTACAGTGCCTACTTTTCACATGTGCTTGCTGTATGCACCGCGATCGAGAATGTGAATCTGATGAGTGATTTTTTCTGCCTTGTCCTCCTAGCTACAAGTCTTCCTTCTCTCGATCTTCGGAGAATTCGTGGTGTGCTACTATGGAGACGTACCCGGGGCGCGCGAAGGGCGGGGCGCCGGTCACACAAGACCCCCCATCCCTATCCCCTCCCCCTGGCTTTTCGTTTCGGCGCCTCCGGCTGGTGGGTAGAATGCGCATGGGATGTCACTCGTGGGTTTGTCAAGTATTGTTATGCAGTAGATGTTGTGTTTGTAATTGCATAAACGAGACGTTGCAGGATGTGGAAGGATGACCGAGTGGTTAAGGTGTGTGACTCAAGAATTCAGTTCTTTCTTGCTTAGTAAGCGAGGTTTCTCATGGGCCTAGCCCGCGGGGGTTCGAATCCCCCTCCTTTCATCAGCTTTTTGCTCGTTGCGGTGGGTGGACGGACAATGGCGGGCGGAGGTGTTCATTTTTGGCGGCAGGGGAGTGGGTTGTGCGGACGGAGCATGCAGTGCGGTGGTGGTTCATTGGTTGGTGGGTGGTGGTGGAGTGAGCGGTGGGGTGGTGGTAAGTCATGCGCTATCACTCGCAGGATTGTGCCTTGGCTGGTTATTTCAAATGACAAATACATGCAGGCTTCGGGGTGTTCCAAAGATCGCAACGGGAAAGACTGTCCGCGCTCCGCCTTGATAAGAGATTTCGGGACCCTTACTTAGTGCAATTCCCTAACAGTACAAGATCCCGTCGAGAATAGTGGATACCTGATGGATCCTCCAGTAGGTATATCCAGTCTATGGGCGGGTAAGCCACCACGTTTCACCTCTGGCATGTGAAGATCAACTCCAAATCCAAGTAGTCATGTCATTCCATCTGCACGGCCGGGAAACCGCTGGCCGAATAGTTTTCCAGCACGCCAACTGAACTGTACATACATGTAGTTATCGAGTCTGCCTGTCTGCCTGCCTGTGTGACAAATTGTTATCCCACTCGGGGTTTTGTACGCCCGTTCCACTACCCCCCCACTTTCCTTTCCTGCGCCCCGGCCATAAATAGCGCCGTATGTAGTACGATATAATACGGTACGGCACTGAGATTCTCCGAGCTGGTGTGTGTGTGATTATGGACGGGGGATGGGGTTTGGGTTTGGGTTTGGGTTTGGTTATTCGGGCCGGGCCGGCTCAGCCACTATCCGATCGCGAGCTAGCACGTTGGTTCGCCTGTACATGTGCAGCAAATGGGAAACCGGGGATTGGGTGGCCGGAGGGGAAGGCGGAAAGAGGGATTTCCGGGGAGGCTGTGGTTGTGGGTTATTAATTCGTGCTGTGGGGACACAATATCTGGCATGTGGGTGGTTCGGGGCAGCGGCCGCGTCGGGGGTGCTTGATATCCGGTCTGGAAATTTCTTTTCTGGCCGGCTACGGGCGTTGGAGTTGTACGTAACGTTATGTGGAGCGGTAAGGTTGAAAATCAAAGGGCAAGCTACATGTGGTTGGCCTTTTTGAACTGCTTGATCAATGGTGCGGTATACATGCACTACATGTATGTACCGCCTTATCTGGACCAAGCCTGAATCGACAGGCAGCAGCACATACATGACGTACATGCAGTAGTAGTAGTACAATGCAGAGTGAAACATGGCCCGAATCTCCGTGTATGTGTTTGATCTGCCTCTTGACACATCGAGGCACGCTCTCAAACCTTAAGTTGCAACAGATGTATCCATAAACCCGGAAGAGAGAGAAGCTTATCTGGCCGAGAATACATCATATGCATCCACGTGTACTTAAGTAGATTGGGTATATAAATCCATGGGTCGTGCCCCCCCTCCGTCCTTCCTTCTCTCTCTCCATCATGAACTCTTCTTCCTCTATCGCCATCGAAACCTCGACTGGCAGCTCAGCACGGCAATATCACCCGGCTTACTGCGCCCATCCTCTGCTATAGTTAATAGTATGCGTTGCATTTTCCCGCTCCAAAATACTTATGTATGCCGCCCTTCTCTATCGCCGTACTAAATGATAATAGTGTATCAGTGTTCCTAACGGTCGTGCTTGTGACAGTGGAGGGTTCGGTGTGGGAACAATAAGTACATTTGTACTATCCTCGACGGCAAACCTATTTCAATCCCCGAAAACGATGCGGGAGCCTCGACCAGCAGACCATGGTATCCTGTTTCCATCTCTTGAAGGGCGGATGTACTGTCGTCGAAGTTCTCTATTAGAGCCGGGAGACTGTAGATACGCCGCGCTCCCTTAATTGTACATTCTGCCGCAGGAGCACGGATGCAAGTATGGACGAGGTATCGGTGGAGAGCCGATCAATATGGAGGTCCGCTATGTGTACAGTCGACTCTCGATATAAGGATACGGTCGGGACCGAAAATCTGTATCCTTGTAAGGCGAGTATCACTATAAGAAGCAAGGATGGACAGATAAAACAGCATTTCGGGACCGCTGATTACTATCCATATAATGAGAGTATCACTATATACAGTATCACTATAGCGAGAGTCGACTGTATTACAAACGAAGCCGGCCTGGGAACGATTGTCGCCTCGCTCTCCCCTTACATATTGTGCTACCGGCATGCATAATCTCTTCCTCTCTATTTTCAGCACTGTGGCGCAGAGCAATTAGGCAGGTTTTCTTAGAAAGTCATGCTCGTCACTCTTTTTGGATGTGGTGGAGGTTTTTCGGGAGGATGAGATGTGTGGTTGTCAAGGAAAGGTCACTGAAGAGGGCACCTAGAGAGTGGGGATGGGATAGGAGAGTAACATGTGATGTTATCAGAACATTATGTTGGGACCGCGTGAGATCACAGAACCGTCGGAATAAGGAAAGAGCTAGATATATGTTGGGTGTAACTATCTTATTTGTTGGATTACATAAAGTCTAGGCTTGGGAGGAATGATACATGTGTCTCTCGAAGAAACCTGCGCGATAAATAGTAACACCAAACATAGAGCCACGTTTTGACATTTTATAGTAAACAGATAAACGTACATACCTCGTCAGACTGAACCATACATTCGGTGTCTGACGTCGTCCACTTTCAACTCCCGACGTTTCACAACCAATATAACCTCGCCTCAATACTTGAACTACATGTCTACCTCCCCACCCCAAAACAAGGTTGCGCTAGGGAACCATAACCTGCCCGGTACATATTCCGTTAATAGCCCACCAACGCCATTAGTGAACATTTATGGACGGCGGCGGCGGGTATTTCCAGTGGACCAGAATACTATTGTAGTACACTTTCCGTCTGCTCTGCCACCCAAAGGGTTCGCGGTATAAAACAATAACCCGCACGGTATATGATTTCGCTGTTGTGAACGGTCGTGTGTGGCGGGAGGTTATCGATGGACTAGGACACTATATTATTTAGTTCCGGGCCTGTCGTGTGGACGGCGAATGGCGGGTGCTGGTTGGTGGTACGGTGGTGGCAATTGAATGGATGGGTGGGTGGGATTCAGGTTTGGCGGTAGTGATGGGCACAAGACAAAAAGTCTCAAGCCTTTGTCCCGAGATACGAGACAAACAAAACATAGAGAAAATGAGAGAAGACAAAACAAGACAAAACAGAAAAAGCCTAGTCTCGAGACTTTTTTAGAAATATACGAGTGATGTCTGTGACCTTATTTTTTGCTTGTTTTCCCCGCCAAAAAATATCATGGTGTAAAAAAAAAAAAATCCCATGCGGAAAAATCCCGTTTTATAAAAAAAGGATCTCCGTGTAAGAAAACCATCATCAACCTGATGACGTAACCCCTAACCCTAAGTCTCGAGACTTTGCACGATACATGGCCCAAGTATTGTCAATTCCGAGACCCCCCCCCTCTGTAATTCCACAAGAAAAGACAAAAACATCCTCAAGTATCGTCTTGTTTTGTAATTGTGCCCATCACTATTTGGAGGTTTTGTTAATTCATGTTTTGGAAGTAGTAGTACTACTGGGGTCCTCGATTTGATATTCAATTGGCTTTTTGTTATTATTAGCAGTCGGTGTTCTTGGTTTCAATTAATTGTTAATTGTCTTTTGTTGTGAGTAGTAGTAGGCTAATCTAAACAGCCTTTTTTTTTTTTTTTTTATGACTTTACAATTTGAGAGTTAAAGAGCGACAAGCGTGTAATACTTTTGGAATGGAGCTGGATATTGTACTACGAGGGCTTGGTGGCGTAGGTATCGAGTTCTGGTTGCTGTTAGTGGTTAGTGGTGAGGACTTGAAGGCCGAGTGATTGTATATGATTCTAAAATTTTAGTAGTCAAGTTGCTGGGCGCCTTGGACATGTTACGGCAGTGTTGTTATATTATACTGAGTTTTATTAGCCGTGGATCGATTCTAGATGCTTGAGATTAACCACTTTGGTGAAAATTGGAGCAGATACATATGTGCTAGCAAGAAAAGCTAAATCAAGCTAAATCATTAATATTCATCCGTGGCTATTCAGATGTGTTATCAAGTAGCAAAGTCAGCCCGCTCAAACATATTCCAGATCATCTTCCATGCCAAACATCTTTCTGCACGCCTCCATCTTCTCCCTATCCCCGCCGGTCACCTCTTTCACATAGCTCTCGAGCGTATAGAGATTATCTATCCCATCAGCACCTCAACCCAAAAGAAGCAGAAAGGGGTAAAAGGCCCGACCTACCATTACACATATTAATCTCCTCCCTCATCCTCCTCACCTCCCCCCTCCTCCTCCCCTCCTCCTCCGGATCACACCTCCCCCACTCCTCCCCCAGCGCCGCCCTCACCGCCCCCAACGCCACCACCCTCTCCGCCAGCGCCGCCCTCTCTCTCACCTCCTCCCCCGCCAACCCCACGCTCTCCAGCTCCCCCTTCACCTCCTCCACCGTCCTCTCGAGCTTCTCGAGCTCCTTCTCGAACTGCGCCAGCAGCCGCGCCTTGGCGTGCTTCGCGTCGCTCGGGAAGCTCCAGTACCAGTTGCCGGACCCGATCTTCTCGACGCGCACAAGACCCTCGTCGGTGAGGGCTGTGAGGAAGTCTTTGACGACCATGGGCGAGATGCCGGCGGCGGAGGGGAGCGACTTTTCCAGGTCTTTGAGCGGGTGCGTGGTGAGGGTGCTGTGGAAGTAGGTGAGGATGAGGTTGAGCTTGGCGGGTGGGGGGAGGGTTTTGGGGGGCTGGCCGCCGGGGGGGGGTTAGTAATTTGGATTGAAGAATGGGGGGTGGGGGGTGGGGGGTGGTGCATACCATTGCTGTGTCTTGGTGGATTGTATACTAGCAGGTTGGGAAGGTTTAGGAGGGGTGATATGATGATGATGATGGAGAAAATTGGATGGTTAGGTGCATATATGGTTCTGTTGTGATGGTTCTTGAAGTGAGTGTGCAATGTGTGGGGATGCGTACAGAGTTCTGTCTGCATAAGTGTTGTACCATGAAAGTGGTACGTATACGTATTCAGTTCTGAGATGATGTAATATCCGCATGTATACGTACTTCGGATCCTCTAACCTTCCTATCTTCCGTGTCCAAGTTCAAACGACCACACAGTATCTATCCGTACTGCATATCTCAACCCTCCCTCTGGTTCTCGAGCTACATCTAACTACATCATCCCTACATATATCATCAGAGCATTATCATCACTATCCAGACCAAGGCAGATTGATACCTTCTCATTCATCGAATATTGAGACGGCATCTTCTTTCCAGTACTCATGATCAACGTACTTGTCTAGACGGAAGAACGGATAAGTAGGTCGGCTGCCATGATGATTCCTACGAAACTGATTATTTCCCTAGATTCCTGCTAATACGCTATGCTTCTACAAACTGGGTTTTAGATTACTGCCATTTCCTAGTCTCAACTACGTACTCACTGATCTGGGCTCACAATCTATCACTCGAGGTGTGGTGTCGCTTGGGGGAGCTCTGAAAATACCTCAGCCAGTCCAACGACGACAAAGTACATTTTTCCCAATCCCGGTGAGTGGACGAATATTCCGTGGTGCTAGAGGGGACTTTAATCACTTTTTCTAATGTTTCTACGTCTATTTCATATATACGTCTGCGGAATCATGAAAGACCACGTATAAGTAGGCCTACAATGCTGCAGTGGAAAATTAAATTTCATATACCTAGCTGTACCGATTCTAGTTCTACATTGGAGGCTTGTGCACCCCACAGTTTTCCTATTGACTTTTAGTTATTGACTAACCAGCGTGGTACACCCCTCTGATTGGCTTAATGAATATACCGCGTTTGTTTATGCGCGAGTGTTCGCGTGTGGCATTAATTCATCTGAGCTGAACTCTTCTGCGCTAGATCATCCCGTTGCGAAGCGCCCTACCCGAAGAAATCTCTCTTGGCGTTGCAGCGTCATATTGACATCAAAGATCGACAGTTACTGGGATCCGGGGGGGGAGAGGTTTTCTGACCTCTTGTGAGAAGAATATAATAGAGACGATATAATCAGTGGAGATGCCTGACCTTTCTCAATCCTTTCTTCCTGACTATTTGAGAGACAAACTAAGGTACCTTTCGCTCTTGGCAACGCGTCACAAACGTGTCTACAAACCGCGCCCTCCAATACCCATGTCCTCTGCTCCCTTATCCCTTGGACGGATGAAACTTGTCAAATTCGCGACCTGGACCGTGCACCACTTAGTAGGGCAATTATCTTGCTTTTTACGGTTGGTAACAGCAGAGCCAATCAAGAATTTACAGCAGTTACCACAGTAGGCTAATGAGAGCTGAAAGAGGTATATGCAAGTAGGTCGCCCAAGGGATACACCAGAGCTACGAAAACTCCTGGACAGGGGGGCCAAATATACCATATGGTGCAGAGTGAAATATTTGCTAGTCCTATGGTTAGATTCCTTCCCTGACCATTTGATATGGGTCTGAGTGGTGTAAAGATGGTATCCCTTGCACTGGTGAGTCATGCAGATTCCCCGACTTCCTCACTAGAACTATCTGCGGTGGCTAGGTGACTTTGCCTCTGTAGGAATGATCATTTCCTCAATGGCGAAGTCACTCTGCCACACCCCACTCAGGAATTCGGGAATCTGCATGTCTCTCCAGTCCAAGGGATAAAGAAGTTTCATTGTCTTTTTTTGCATTAACTTTCAGGACGAGGGGTGTTCCAGTGGCTATATAGCAGGCGTCAACCTATTCCAGACAATTTAAGCCGCCAAAACCAAATTGTCGTTGATCAGGACACAAGCCACATGCGGAATACATATGCGGAACACATACCCACAATATATCGACACTAGATCGCATGTTTCGTGTTGATTAATTGGATCGATAGGCGGACAACATGATAAATGCCGATATGGGGACCGAGTGACCCCTCATGAAGCGTATTAGTTTTTCCATTCTGAAATTCCAGCAGGTAATAAGAGTGGAACAACAGCAACAGAGAACAATATCCAGTTGATGGCTGGGCATAGCACCAACACAGAGAAGATCAGGCAATCCTAATACTAGAGAAAAATAGGCACAAAAGATGGAGAAACACGAGACAATAAAAGTTGAGACCATCGAACAGAAAACTGCGGGACACAAGATAGAGAGACAATCGCTTATGAGTACGCACATAAGGATAGGTAGGATGTTACACAGCAAAGGACTGGAGAATAGGAGAAGGAAGACAATTAAAATTGAGCTTAAGTGGGAGTGATAGTTATTTCCTTACATTTCCTTTTGTTGAGATGGTAGTGGATGAAGGGGCGTTCTGGGGAGGAAAATTTGTTTGTTATATTGTCATAACCTCCGGGTTGCATACAATTAATATCAATCAATCCAGCAGGTAATCCTTCAAATGTGAGTGATAAAACATGACCCGTTGCTAACCAAAACTCGTGTCACAGCCATATATGATGTATACCACGCACTGTAGCGCACACTGCATGGTAGATACTACATCTCGAAACACCCATAGTTCTTGGAGCTATCCGATTAGTCTACGTACATACATGTACCCCCAACCGAATCTCCGATCACAATGGTGCGGCTCCCAAATTTCACCCCTCCACTCGCGAAAAAGAAAATAAATAAGTGATGCTCCAATACATATGTATAGCCCCACCCACCCCCATAGTGGCATATCCAACCATCAGAGTACTTTGTCACCCATACAATGCAAGTCTCCCCCGCTCATGCTCGACTGTAACTGACACTAAGTCCCGACCATACAATTCACAGTGATAGGACCCAAAACAACTACCTAAAGCGACATGTACATACCTGTACCTCTACCTACCTGCATCGACAGCACCTTCAGGCAGACAACCAAAAGACCCTTGCTCACGTAAAAAGAGGGGAACCTTTTCGAGGGAAAATACACAACAATATGTCCATAGTGGGGTCAATTAAGCTAAAAATGGCCGTTCTAGAAAGAACCCACATCATAGTCGGCTAATAAAACACTGTCTCAAAACCTCCGTCAGCCGTTGTTCCCTCACGATTTTCCCTTGCAAACAGTTCATCTGTCTGTGCTAGGCACATCCACGGCCACCACTACCACCCTGCCAAACTAATTATAATCCAATATCGTATATATCCCCAAACACTAAACATCTATACAGAAATATATGCGAAAAAACTAAAAGTTCAACGATAAAATCACCTACTCCCCAATGCCCCTCCCTGCTATTCTCTCCCTTCCGAATGAGCTCTTCCTCGCGATATCAGAGGATTTTTCTCCCAGCCAGCTGCTATATATTCACCATACAAACAAACGACTTAATCGCCTCTTTAGGGATCAGTTTATCGACGCCCTAATCTCTGAAGACGGCCCTCACGGCGCCCTGTTCTGGGCCATCGCCTTAAAAGATCAAAGCCTTGTGGAGACAGTGCTTGAACGCTGTAAGGAGGGGGTCCATGTGGCCGTCGATCACATAGCTGTTGAGCCGCCACTCCCGGTGTGCGGAAGAGATAAGAGACTAGTAAAGTTCATTATGGACCTGAACGTCGCACTGGAGGTCCGAGAGGGGGGTACAACCATTGGGCCGCTGTTGTGGGCGGTCAGGAACGGAAGAGCAAGGTTGGCACGGATGTTAATAACCAATGGCTTTCATATCGACACCGGTGACTGGGGGTACCCCCCTCATCTTTCTCAGGCAGAACCTCACAAAACAATGGTGGACGAAGCGCTGCTCGAAGCTTGTAGGCTTGGAATCGAGGGCGTGGTGAGGATGATGCTGGAGCCCGAAATGGACACGGATATCGAAGCGGTCGGAGCAGACGGGCTGCGGCCGCTGCAGAAAGCTGTTGTCAACGACCATTTAGGAGTTGTCAAAATCCTCCTCATGAATGGGGCGAAGGTGGAAGCATGCGCGTACAAGTTCTTAGAGCCCTATTGTGCCATCGACATGGCGATCAAAGGGAACAGAGTAGCCATGTGGAAGCTGATGCTAAACTACGTGAATGCTGAGTTTTACGACTATCAAAAGCGACCCGCGCTCCTGCTCGCCGCCGCGACGGGGGATATGGCACTTGTCCAGTACTTGCTCGACAAGGGCGTATTCCTGGCCGAAGTAGACGTCAACGGCCGCACAGCACTCCATATAGCTGCAAAGAAGGGATGGTCAGATATCTGCAAGGTTCTGATGGAGGAGGGTGTAGACACCGAGGCCCGCGACCACCATGAGCGGACAGCGTTACATGAAGCCGCGGCGGACGGGGCTGAAGCGATAATAGAACTTTTGAAAGGGGGCGCCGACGCAACAGCGGCTGATTCTTGCGGGAGGACGCCGCTGCATTTGGCAGCGAGGAATCAGTTTGCCACAATGGACGACATCGATGCGTTGATAGATGCAGGGGCGGAGATGGATGTGAACGACTTGAAAAATAGATCGCCGAGGGGGGATCTGGCGACAATGGCATCACCCAGGATGCGCAGGCTGAGGCCGAGGGTCTAGTTTTACGGAGCTATTGGGGGTTTTTATCTGTTCCAAGTTTATATCAAGATTGTTATTGTCATCAGTACTAAGGTGAAAAAAGAGGAGGGTCCTTTCCGATGATTTTGGAGAATGTTTCCCCCCCTTTTTTATACCTTTTTTCTGTTTCTCTATTTGATCTTTTATGACGGACAAGATTGACGACTCCCTTCCGCACACCAGTGTGCCTACTACCTAGGCCTCTGGCTCTGAATCGCAAAAGTATGGTGGCAGAATTCTGGGGCTGTTTAGTCCGGGATTCACGCTGTGCTGAAAATTTGATGACTTATTAAGTTGAGCTTTACGTGACGTTTTTATTTTGGATATCCAGAGGTTTTTTTCTTCTTTCTTATTCTTTCTTTCTCTTTTTTTCGTTTCTTTTCTTTTTTTTTTACCTTTCCTCAGCACACATATGGTCATTTTCGCTTTCTCTCTTTTACGGTTAACTAGTTCGACATGGTTGCTCTAAGTATGGTATCGAATTCAAGTTGCTTCTTCTTCTTTTCTCTTTTTCTTCTCTTTTTCTTCTTTTCTTCTTTTCTTCTCTTCTTCTTCCTTTCTTCCTTTCTTCTCTTCTTCTTCCTTCCTTTCTTCCTTTCTAGCTTCTCTTCTTCCTCTTTTCTCTTCCTCTTCTTTTTGTTTTTTCCTTGCACAGACGCATAGTTCACGATCAATCAACTCCATTACCAACTTCTTCTACTAACGGTTGCACTGTCTCTGCAGGTGAAAGTGAAATCTATCCAATCTATCCCTGACTGGCCGACTGCACGGCATGGGACGGGCCGAGCCGAGGTTTTCCCCATCCTTGCATGTCAGTCTGTCACGTGTATATGTGGCTTGGCTGCGTTGCCGATCGTGGCTGCAAGGGATCGGGGCGTGGTCATGGCCTGTCACTCGTGCTGTGCATTCATTTGCTCTCTCACAACTCGGTGCTGCGTATATGCATTCATACCTGATGCTCTCCATAAGTACATATATCGACTCTTGGTCCTAATGGAGCCCATATTCACATGGGAAGACAGGAGGGCAGCAGAACACACTCCGGCCACGAATGTACCAGCTGGATACACATGCACAATCATCCCCTCTCCTCCCCCCCATCCTCTAGCTAGTGCGCATACTGCAGCGCAGCATCTACTATAGGTATAAATACGCCTCCTATACACCCGCCCCCCCCCCCAAAAAAAAAAAAAGCCGTCCCGCGCCCCACAATCACAATCACAATTGCATCACATCACGGCTACTACTACCATGTACCAACCACACCCCCCATACAATCTGCACGCGCTCACCCGGGCGTTTCATGAAACACTTGGTCCTCTCCACGTTCCCCGGATTCCATTTGAAGCAGCTACATACGGAACCCGCCCCTCAGCAGACCATGGTTCGTGGAGCGCAGGTAGAGTATGTATGTGCGTATCCGACGACGATGCATGCATTGGGCATGCGGGGGCCCGGTTGGTTGCACGGTGACGGGGGTTGGCTGCGTGGTTGGTTGGGAGGTTTGGGAGCGGGTCGGCCCGTGGGGCTGGGTCTGGGCGGTTAGCGTGCGCTCGTGAAGGAGCGGGAGTGGAACAGCCAGGTTGATGCAGAGGGCCGGACTGAACTGGATATTCTGCTTCGATTGACGCAGCAGCGAAAGCTTGCGCGCGTGGCTGGAAATAGAAAGTACCGGCCCCGCCCACCGAAAGAAAAAGACGGTCCGGTGCGTCCCGGCAGGGGATTCCTTCCATAACCGCAAATGACCGGCGGGGCCCCGAGTACCCCGTATATATATGGATCTTTAAGCTACCAGAATGTGCAGGTCCCGGGGGCCGCCGCCAGTGTGCGGCGTTAGTTCGGTTCTCAGTCATGAGAAATGACTCGCAGCGGAATCGGGCGGCGCTACGTTAACTTACGCATCTGGGCACACTGAGGGTTAATTGATATTATTTTCTATATCTACAAGGCCCGGCTAGCTGCAATCGGCGGCCTTAACTATACATAGTTCTCCATGTTCATCAATCTGTTATTTCACTCCCCTCGCTCGAGACAGACAGGACGAGCTGTATCGGTGGTGCACTACTTACTTTGTTGGGCGCAATTTATATTGCGCTGGGTGGGTGAGCGTGGGATAGATGTGTTTGTAGTATGCGCTTTTTTCGGCCCGGATTTCCGTCATCTGTGATCTCGCCCTCGGCCTGTCGTTTGTAGTATTATGTAGATATCAAGATGTCAAACGCTATCCTTGATTTTGGATATAAAAGACTCGAGTGACCACAGTCTGTGCAATACCCTGTCTAATTCTCAAGAGGGCTTCATTCTAAACCTATACTTACCCATAGATACACTCTTCCCTGCTGTTACATTTGAGAACGGGCAAGGTAAGTTGGGAACACTCTAGGTACCCCGGCCATCATGGAATTCAAAAAAAAAGAAATGTAAACTCTTTGAGAGTTCGGTACCCAGGCTTCCCGCATAGTCTCCTACTGCGGTACTAATTGGGCGATGCGAGGCTTGGGTTTGGCAGAGCTGACGGGATGCCCCATTTTCCTCGTTCTATGACCGAACACGTTGGGGTGAGCATTGGACGAGCTTTGGTTGCTACTACCTTGTTTCGTACTGCTAGTCTGTTTTTAGGGTAGACCTTTATAGAGAAAGCTTCGAGCTTGGCTTCTCATGAGACAAGACTCTTTGAGCGTCTATTTTTCTGAATAGTTCAAGACCAGCTGCTTGAAAGTTGCCAACGGACACAAGTGCCGTCAGTGTCAGTGACAAAATTGTTGGTAAAAAGTCCGATTCATCGCAGGAGGCAGCGCCCAGGCAAAGCCTGGTTTTTACCTATAAACAATGTACCTATTAGTGGTTCTATTACCATGTAATTAGATAATATTTTCGGTCGTTGTGTAAACCGTTCTGTTGGGGTTTGGATCATGAATACTCACTCGATTTTCAGGACCGTCTCTAGTTAGATATCAGAGACAGTCAAAATGATCATCAGGCATAGATCAGAGGACAGCACCTCCTCGTCACATCCAAACTTAATTGTAGCACCTGGAAAAATAGACCTTAACTTCAAACGGCAGAATTACATGAACCTTGTCTGAACGTTATCTAAGGTATAGATTGCGAACAATCGCTTCGGCATGTAAGAGCTTATTGCAGCTTTATAATTATTTAAGTCTTATAACATGCTTATATCTAGCTTACTTCTATCGGAGGCTTACATTCGCAAAAGAGCTTGTCAAGAAATAACGCTCTACATATACGCAAGGGTTAGGTAGAATTTAGAAAAGGCTTACGTCTTTGCCGCCAGAACTAAGCCTCATCTAAGTTATAAACCTTATACACCAAAAACTCTTTAGCGAAAACAACATGGTACTATAAGGACCATTCAAGAATACACACACTCATGGGGGGGCAAATGTTGGCGAAGGAGCTCCTCGTGTTTTAACTATGGTTTTTATTTTGTAGGGTTTAGATTAAACCCGGTTCGGGCGGGCGGTAAAAAGTGATATGATTCTGCGGGTTTTCCGTTAAGGAGATCTCAGCACAACGGCTTGCTAAACCTTGGTACAGGTTCTTATAGGCTTCTACAAGGATTTCCGGTATGAAACATGGTACTGTAAACCCTCACAATCGGAGTGAGTTTTGTGCCGAATAAAGCTTGTGTTTGTTGGATAGATATTTAAAGAGAGTTCCTCTTATGGCGAACGGATATATGAGTTTAATGTGTTCGGCCATAGAACGAAGAAAATGGGGTATCCCGTCAGATCTGCCAGACCCAAGCTTTGTATCGCCCAGCTAGTACTGCACTGGGAGACCATGCGGGAATACTGGGTACTGAACTCATCTTTTTGCCGGGGTCCTACTGTTGGTAGCTGGGAGTTTGAAAGACGCTGGGTCTTGACTATCGATATTTTGTTCTCAGACTGTCCATTGTCACACTTTCTGAAGATTAAACTTTGATATTGCACAATTTACCACTTTTACGGAACTTTCTATAGCTTGTATGGCAGGTGACGGCCTGAGCTTGGCGCTATTCTCCTTGTCGAATATATGCCCTAATATTGACCTTACTGACGTGTTCGGTCATAGAACGGAGAAAGCGAGGAATCCCGTCAGCTCTTCCATATCTAAGCCTCGTATCGCCCAGCTAGTACTGCACTGGGAGACCATGCGGGAATACTGGGTACTGAACTCATGTTATTTTTGCTAGAACCCTGCCCAATAGACGGAAGTATCAAGGGGCTATCAATATTTTATTCTTTGGCTGGTCCATTGAATTGGACTGTATCATCAGATCCTTGCTACTTGTATTGTGAGAATCAAATTGAAAAGTCTTTGGCTACAGCTTGTATCGCGGAAGACAAGCGGAATAAATCCACAAAAGCTGACCTGATCGATGTGTTCGGTCATAGAACGAAGAAAATGGGGCATCCCGTCAGATCTGCTGGACCCAAGATTTGTATCGCTCAATCAGTACTGCAATGGGAGACCATGTGGGAATCCTGGGTACTGAACTCTGTTATTTTTTTTTGCTGGTATGTTCTGGATATTGGTTGCTTATGTCATGCCAGAACCGTAGGGCTTATTTAGTAACTTCGTGTCTAGGTAAAAACTTGAGTAATAGTACGCCTGAATTGTTTTAAGATCTTTTATTTACTTGGTAGCTACACGTAAATATTGAGACTATCTTATTTGAATAATTTTCACTTGGTCGAGTTATTGAATTGGCTTAATACAAGTAGCTAACAGGACCCTGGAGCCAGCTTAGCAAGTAATGAATTTGTTAGATGCTTGAGCCGTGAAACGTCATTTGAAATACTAAACCGCGTAACATAGCATATCAATGATCCTGCACGGTGACATTCTGATCTTGATAGTTCTCGAAAGCACCTGAGGTTTGTGATATTGACAAGCTGAGCCCCTAGTGAAAGCGTGACTGATGCGTGACATCGAGCGCCTCCATTACATGGAAATCTCCACCTGCATAGCTATAGGCAGGTGCTGAAAAGCTGAAAAGACGTAATCGATCCCCCAACCTCCGAATATAACCATCGTCATATAGAAAGACAAACCAGACGCCGAACAACCACATCACCGCTCCGAAGCCATCTAGATCCGGGGCCGTCCTTCTCCCTCGACGGTCCAGCCCTCCCCTCCTAGCTACCATCCCCCACATGTACACGCACAGCCCAGACCTCCGCCCCCCCCCCGTCAAGCAAAATGAAAAAGGCCCGTGGTTACCTTTTTCGCGCGTCTGCTCTGGTCCGTGCTCTCGTGTGCGTGTGCGACGTCAGGGGGGGGGGGGGGCTAGAACAGTCTCGACTGTTGCGTAATGGTTGATCCGGGATGTTTCATTTGCATTCTTCTTCTTCTTCTTCTTCTTCTTCTTCAGCGCTCTGCTTGCTATGCGCTGATCATGATATGATGGCTGGTTATTGCACTATAGAGTAGACGGCAACATGCGCTGCGCTGCAGCGCTGTCGAGCCGCAATATTGATATTGACAATACCTACATACAATTGCCAATCTCACAACGACCACCCGCTGTCATCAAATTAAATTTTACTCTACTCTACCGCGCTCCAATAAACAACAATATCACCATCACCAATCACCCCACAATCATCAAATCATCAATAGAAAAATAGAGTGCTCCAAATTCAACTCGCCAACCGCGGCGGCACATCCCCTTCGCTCTCGCCTATCCGTGCATCATCTCCCATCCCATGCCATCCCCCACAGCTCGCGCACAGACCTGCCAGCTGCAGGTACTTCACCGTCGGAAGCCGTCGCTCGGAAAGGGGGCTGCCCGGTGTGCGTGCTGTGCCAGCTTACTAACTCACCCTCAACCAACCTAACCCTAACCCTGGCTGAACATGGGGAACTCGCAGACCGACTGAGTGCGGGGAGATGACTGCATGTGGAGTGGGCTTCGGTGGAGGGCTGGTTGGTATGGAGATAAGTTTTTGATTTGGGATTGGCTGGCTGCCTGGTGGGTGGTTGTAGTTTGGTCCAGCTCTGAATCGTAGGCCTTCCAGGACATTCCACCGTTCGTATGGAGTAGAAGTATGGACCATATCACAATCACAGTAGAAATGAATAGTTTGCAAAGGAATTGTTTGAAAAAAAAACCCTTTTGAAATTTTGTTTAACCCCCATTCCTTTCCCTTTCCCTTCAGCTAGGTATGCCACTATTCTATGCTATGCTAGGTATGATCGAGTCTCTCCTCCCAATGCTAATGAAACAAACCACAAAAAGAGAAAAAAGGAATAAGAGAAAAACGAGAAAAAAGATGAAAAAACCCATGATATGAGATAAAGAAATAAAAACCCAAACCCAATTCCCAATCCCCCATCGCCCCCAAACCCGTCCCATTCCAAACACCGCGGTAAGTTAAAAACCAGAAAGCCCCAGCCAGTAGAAAAAAGAAAAAAGAAAAAAAAAGATAATAAAACAAGCAGCCAATATAATAAACAAAAGAAAACCAATAAGGAGATAAGGGAAATAAAAGAGTGTGTGGCTTAAGAAAAAACGCCCCGCGAACTAGTACAACCTATACTTACACTGCCATATTGAAACCAAGCAAGAGCCTATATCATTTCCATCTCGACACCGGCAATTCTCAAGACTACCATACCGGCCGACTTCTTCTCCTCGCTGCCGTCGGGAGCACTGAATGGCGCCCAGTCGTTACCGCCAGGAATGATGGGCGACGACGACGCTTCCGATGAAGATGCAGAGTGGTTGTGAAGAAGTGCGGGAACGGAGAGATGGTCAGAGTCGTAGTTATCATATTCGGCCTCGGAGTCGTATCCGGCCTCAGAGTCGGCCTCAGATCCAGAGTCGGACTCAGAGTCAGAGTCGGACTCAGAGTCAGAGTCGTCGTCGAACGAGGAAGTGGAAGGAATCCATATGAACCTTCGCTCTTCGTGCGGTGGGACTTGTAGTGACTCGGCCTCAGGCTCAACCACTGTATGTTCGAATACCTCAATGATCTCGTCCTCCTCTTCACTCTCTACTGCACACTCATCATCCTCTTCCCTCTGCTCCTGTACGTGTGGTGCCATCTCCGCCCTGATGTTCCCTACTATAGCCTCCACTCCGCTCAAGACTGCCATCAACCACTTCTCTTCCAAAGCCTTCACTCTCATCTCCGCGTTCGTCAACTCCCATCTTAAACCGCCGACCTCCTCCCTCTTGTAATATGCCTTCTGCACCCTTACTACCAACACCTCCCTCTCCTTTCTTGCGATAACAAGCTCCTCTGGTACCTGTCCTCCCAGAACAGTCATCAATCGTGAATCCAGGCCCACCAAGGCTGTATCAACTCTTGGTTGCATCGGTGCTGTGCTCCATGGTGAGTATGGTGTTGAGGGAGCGGTCGGCGCACTCGGCATCCCGTATGGTGCCAAAGCTGGTGTGTTTGGGCCTGGGGAGAAGACAAAGGACTCTGCCATACTACCGAGGCGCGAAGGGCGACGTACTGATCCGGATGAGACACTAGAGAAAGATGGGAAGCGCTTTGGGACCGCTGGGGGTGGGCCTGATGGTGGCATGCTAGGGGGTTCTTGGGATGCCCATGCATAGCGCTGGGAGCGGCCGCGGGGTAGAACTGGTGCTTCTGACTCGTCGTCGGACTCGGGCTCGGAGTCGGAGGAGCAAGGTGAAAAGCAGGAGCGGACAGAGTCGGGTGAGTCGTAGATGTAGGATGTGGAGATAGATGCTTGAGTTGTGAGGTTGAGGGTTAGTGTAAGCTTTTGCTTACGAGCAGGGGAGGTTGGTGGTGAAGGGGGGGTGCTGGTGGTGGTGGTGGTGGTGGTAGTTGAGAAGGACATTTTTGGTTGTTGGGTGGTAATGATTATTAGGTCGGTTATTTTGTGTGCAGGCTCAACCTGGTTGTGTAGTAGTGGTAGTAAACTAATGGACCTGCCCGAGAATTATAGATTGACCGTCAAGATGGCCTTTCAAACTTCGGCTGGAGGTAGATGATATATAAGATTTTTTTTACTGTTCGGTGAGAGCAGTAGTAGTAGTAGCTGTTATCGCTGAGTGATGAAAAAATTTAAAAACCAGGATGGTTAGAGTGCTAGGGCCGGGATTAAGTATTAAGGGACGAAACAAGGATGAATGATTGATATGAGGGCTGGGGAAGAAAGGCTGTTTATGTGTGGTCTAACCGAGCCAGTCGATCGATTCTGGTATTCGTTTGGTTTGGTGGATGGGGATGTGTAATTAATTAACTGGACTGGACTGGATTGACTGGTTGAATTGAGATGCAATGGTGGGGGGGGAGTGGCCTTTATGTATTATACTTGCTGCATGTAGAGGCAAGTAGGTGAGTAGGACGGGGAGGCGGCTGATGGCGACAGGTGAAACAATAGCTGTTCGACCACTCGAGTTGCGCTCTGGGGGTGACTAAACCAAAAAGTTTCGCCCTTCTGCCTTGCTCGCTGTGGTGTGCTGTCTGTCTGTCTGTCCGATGATGCGCAGTGGTGTGTAGGATGCACTCAGGAGTGGATGGGATATGCACAGCTGTACAATGGAAAACAAGGCTCTTTGCTTTCTTCTTTTCCTTCCTTGGATCGTTCTGCGCACTGGAAAAGAAACGGCAGAAACAGAGCAGGAAGAAGCACTAGAAGAAAAAGAAGCAGCAGCAGTAAGCCAGTCAATCAGAGAACTCCCCTCGAGATGGAGAGAGCGAGCCTGGTGCTGCGCCTCACTACGTACTGAGGCCCTCACCGTAGTACGTTACCGCAGAGCTAGCAGCAACGGCGTAGCCGACGAGATAGGTACTGCTTCTGCTGTTGATTCTGCTTCTGCTGCGCGGCGCCGGCCAGAATGAAATCTGTAGGAACAACGAGTGCGCACTCGTGCTCACTCCGTATCCCTCCTCCTCATCAAGCGAGAGATGGATGAAATGAAGTCTCTGTACGTAGCGCAAGAATGACGATGATTGTATTCAAGGGGGATGCCATTACATCGCGACTTATCCCGGCATCTACATGCTCTGCTGTCCTCTGGTGTTGATTAGATGTTCTTTTGCACATTTTCATTTTGTGTGTCCCTTCTGGTCACGTGCTCCACAAGGTTTGGTGGTTTGACCAGATGCGGTGCGCAGGCGTGATGGTGTTTCGCATCTCAGTTCTGCCCTCGCTCGGGCGTGACATCAAGCAGGTACACTCACTCCACACACACATCATGGCGCCTAACGCAGGTACAGCATCCTCTCCAGTGCCTACGCTCCCTACCCGACTCGTTACCGTTCTCTTCCCCCCTCACGCATCTCCAATATGCCCCAAATAGACTACAAGTATATTTACTCCCACCCCATCATACCACAAGCAGTGCACTTCAAACATGTCTCCGTATAAGGGTAAGTGTCGAGTTGCCATATATAGCCAGGTTCCCTATTTGGGGAAGCTTCCCACCCTGGACGACAGCTAAATTAATTGCTTGATGGCAGCGGACCTGGGAATAGTTGCTCTCTCTGATCGTCCAAACAAACAAAGGGAAGGTAACACCAGCAACCTCGCCTTTCAAAGCACTCTATGCAGGTACACTCTCGGTGCGAGCGTCTCGAATTTACACCCTCGAAATACGCACTCAGCGCGCAAACACCAAACCATGCCCCAAGCTCCCTCTGCCCCCTCCAGTAGCTCTGCTCCCCCCCCCCCCCCCCCCCCCGATATTTCATGCACGCAATGTAAACAGACTCTCTCTCGTGTCAATCGTGTCAATCTACACTCGCATCTCCCTAATCGTATCTAGATCCCACCACCACCACCACCACAACCGAGCTATCCTCGCTCCCGTACTCTACGTACGCACCGTGCACCCCCCCCCCCAAATTCCTCATGACCGGGGGCGCTCGGAAACAGATCACTATATAGTACATGTACCGTACGTGCTCACACAATCATTACTCCCCTCTCAGACACACCTACAATTGCACCCCAAGCAGGTACGACTAACCCGCAATTGCACCTTCGGGCGCCCGGTAAACAAAGCAAAAACCACTGCCGCACCGGCCGGTGAACGCAGGATACGTCAGGGTTAGGGTTGCACTAGTCCCGATATGGGCGTCTACAACAAGTACTCGAGAGACATTGTTTCCGATGACATGTTGTTCGCTGATGGGGCGCCAGTCAGGTACATACATGAACTGCCAGCTAACTACCTATGTGTTTATTGGGTAGACACACGATATAATATTATATTGAAATTCAGAGGGTACGTACATGCGTTTCCTGCTGGAGTGAGAGATGATAATCAATTTGGAGGGAGTTTCGTTAGGCGCTGACTTAGCAGACGATGTATGGTGTACATGCACCAGGACCTCGATAGACGCCCCGAGCTGAGAAGATTGACGGGTGTATCTGTAACTGTAGAGGTTTTGGGAGGCCGATCTGGGGGTGTTTAGCATTACTTCTTTCTTTTCAGAAATGGCATGTATTTTGAGTTTTTGTTTCTTATGGTTAGTCGTGCTGATGCACTGCATGCTGGGCGCTGCGTGATTGGCCCAGCATGGGGTGGCTTCTACATTGTAGGGTGGGTAGGTAAGGCGACGGCGTGGGTACCTTCTGTAGATCAGATACAAAACACCTTGGCTTGGGAATATTTCGATAGCGCCGTTTCGGAGATAAATTTAATGGGACGGGGGTGGGGGCGCCGCACTCATGATCATGGGATGGGGGAAACATCGACAGCAGCAGCAGCAGCAGCAGCAGCAAACTGAATGAGCCGACGAATTGCATCAGGCCGAGTAAACAAGTACATAAACAGAGTCATGATGAATCGGCAATGGAAAATCGCAATCACAACATGGCATGTAGAAGCGCAATGTCAACAATAGCGCACGGTAGGTGGGTAGGGGTTTGCCAAAATTGCAATTGAGCAAAGCAAAACAAAACAAAAACAATCTACGAGTCGAGGGGAAGAAAGAGAGAGAGAGACGCCATGCAATTCCCCAGAGTCACGTCAATGGCGTCGGGGGGCTGAGTCGTAGGGGTGGTTGGATGTGTGTAGTGGAGTAGATCGCCCTCCCCGTGTTCATTGGCTATAGGCATGCGTGAGGTTTCGGCCGTGTGTGGAGCGTGACTGACGGGGCGTTTTATGGTCGATCTGTATGTGGCGCTTATTAACCCTTTTTTTTCTTGAACTTTTTGGCTCTAGTTGGGCGGTACGTATATAACGTCGGGGAAATAGAAGGTTATTTTGTCTTTCTACGCCTTACACAGGCGTGGAGACTAGTGGTTACGCGTTTAAATTATTCATGTCGTTTGATCGTGATATTCGACATGCATGTCCTAGCAAATGATTGAACCAGCTACGACGTAGGGAGCTAAATCCATAAAAAAAACCCATTTCAAATCATTTAGATGGCGCCTATCTAGTTATTCCCATCTCCGATACCGCGGTTGGGAGCCGATCATGTTTGGTTTTGATGTCGATCCGGAGTGATAGGATGTGTTGCAAGTGCCGGTATGAACAGTGCACCATGGTGCGTATAACGCAGGACTGGGTTGCCAAGCCAAGTTATAATTACCCCGGACATTTCTTTTCGGGGCGCTAGCTAGGATTAACGTTTCTCCTCTGATTTGACGTGACATTTTGACAGCTACCTATCCACCGTACCGGTGATCACTTTCTCTCCGGGACGGTGTTTGATTGGGGGTGCGGCCGGTGGAAGCATAACAGGACGTACGCCTCTACCTAGCTTGCAATTAATGCTCATTTCGGGCGACCAAGAGTTGGAGTACATGCAACGCCTCAGCTACACGAATGTTTTGTTTGCCGGTTGTGGAGAAGATACAGCAGAGTACAACACCAGATGGACGCGGTCGGATATTAACTAATCTGCGCCTTATTCGGGCGCGAGGTGGGACCTTTGTGGCGGCGTTGCAGCCAATCAGAGGCCTGGTTGGTGCATGCACTTGTCTCTGATGAGCGTGACATTTGTAAGTAACAGTACAACTGCTTTAAGATATATAACAATCTTTGAGATATTTGTACTGCAACATCGGTAGCCCAAATTGGTTGAGATTAAGCGTCCATACATGCATACCTATATTTGGAGATAACTCTAATCTTTCAGTGTATTCCCTAACTAGCTTTGCAGCTAATAGATTGATTCATAGTTATGTCCGCTCATTGATGATTTGTTATTGGTTGGAACTATTGTTCTTGTGCTGTTAGTAGACATGATAATCGAATTTAACTACTAAACTCACGCCTCATACGGCATGAGATGACGCTACAATTAATTTCGGCAGTGGATCAAATGCCTCACCCATCGTGACAGTGCAACATGAGACGGGCACCTTCTTCCAATTGGACGATTATCTCCTGTACTGATATGCTAGGTGCTCCTCAAAGTTCGCCAGGGCTGAGTTCTTGTTGGTAAGTTGATTGTTAATTGATTCGGCAGGCATTTCCCCACTAGCTGTGCGTAAACACCATGTTCTTCCCCAGTTCTTCCCCAGCGTGACAATATGTCGTTGACCCCCGAATATCTCTTCACTGCGTGCAACAACATGCAAAGATTATCAATACAATATCTGCATGGGGTAAAAAACTTTAATCTACCGATACCCCTCGAGTCATTTCGGGGAGTCGGTTGTTAGTGAGCCGATCTACGCCTCATTCATTATCAGCTCAATTCTTCTCTGCAGAAGCCTCTCTGCTGTGCGTCAGCATTCCATGTCTTGGTTAGATTTGTTTGTGCTTAGATTTGTTTGTGCTTAGATTTGTTTGTGCTTAGATTTGTTTATACATTGATCAGCTTGATAGTTGTGAAGAATATGTCTTGTTTGAACATGCATGACCGCTTATCTCA